GAGAAGAGGGAACAGTCGTCGGATCAGGAACACCGGCTCATGCATCACACTTTACCCGATGAATATTGATCATCTTTGGACAACACCATGCTGACAGAATCCGTAGCTTCCATAGTGTAAGGAGTTGTACCGATATCTTTGTTCTGTTCAAAGGTTAGCTATGTGGTCTACCATCGACAGAGATGAGAATACTTGACTGGTCTTCGTAGATAAAGTGTAACCCTGTTGTCGAGAACTGATGATGGATAGTTGATGGGCGGGATAGGGAATAATTCAATATTTACCCATCCAATCAAAGCGGGGCTTTGGAAAAGAGTGGCAGGAAGATCCACAATGCAACATGTGGTACTGTACCAATCACTTTATGGGGGCGTTACTCGACTTGAAGTCTGATCCTGGTGCTTTCGGAAGGGAGGCGGATTGGTGCTGCTGACGTATGAGGTGGCGCCTAGCAAATGTATTGAAACTGAGTGACTTGCCTACTCAATATCAACTTTTATGTACGCCTTTCACAAGCTGAATTGATTCCATTCATCACGATAACCCTACATCTGCTATAAGTACCTCGCTACAGTATTGCACTTTCCGCCCGTCTTTTCATTCCCCTTTCGTCAAATTGGTTGGTGTTGACTTTCGTACCATTATTGTTGCAGGAGCATAGGAGGGGCATAGAGCTTCTTCATCTACTACTTCTCACACCAAAATCATAACTCATACTCGCGCCATTCAACAGTTATGAATGTAGAATTGTATGTTTACGACCTTTCAAAGGTAAGTCATTCTGGTACCTCTTGCAGTGCTCCGCAGAAACAGCTGACGTGGCTGAAGGGTCTTGCTCGCCAATTCTCATACAGTTTCACAGGCGTCCATCTGGATGCCATCTATCACACATCCCTGGTGTTTGGAGGCGTGGAATATTTCTTCGGCCAAGGGATACTCCGCAAGGTTCCAGGTTCCACTCACCATGGAAAGCCCATCGAAGTCGTGCAGATGGGAAAGACCGAGCTTCCCATGGACGTGATCGCCGAGTACATTGATTCTCTAGCGCAAATTTATACTCCAGAGTCGTATGATCTGTTTCTCCACAATTGCAACAACTTTACCCAGGACCTGTCGATGTTTTTGGTAGGGAAGAACATTCCGGAGCGCATCAGGACGCTACCACAAAGATTTCTCGAAACACCTGTTGGACAGATGTTGAGAAGTCAGATCGACCAGTCGATGCGCTCAATGACACAGGCCCCAGATGCAAAAATGCCGTTAACAAACAGACAGCAACCAGTATACAGAGCTAGCGCACCGACGTCCAACGGTTTGACCAAATCTTCAGCGCTACCTCGCAGCGATGATACCCATGGAGCAAGTATCCCTGCAGCAGGAGTACACAATGTAACTACACTGCAGGAGATTCAATCTCTTCTTGATTCCGCCAGAAACAGCTGTGCAGTCATCTTTTTTACGTCCGCTACATGTGCACCATGCAAGATACTGTATCCGTCATACGATGAGTTAGCTGCTGAAGCCGGTAAAAGAGCAGTACTGATCAAGGTTGATCTGAATCAAGCACTTAGCATTAGCTCGAAATACAACGTCAGAGCGACGCCAACCTTCATGACATACTTGAAAGGGCAGAAGGAGAATCAATGGAGTGGTGCCAATGAGGCTCAGCTGAAAGGCAATGTTCGGTTGTTGATACAAATGGCTTGTGCCTATCCATCTGCATAAGTCCTTGAGACTTCCAACCTTCCAACGCAAGATTACTCAACCGGTTTCGTTTCCAAAGGTTCCACCCTTGGAAAAGCTCGCAGCAAAAATTGGCCGCCTTTCAGAAGAAGAAGAATTTTCGGCAATTTTTGCTTACGTGAAGACTCGAGAAGCACAAGGACAAATGGAGGCACCACTGCCAGATTTACACCGCTTCGCCGAAGTCATCGCCACAAGATTCAATGAACTTCCACCCGAAGTACACCGGCTGCCGATGCAAGAGTGAGCGGCTTTTTTGCGACCGAGAAGGATCATCGGACAATACTGACCCTCATACTACCTAAAAGAGACACACCGATCGCGCCGTATAATCTGCAAGTCGTTACATTGCAATTCGCATGCAATCTTTTCACTTCACCATTATTTCAAGAGCAGCTGATTGACCTTTCTACCTCACATATGCTGCGTATGGCTTTCGAAAACCTCGCTTCATCATGTCTGCTTGCCAAAGACAGTAACGCTCGATTCTTGGCTTCTGCATTGGTCTACGATATGGCATTGTTCGACCACAATTCCAGACTGGAAGATGAGCCTGACAAGCTGAAGATCAGTGCAATGGAAAACCTCGAAGCTGCATTAATCGAAGCCGTCATCAATGAACGAGAGAGCAAGGAGACGCTCCATGGCCTACTACTTGCGTTGGGTATGCTCCTCTACTCCGCAGATATCGAGGGATCGACATGGGAACTCTGTAGGGCTATGGACGTCAGGCAAGCCCTGCAAGAGAAAGGCAAGATGCCTCTCTTCAAAGGAGAGACACTTATTCAGGAGGTTGCAGAAGAACTCCTTGGAAGAGGTGATAAGCGATAAAACGACTGTAATCATGTCAACAAAGAGATAGCGTCACAATTCTCTTGTTCAGTCACAAAGAATTTCGAGAGCTCATATTAGCTCGTGTAATAACAAAGCACATATCCTCACAATCTGACAACCTTTTGTGCTTGATGAGGATGTGGTGGCTGTTGGACAACCAAGAAGTATGTCCTGGGTTAGCTGCATCTTTCTCTGCATTTGAGTGTGCTTACCCACTGACATAGTACCCTCGTGGTAATCATCCTAAGTACCATTGTGATTGCTTTGTGCTATTACGAATCATGACCAGAACAATGTGCACAGGTAAGAACAAATCTTTGTATTCAACAATTTATCGTGTCTGCCTAGGATGATCTGGTGTGCCTCTTTGCCGTCACTCGATATACATAATCTTCTTCTTCGACATTATCAATCTATCTGCAACTCCGTTGATAACCATTTCCGACGAAATCATCCATCGAATCAGCGCCTTAGCTCTGTACACACCATCACAGGGTTTTAAACCAAAAGATACAAGCTCCTTTTCAATCTCGCTCGCAGCCCAATCCAGTCTACAATATGTCAGAAAAGCGAAACCATAACAAACAGAGCATGCAAAAGGAGGACCTGGAGAAGTGCCCGGCAACAACCGCACCAGGTTCTGAACCCGCCAGCGAAGCTCTGAAGCCTGGACAAGCCAAGCTCCGTGAGTGGCTAGCTGACACGCAGAAGGTCATCGTTTGCCCGGGTATCTACGATGGGCTCACTGCACGAGTTGCTTTAGCCCAAGGCTTTAAATGTCTCCATCTGCGTTCTGCTGCAGTCCGCTTTGCCCGGTCTGGGCTCCCTGATTCAGGTGAATCTTCTCTGGAGTTTGTGATGGATCTTATTCAGACAGTTCAAAAGATTGATAGAGATGTGCCCTTGATTGGGGAGGCGGATGAGTCTTTGGACGTCGAAGCAGTCAAGGTACATCTGGCCCGGTACCATCATGCTGGGGTAGCAGCTATGCAACTTGAGGACAGCATCTCCGGTCAGTGCTCGAAGAAATATCGAAAAGGCAACGCTATTGATGAGGACACGTTTCTCGAACGTCTTCAAGCTGCGGCCGACGAGCGCCTCCGAATTAGCTCTAACATTGTGATCATTGCGAGAACCAACATACTCTTGTCCTGTACTTGCCAAGTCTGTTGGGAACGAGCTCTTACACGACTCGAGCGGGCTATCCGGAAAGGCGCAGACGTGGTTTATATGGCTGGCAGAATGCCTCTCCAGGACGTCGAGTACCTAGCTCGCCAAGCCTTCAAAGGCGTTCCGCTGATGAGCACGCCCCAACAAGCAGCAAAACACAAGGTGAAGAGTTTGGGAGTGAAGATCATCTCGTGTCCTGAGCTCTTTACTGGTGCCATTCATGATTGTGCAGCTCACTTAGTGCAAGGCTTTGGGAAAGGTAGCCCGGTCCCGGAAATATTCCACTTGGATGATCCAACGAAATTGGGCGGCTTGCGAGCTTTGTGCGGGCTCTGATGGTCGATGGAGGAGATATGTGGCACCGGAGTTGTGTCGCTTGTCTATGTGTGCTCTATTAAGTTATTGGTTAGTTGCTTGGTTGTTCTCGAGAGTTTAGCGAAATAGGTGGTGTGCTCTAAAAGCTGGAGATGCTCAAATAGCTACAGCGGGTAGCATCATAGAAATACTACATATTTCATTACGAAACCACTAGGCTTCCCAAGTCGTCTTGTTCCAAAGCATCCAACAAAAAAGTCATTACGAAATATCTTCCTAACTGTGAACATCGGGGAACCTACGATCACGTGATTACATCTGCACTAAGGTCGACGTCACCATCCACTAACCCAATACAGAAAAATGTAAATACGCTCCACCACCAGTGCAGTTCTTAACAACAGCCACTCAAGCTTAGCGCAGGCCGGAGATGAGGCCACTCCGATTGACCGCCCAACACGTTGATGTACGCTCATCTCCATCGCCGCTTCCAGCTCACCGTCGAAGACTGCATTGAGCTTCTGGAGGCAATGGCGCCTGTGCGAAATCATCCCGATCCGATCCGAGCAGCGATCCCGTCGTCTGCTTCGAGTCCGAGCTTGAGGTCGAAAGAGATGGTCGTCGTTCCCATGCTCTCTCCTGCGCCCATCAATCCCGGTGGGAATGTGAAGGTGGTTGTCCGAGTGAGAGGGTTTCTGCAACGAGGTACCATCTTTTGCCTTGGTTCTCTGTGCGTGCATGCGTGCGTGCTTGCTTGGTTACTGACATGCGATGCAGAGGTTGACAGGGGAGCACAATGCCTCATCGCGATGAATCCACATAACCAGTCGACGAAACTACTCATACCTCCCACCACCGATCCGGCGAATTCACGGGCTCAGACTCGAAAAGTCATTGAAGAGAAGACCTTTACCTTTGACAACTCTTTCTGGTCGCACAACAGCTCAGACGAGCACTATGCTCACCAAGAGGACATCTACAATGCGCTGGGTGAGGAGTTTCTGGATCACAACTTCGAAGGCTACCATACCTGCATCTTCGCTTATGGCCAGACGGGTTCTGGGAAGAGCTACACCATGATGGGCACGCCGGAGCAGCCAGGGCTGATTCCGAGAACGTGCGAAGATCTGTTCGAGAGGATTGAGTCCAACACGAGTGCCAATATCAGCTACAGCGTCAGGGTGTCCTACTTCGAAGTCTACAACGAGCATGTCCGAGATCTTTTTCAGCCTCGAACAGATCCACCGCACTATCTGAAGATTCGCGAGTCGCCCACAGAAGGGCCATATGTGAAGGACCTGACAGAGATGCAGGTGAAGAATTATGGGGAGATTCTCAGATACATGCGAATGGGTGACAATTCCAGAACAACTGCTTCCACGAAGATGAATGATACCAGTTCCAGATCCCATGCTGTCTTCACCATCATCCTGAAGCAAATTCACCACGACTATGACGCAGATGAGACGACAGAGAGGATGGCACGAATCAGACTTGTGGATCTGGCAGGATCAGAGCGGGCAAAAGCAACAGAGGCCACGGGACAACGTCTCCGGGAAGGGTCAAATATCAACAAATCTCTCACCACGTTAGGAAGAGTCATTGCAGCATTAGCAGACCCTCGACACAGCCGACTCCACAATCCCAACAGAAAGAATAAAGACATTGTCCCGTACCGAGACTCGATACTCACCTGGCTGCTCAAGGACTCCCTAGGTGGCAACTCAAAGACAGCAATGATCGCCTGCATCGCCCCCGCAGACTACGACGAGACATTATCAACACTGCGATACGCCGACCAAGCCAAGAACATCCGTACCAAAGCCATCGTCAACCAAGACCACGTCTCCTCGGCCGAAAAAGATGCCCAGATCCGGGAAATGCAAGAAACGATCCAAACGCTCCGCTGGACACTCAACCAGCAACAGCAGTCCGTCCCCACAGCTCCAGCAGCCAAGGCCGACAGCGACACACACGCGGAGAAACTACGCGAGTACACGGCGAAATATGAGGGCATGCTGCAGATGATGGATGAGAAACTGGCCATCTCCGAATCGAAAGTGCGCCATCTCGAGCAGGAGAAGGAGACGCTGCAGATCCATCTCAAGCTTGTTCTGGACGAGCTGAGGAATCCGATCAAGACGACGGCCAAAGAAGAGGTGGTGAGCACCACACCGGTTGTCGTCACGCCCGTGAAGGTGCGAGAGAAGACGCCGGATCCCATCTGGCAGGATGAAGGGTTTGAGAGTGAGGAGGAGGAGGAGGAGGAGGATGGGGATGAAGAGGAGGATGTGGTGGATCAAGAGCAGGAAGCCGCCGCGTTGGAGATTCAGGCGCAGATGGAATCGTTGATCTCGGATCTCGGCTTGTTTCGCAGGAAGGTCATGGCTGATCATGAGATGTTTGGCGTGAAGAAGACGTCGCGGTGAGCTGCCTGGCTGGCGATTGTTGGTGTGGAATGCTGTAGTCCTCTCTGGATGGGATAGCTTAGCGTTCAGGTGGCCTCCCCTGCTACTTTGTCGTCTTCAGTATCGTCTCGATTAGCGATTAGCGGTTGCAATACGTGCCGATCTAAAAGAAACGAATGGTAACGTTGTTGATACTGAAGAATTCTGCCTCAAGGTTATCAATAAGTAATCGTATGAGACAGTTACTTCATCAGGACTATAAGTATACTTTGCCCTGCGAAAGAGCACTCGCTCGAACGTGGCAGTCATGACGCTAGTACATTCCCTGCCCTCGGCCCTCAGTTTCTTGCTGTTCGCATCATGAGGTCGGCCCGGCGAACGTGAAAGTTAGTGTTTTGTGTGGTTCATTGCATTGGTAGGGTAGTTTGATAACGTGGTTGGAGTAATGGGAGAAGGAGCAGACGGAGAGAGGTATTGGATGTTCCAAGCTGGATCGTTGTCTAGTAGGGGGAGTAAAGCCGGGAAATGATCAGTAAAAGGGTTTGCTGGGAAAGGGTTTGGAAAGGCTCGTCTTAGGATTGTGCTTGCTTGTGATTGGAGGATAGGATGGTTTAGGACCTAGAGAAGCATGACTGTCCTGGGGAGTATAGGACAATCTTGATGGCGATCATGGAAGGGAAGGGGGTAGATTTACTGTATGGAATCAGAAGAATAGGAACACAAGTTAAAGAGATGCTGGCCATCTCTTCTCAAGAGTCGGTCATATTCATGTTCCTGACCACGAATATAACTGCAGCAATAGGACGGTAAGACGGTGGGGTATTGGATGATCAGCCGCAGCCGTTATTCCTTTGTATGTGACTTTTTAGCCATTCGATGACAAGGTTGCATAAGGGTACGAGGTCTGAGCTGCACAAGAATGGCATGAAATAGCCCGCTTTGCCTCAACACTCGCTTCGGCAGCATTCTGATCGTCCAGGAGCGTGCGCCACCAGGAACATTTGAGATGGGCCTTTCCGGCGACTTCGTAAGCCACAGCCGGCACATTCCCGTTGACAGCATATACTCAATGTGTCTTATGAAGGGATCGAGACCTCACAGCCTAAGGCTACTTAGCCTTGCCTGTTGGGATCTTGAAGAAGGTTGCCGGCGACCCGTCAGCCCCTATGGCGCTATCGCACCTGTAGTAGCCCTTCCGCTCAAACTGTATAATATCATCAGCTCGGACATCGGCCACGTTGCAATCAGCAAACGCCTTGGTGCGGAACTCGGTTTCAGGCGTCAGGAAATCCTCCAACTTGTCTTCCTCCTCGAGCTTATCCTTGGTGATAAGGAAGTCGAAATCGACTAATTCGACCAGAACCCGGTTCTGATCATCAGAGAGCCAGGTAAGCTTCTTGTCGGTCTTCTTCACATCTCCTTCGAGGTGCAGCTCGAACTCGATAGATGCGACGATATCAGGAGACGAAGAGGATTTTGTGATCTTCCGCACAAAGGCATTACCCCAATTCATCAGGGTCACCTCTTCGTCTCCGGTGAAACTGAGGGCGTCATCTTGCTCTACCCAGATTGTGTTGCTGTAAGCCACTTTCTTCATTCCCACATCAGGGTTCTTCCCATGCTTCGGCTTATCCACCCAAGTCACCTCAGGGCTTGCGCCAATGACAGTGCATTTAACAGCATTTTCAAGAGATATCGCAGTATGTCTTGGTGCCACAGGGTCAATGAATTTCTTGTTGGTTGCCCAGAAGATTGTCCAGTCCATATTCACAATATTCCTGCTGGGTCCCTGTTGAAGCATAAAGTCACGTAAAGCACGCACCGTCATACCACGTCTTCGAATGCCCCGAATAGTAGGGAAGCGAGGATCGTCCCAGCCATACACAGCGCCACTCTTGACTAGTTGGGACAATTTGCGCTTCGAAAGAAGAGTGCGGACGAAGTTCATACGAGCAAAATCCCAGATTGCAACATTTCGAAGATTTAAGGTTTTCAGTACCCAGTCATACTGTGCGTTCCGGTCTCGATATTCGATGGTCCTAAGCGCGTGGGTAACACCTTCGATACTGTCCAAGATGGGGCAGCAGAAATCGTAGGTTGGGTAAATCTTCCACTTGGTCCCTGTGCGATGGTGAGAGACGACGTGCGTTCCGGTGTCATCTTGCGAGGTGACGATGCAGCGATAGATGACGGGGTCTCGCAGGGCTCCGTTTGGACTGTCATACTGAATCTTTGCTCTAATACACCATCTCTGTCCTTCGGAAGTGCCATTCTTCATCTCCTCTAACCGAGCCAGATTGCTCTCTATGCTTTCGTCTCTTCGCGCACTCTTTTTCCTGCTCTTCCGAAGATCATCCATCTCGTGCTTCTCTGCGTCTTCGGCATATGCATTTCCCGTCTTGATAATATCAACACAGTACTGATACAATACTTCAAAATAGTTGCTCGAATAGCTAACCCGGTCAGGTCGGATTCCCATTAAGGCGAGATCTTCTATGATGGCATCTTGAAACTCCTCCTTCTCATTCCTCGGATTTGTGTCATCGAAGCGGAGGAGCAGTGTGCCTTGATACTCCTCATGTGCAAAATAGTCGTTGAGCAGTGCAGCCTTAGCATGACCAATGTGCAAATAGCCGGATGGTTCCGGAGGAAACCTCGTTACCACACCTTGATCGGTATTTTGCAAGCCAATCTTGTAGTTAGCACCCTGCCGGGGCCTTGGGGCTGTCGGCTCAATTTGCAGGTTTCCTGCATCCTGGGTCAATTTCGACACTGCTCGATCTTCCTTTTTCTTTGCCTTTGCCTCTGCCTTCGCTGCCTCCTTTGCCGCCTTCTTTGCACCCTTCTTAGATTGAACCTGGGAAGGTTGGGCGTCTTCTGAAGCGGGGCCCTTGTCTTCAATGGTTGTATCGTTAGTCATGGCAGCGCTTTGCATCCTGAAACGGTCAAGAAGATCCAAGAGGCTTAAGGGAATGATGTTGAAGCCTCCGTAAGATCTCTAGCCAGTGATGTGAGGACTAAGCAGTATGTTAGAGCTCCAAAAAGAACATACGGAGTACATCTAAGTGACTTAGCCCCGATGTTACCAGCCTTTTCTCTGTAGTCTGGCCGCGGGTGCGCTGCCTCTTCCGGTTTAGCCCTGCCCGATCGGCAACGCGCCCTCTCACCGCTTGGCCCAAGTATAAAGAGCCCGCTACTCCTCATTCTCCTTTATCGGTTCTTCTTTCCTGTCTGCTACTCCTTTCCCCCTCTCTTGCTTCCTTCGCGAATAACCTTCCCTTCTGCCTGCTACACTGTCGCCTTAGCCGTTGTAGCACTAAGCGCTAATAGCATCTTTATGTAACTTTGCCTTAGTTTTAACTTAATTATTTTGTAAGCTATCTTATGCTTTTACTTGATTTTTGTCTTAATTGATTGATTTAATTATTAGCTTAATTACAGATAGTAATATTAATATAAAATCTACTTTGGTAGATTAAATAACTAAATATTTATAGATTAGAAATATAATAAAAATTATACAATAGCTATCAGAATACTATAAGTTATAGTAAATACCGGTAAATTTACGGCTATTAAAGCTCATACTAGGAAACGTACTGTAACTAACCTTGACTCTGGTAATGACAGAGTCTGACCTTCATGGAAGATAAAGTGGTAAGTAGTGTCTGGTTCGTTTACTGTTACTTGGACCCCCGACCTAATGAACATTACTGCTGATAAGGTCATCCACTGACCCCCGTTCCGACTATCCCTCCGCATCTATCGGCGGAATGCAGGAAGCTGACTACGTTGAGTATGAACTGTTATCGCAACAGAATAATGCCGCTCTGGCTCTGGGCAACGGGCGGAACTGGAAGTCCTCTTTGCGTTGGGTAAAAGTTATGGAAAGTTCATAGTAGACCTGATCGTAGACCGCTAGCGGCAGGTCTCCATCTACCCTTAACCATCTCCCAACGGCATACTTCCTTGATTCGTCGCAATTCACAGAGCCAAGCACGGCAGCATGCCTTCTGTAGGTACATCAATCTCGGCGCGGCGAAAGTCGCCAACGGAGTAGACGTTATCCAACCTGTCTACAAGTACCAGCCCGTGAAAAACGCTGACGAATTTCGCCTGCTCAGACTCGAGCCAGGCCGCGGCTCGGACCCTATACGCTGCCGCCTTGAGAATGTGTCTCTCCGGTCCAAGCCCAAATATGAAGCTCTCTCGTACACATGGGGCGATCCGCAAAATACCAAGGCGATCCTCTGTGGTGATGGGAGAGTCGACGTTACCATCAGCCTTTTTACGGCACTGGAGCGACTGCGATACCCGCATGCTGAACGGGTGATCTGGGCAGATGCGCTCTGCATCAACCAAGCTAATTTAGATGAGAAGAATATACAGGTCCCGTTAATGTAGGACATCTATTCGCAGGCCGAGAGGGTGCTGATATGGTTGGGAAAAGGTTTCGCCGAGACGGGAGAGGCTTTCCTTGCCCTGGAGAAGCTGGATGCATATTTTCGAAGAAACTTAGAGCACTATAGTCCCAATCACGAGGTGTATGTCAAGTGGTTGATATCGGTGGGCAATGGCGATGTACCGTATCAGCTTCTCACCAGGGATCAAGCCGCAGAGCTTCGGAACTTTGAGTGGGACAGTATTGGAGAGCTACTGCATCTCCCATGGTTTACGAGAGTATGGACCTTGCAAGAGTATGTCCGAGGTCGCGAAGCCGTGATGCTATGTGGTGAGCAGAGTGTCCTCTTTGAGTGTGCCTCTAAGCCTATTACAGAATTATGGCTCCAATTCATTTCTCTGGGAAGATTTGGAGAGATTGGACTAACCAACAATTTCCCGTTGGAATCTGTTTGGTCTATCCGGCAGATGACTGAGTTGCACTCCGACAGGTTCAGCAGGAAGGCGGATATCATCAGCCTGGCGGAGAAACACAATGCTAGGGCATGCAAGGACCCAAGAGACAAGCTCTTTGGGCTGTTGGGCTTAGCAAAAGATGTGTCCAGGACCGATTGGGAGATCCAGCCTAGATATGATATTCCAGTGGAAGAAGTGTATAAACGATTTGCGGTTTGGTGCATCAAAAAGAGAAATAGTTTAGAAATTTTTTCCAGCCGCAAAGACTACAAGGTCAGGTCAAACCTGAGACTGCCCTCTTGGGTGCCTGACTGGAGTGAAGAAGGAGGGAAGGGAGACATGGACATTCCCCTGTTAAAATCCAAGGCGTCAGGAAATTCCTCTTCTCGTGTAACGATTTCAATTCATGATGATAACGTTCTCCTTGTTGATGGCGTCCTAGTGGATAAGGTCAAACGACTGGCAACCTCGTACCATCAAATGAGTCTGTGGGACGACTTTCGGGACATGGCAGCTGAACTTCAGCACGGTGTGAATTCTCAAACCAGGCAGCAGATGTTACGATTTTGGCGCGATGAAGATCTGGTTGCGGAGTACATTGATGGCCTTTTGGAGGCGCAGATGGCTGTGCAAAGATACTGTAAACCCAGCGCATCCCCCCACGCCTTACGGCACATCGCTTGGTTCGAGATGTGCAGAGATATTGCATCCGAAGGTATGGGACAGATGTCATCGGAGCGGTATGAGAAGTTCTGGAGGACCATGATTAGCAACCATACAATCATAGAATACCCAGCGCCGAGCAGCTTCCGTCTAATCTTCGAGCAGTACTTGAAACAACTGGAGGACCTGCAGGATGGAAGACGTAAATCTTCAGCGCCCACCGAAACGGCTCACTTGCCGAGTTCCACTCTGGCACCATATATTCCAGCATCATACACGGACGAAGAGCACGACAGATGGCGCATAATGAGGACCCTCATTGCCCGAACGCGGCGCAAAAGGTTCTGCTCCACTGATAATGGCAGGCTGGGATGGACGCCCGACCCGGCCCAGGAGGGCGATCTGATTTGCATATTTTACGGCGCAAAAGTGCCGCATGTGCTACGGCCCTGTGGTGATGGCAGGTACAGGCTGCTAGGAGGTGCATATCTCCACGGCATGATGGATGGAGAAGCAATGCAGATGAAAGATCTGAAGGTGAAAGAGTTTGCTTTGTGCTAATTAGGGCTATCATCCTTCAATGTAATGAGTGGCAGAGATAACCTGAAGGACACGAACCTGAGCTCTCCGAATTAGGAGCGGCCAGGAATCCGGCCTCCATTGGGGTCCTCAGGGTAGAATTCAGTTGATGCTCAGGGATGCTCAGGGTTGCTTATTCGTCGCTTAGGTTATAGTCACGTATATTCAGGTCTTGGATTAAAATGGGAATTGGAAAAGTCAAGATTAGTGTATGAATATACCGATATTATAATTATTATTATATTGTTCAGCTTCACTAATTACTAGTAGATTTAAGGATTAAGTTACGTAACGTAGGCGGCAACTTCATAAAGACAGACTAGACGTAACTTTTTTAAAATAAGAAAAGGATAAAAGGATAGAAGGATAGAACTTTCTGTGCGTTTTCTCTGCGCATTCTGCGTGCTAATTCTGTGCGTTCTTTCTGCTCATTTCTGTGCCCTCTTTCTACGCATTCTGTATGCCAATTCTGTTCTACGCATTTTGCGTACTAATCCTGTGCCCTCTTTCTGCGTATTCTGTATGCGTATTCTTTACGCTTTTTCTGTACATCCTGTATACGTATTCTATATACGCATTATGTACGCTCTTTCTACACATTCTGATTTTTGATAGAGTACAGCTTAGCAAAATTCTGCAGCCTTAACGCCCTAAAGCACTGCTTATTTGTAACTAATCCCAAGAAGGCAAGAAGACTTCAAACTATATCCAATAAGAACGCTAATTCTTTGGCCTGCAGATTTAAGCTTATAGCACTTTGTGGTTAATGCAATGGCTCGAAACTAGAACAAGTCAATAGTCCATAGATTGCTAAAACGTAAGCTGAGGAGTCTATCTACAGTGCGGCCAGCGCTCCACTCTATATACTCCTCCATCGAATACCAGGGGTGCTACTAGTTAACCTGCGCGGAGGATCCGACGGAGTACCTGCAGGGCCAGAAGCGGTAGCTTCCCTCTGGAGGAGATTTGTACTTCCCTAAAGGGGTTGTATCAATCTCCTGTTCTATGGTACTCGCACGGGGAGCCACGTGCCGTACGAATGCCTCTATCGGCGGCATAGTAGCTTGACGGCAAGGAGTTCCGCGTGCGGTTGTGGATACGCCATCGGCGCTGCCATCAGAGTGCGTGGCTGGTCACGTGTATTTCCTGCGCCATGGCAGAGGAAATACTTTATCCATCATAGTTAATTTATTAAGCTTAGCGGTGCTTTTATATTAAATAATAGATATATAAAAGAAAGTAATTTTATAATAATAAACAATTAACTACGGATTTAAAAAAAAGATGTAATCTTTAAAGAATATGGAGTTAATAAAATTAAATTAGGTAACAAAAAAAAGCGGTAGTTTGCCACAAAACCCGTGATGCAATAGGCGCCGAAAGCAGCGTCAGAGACTGCCTAAAACAGTGTCCTATGTCCCGGAATCTAGAGTTGAAACGTAGTTTCGCTTCCAGCACGCTGTCCCTTCCGGCTTAGCGCGCCCAGGTCTCAGCCGGCTTCCCCCCGCCACTTTGCGTGACTATCCTTTGCGTGGGGAATATGTAAGTGCCGTTAGTGGAAATCGCAGCTATTCTGTCAAATAACGACCATACTAATATGATAAGAGAAGCATATTCTGATCATACTATGATCATATTATCAGTAAAATTCGTTGTAGATAATAGGATTTCATTGGATCACGGATGACTTGGCTACGTATTCTAGTATACACTAAGCAGTCTTACGATTAGGCTAATTTTAAGCGCACTGTGATGGCTCTCCTAGCATTATTTTTCAAGACCTCTTCCTGCTAAGTAATAGGTGATGATGATTGTATTATTTCTCTCTCACACGTTTCGCTGTCCCTTTCTGCAATGACGTATTCATCTTCCAAATTCTAATTCTTAACGACTAGAGTCTGTTAGAGGATGTAGCAAATAGCGTACGGAGATACCAATTGAATTGATTGAGTTACTCCTATCAAGAGGAGCATTTGCTCACACTAATAGCTATAGAAGCGCATTACTGCAACAGCTCAGAAACAGCATTTGGCGTTCAATTCGTATAGCAATGCTCACTGCCAAAAATAACAGGGCGTAAAAGTTACAAGAGCGTTTCGTGCGTTTCGCATGCGGGGACCCCTGTATCATCCTGCTAATACGTAACAGATACGTATCGTATGCGCAGGGATTCTGACAGAGTCAAGTCGGACGAAATGGGAATGATGCGTCTTGAAAGCTGGACAACCTCACAGAGCCTTGGACGAGGGGTTGCTGGAGCGCAGGCGCACCGCAAGGCTTTTTCGACGGCGTAGCACAGCTTGATTGCTATCACCAACCATTTATCCACCACGATGCATCCTTCTTTCCTGTATTTGGTGGCATAACTTTGATTTACCTCTCAAAAGCGTCAAGATGGCAGTTGCTCTCCGAAACGCTGCCCGATTGAAGCCAGAGATTCAACTGTCGCAGGCGCTGCACGATTTTGAGGCAATCCTCGACCAGGATCAGATGGCCCAACTCGATGAGTTCAAGAAGGAGTTGCCGCCGGGCGCGGGCGCTCCTCTCGCCTTCACCAGCTTCCTTGATCGCAGTCTGCAAAGTCGGTGCAATCGGCGTTGCATGGGCCCTAGAGTGATTAATCTGCTGCAGAGCGCGCAACAATTCTCGACAGTTATAGACGTCGTCGTTGGAGGTACCCAGAGTCTTCTTGCAAGCTCAGTGTGGGGTATACTGAAACTTTCGTTACAAGTTAGCCGCAATTCGGAAAGACCTAGCCAGGCAGCATACTCACAATAGCTAGATCGGTTCCAATTACTCCCAGTACTATGACAAGCTATCGTTGCTTTTGATGGACATTGGACGGACTTGTCCCCAGTATCAACAGTTTGGGTCACTATTCGCCGAGTCAAAGGGCTTGCAACGAGCTCTATGCGAGTACTTTGCTGCCGTCATCGGCCTATGCAAGCATATTGTTATCTTCTCGCGCAAGACATTCATTGCTCAGCTGCCAAAGTTAGTCCTTCCATTCGATGCAGCTTTTTCAGATATCCAGACAAGTCTTCGCCAATTATCCACCGCGGTTCGGGATGAAGTCGCCTTGGCTTCGAGCAAGCACCAGAAGCATGAGTGTAGCTTGAACGCAGATGAACGACAGAAGAACGCTCGGTTTCGAGCACTGGCGACAATGTTCAGGGACCAAAGTCTCGCAGAAGCCCGGCGTACAAACAAACACTACCTCCAACAATTAAGGTCAGATTTCTTGGGTAGACTGTCCAACTACGACCACGTGACGGCTTGGAAACAATCTCGAAGCAAAGGTACTGTCAAGTGGATTTTAGAGGAAGATGCATACAGTCAGTGGAAGACGGCCTTTTCTTCTGGGATACTACAGCTAGTTGGGAATTTGGGATCGGGTAAAACCGTGCTGATGGCCAATGTTGTAGCCGATCTGGTACTTCAGAATCACGTCACCATCAGCTATTTCTTTTGTAGATTTGACGATGCTGCGTCCCTGAATGCGAGGACGGTCATCGGCAGCTTGGCGAGACAGCTACTCTTGGACGTGGCATTCCAGGTGTCGGAGTCCCATTCAAACGCGATGGATGTTGATGGGGTGGTTGGATTCCTACTGGAGGTTCTCCCATTAAAGAGCGGGCGAAGCAATATCATATGTCTCGATGGTATCGACGAATGCGTGGAAAGTGAAAGACTTCTGGTCCTCTCGGCGCTCGAGCGCTTGTCCGGCGTGCCGAAGTTGAACCTCAAAATCATTTATAGCACAAGGGCCGACACTCAGCAAGCTGCCGGGCAAATACTGACCCCCTACGAAACGATTTTCATGTCTGGCATAGATATGAGGGCCGAGATTTCCGAATACATTCAGACTAGCCTAGAAGAACGACTTGAGAGGAAGCAATTGACGTTGGGTGATCCTAACCTGATCCTACGTATCCAAGAGGAATTGGAAAGAAGAGCCAATGGCATGTATCTATGGGTCTACCTCCAATTAGAGTCATTATGTGAACAGGAAACTGATCGGGATATTGTTCAGACGCTAGAAGATCTGCCTAGGAATATGCACGAGACGTATACCAGGATTCTTTCGCGCATAAAGGGCCGTGTGTCACTGACTCAAAAAATATTCGAAACCATCACAGTCGCTCAGCGACCTTTGTCGACCGAAGAATTGCGTGAGGTTCTCGCGGTTGAGCCAGGAAAGCTTACTTTCAAGGCAGGTAGCCTAGTCAACAGAATCTTGAAGACTTTAGCTCAATGCGGCGGTAGTCTTTTGGTCGTGGACGAAGAAGACTCTACCGTGCGATTTGTGCATGAATCAGTTCGCCAGTTCCTCACAGGCGGGATCAAAGAAGAGTCCGACATTGCGCAGTACTATATCGACACCCAAAAAGCCATCCTTGATTTGGGTATAAGCTGCGTGACGTACCTCAATCTGGGCATTTTCAATACCCAATTGTCCAAAGCCTGCAATTCAGCGCCTTGGCAGGGAATTTCTCCAATGAAAATCATCAAGAACAGCCTTGCAAAGGATAGCATGAGCATGAACCTAGCCTTGAGTCTGCTCAGAGGTGGAAAGGGCACCAATTGTGACGTTGGAAAACAGCTGGAGCGAGTCGCTGCTCTTGCGAATCCGGCAACAGAGCTGACTTATGTCTTTCTACCATATGCCAAGGCATATGTCCTCACACATACTAAGGGACTTCTTGCCTGTGATGCTGAGCTTGATTCTATGTTTTACAAAATCTTCAATGGTTACCTCCCACACGTACCCAAACCATGGGCCGATGAAGAGGGTGAAACGTTGGGCAACAATGCAATATCCTGGGCCGTTGACCACAATCATCTTGGTCTTGTCTATCGAATTCTTCGATCCAATGCATCTGGAGGAGAGCAAGGTAGCCTCGGTCCTGCGGGAAAGTTCAAGAATGTTCCTGAAACAGTGCTTGACAATCTGCTCAGCTTGGGATTTACTCGTCAAAGGATGGAGGTAGTCCACCTTATTCTCAATACAGTATACATGGAGCGTGACTTCATGATGGCTTTGCTGACACAAACAATCGCTTGTGGCAATACACTGCTAGCGGAATGGAAGCGAAATGTTAACCTGGCGGAAATCAAAATATCTCTCGAGTTCCTTGAAACAGGCCAAACAGCACGCTACGATATCAAGTTGAAGCCCATGGTGATGAGATACCGGGATTACGGACTTTACACGGTGGAAGTAGATGAAGCTTGGGACCCTTTCGCGCTCGCAGCTGCGTCCAATAACGTAGCGGCAGTCGACCTAATGATGATGAACGGAGAAGGAATATCTGGACACCTCGATGCCACGAAGAAGGCTCGGGTTCTGCGGATTCTGCTTCGTGGTTTACGCGAGGCCGCTTGCCGTAGCCACGTCACTATGTTCAAACACCTCCTCTTCACATTCCCTCTCCACTTATACCGACAAGAAGACTCAGAAGTTTCAGACGCCGAATACGATGAATACAAATGGACACCCCTCCATTATGCCGCAACTTTACCAGACTCGACAGTCTACCAATCTTTACGCGACGAATACTACAATTCGAAAGCTTTTAACCCTGACACACTTTTAACTGAGATCCTTTCTCTGCCAAAAGGGCAGACCATACCGGTTTTGAAGTTTGATCCGACCGAGAAAGAGGTTGCGAACTTCTCGGAGGAGGAACAGGACGAAGAAATGCAGCGGGAAGTCCCTACGGAGACGTTGCAGCCAGCACCAGGTCGACCTCGTTGGAGGTTATTTCCCCGTCGTGCAGTAAGGAACGATCATGAAGTAAGGGACGGTGATAAATTAACAAACAGGATTAGAGAACAACCACCACCTTCTCCGCCATTATTCTCTTCGTCAATTTACCTACAGTCATTGCCACGTTTTGAGCTACAGTCATCGCCAGTTTTTGAGCTGCCTACATTATTATACTTTAATGCAGATAGCGCATCGCCAACGACCGTGCCGAGGAGCCCAGCTGCAGAAAGTGCAGTCGAGCCACCCAGTGGAAGAGAGAATGACGTCATCAGTCCGTCATTGGGCAGAGCGGCCTTTGGCGATAATAAAGATGGCCCACGTATCTTTAGTACCCTGTCGAAGCGACACTCCATGCCATTACGGTTCAGCATACACGCCTCCAGGCCGGACAATATTCAACAAAACGACTTTCAAGCGCAAGCACTGCACGCCCTGAGCAAGGCGCTCGAAGCACAAGCAGCTCTCACCCGCGCTTCTTCTCCGTCTACCGCGAACGGTAAGCCCGGGTGGTGGTGGTGGTGGTGGGAGAATCCTCAGCTCATGTTCTTGATGTTCGTGCTGTGGCCGTCAATCCTGGTCTGCTGCTGCTGCTGCTGCTGCTGCTTGTTGGTCTACATGATGCTGCAAAGACCAGAGCAGAGCGGGCAGGGAAACGGACAGTGTGTTTGGGATGGTATGGATCTTTGAAAGGCGTTTGGCAATATTGTTTTAAAGGAGAAATAATTGACGATTATGATACCCCAGTTGGCAGCACTGTTATGGAGTTTTCTTTTCATTGTATAGATCCAGCCATCGTCTAACGGACTTTTTTCACATCCATATTTGAGTGTCAGCGGCAGAATTGATTATAATAATGATTCGACTAGTGAAGGGGCACCGCAAAGCTTGAATATTGGCTTGAAAAATGCGGTAAGCTCACTTGGGGAATATCGACGCCGCCACCGCCTGTATACTGGCGACAGCGAGCTCTGTCATCCTAATTGGCCCTCTCCTCGTTCTGTCGTAATTCCAGCTCTGTTTAGCCCCTGATCTTGGGGCATTAGCAGCAGTTTTAGGAGCTACTTTGGTGCCTTCTGACAGCCTGATTTTGCTTTGATTTTTTGCGCATAAACAGACTGCGTTGACCGCAGGATAGCGTAGGAGAATTATTAGAGTGTTTCAGAAGGTTCTTCCATGTGGCATGGGTGACTTGCTATCTTCTCTCAGACCCCCCATCTGCACCTTCTAGGCCCGATGACCATGAGCAAGCGCCTGCCTGTGTCCGCTGAGCTCCAATACCATTGGATAACGTAGTACCATTGCCATAACGAGCATTTACTGACTCCATGGCCAGTCTGTAACTTTCAGATTGTGACACTTGGGCTAGTTCTATGTCGTATGTATGCTAGGTGCCCGCCTCCTGTCACAATACATACGGTGTTCGCACCCGAAGCAGGGATGGGCATTCTCTTTCAAGTGCTCGGTGCAAACAACTGTCACAACATCAACTGCCATACTTTCTCTTCTTATCCTCCAATGTCTTGACATCACTGTCTCTAGGATCACGATACTCTTTCGAAGGATCGCCTTTGTCTCGAGCCTCCCGGATCTCGGACTGGCCGGAGGCTGGTACCTTGTTACTGTGGATGAAATAGTAGGATGGTATTGCAGCAGCAAGCGCCGCGGCAGCGATTCTGTGGCAATTGTCACACTCTGTCTCCTTCCGTCATTCAGCTGCGGATTTCAATGCTTACAAGGGAATATTGTTCCGTGTCAACGGAGTAGTCTGATTAGCTTTAGGTATGTCGGCGTAAGCCCGGGCTGCCTGCATATTGTTTGGAGCGCGTCTAGCACTCTTCCCCAGTTGGCGAAGTACTTGAGTTCGTGCATGCAGTATGGTTTGCATTTTGAAGATTGAAAGACGACCAGTAGCAGGGGCAGCTGATGATTGGCAACTGGAATTCGCTTCAAGTGGAAAAGCAAGCTGCGTAGTCTATGGCCTCTAAATGATGATTCATGTTCCACCGAAAAACCACATATGTGTGACAAAAACAACGGTAACGTCAGCATGACCATATCAATTCAGATACTGACTCTGACGTATTTTTCTTGCCAAGGGGGCCAAGAATCTGGTGGCGAGCTTGGCCCCATTGCTTGTTTACTACGTAGTACAATGTACAGCGGGCAAATTTCTTCAGCTGGCACGGTATGTGAGGGATGTGTTTGTGCTCAGCCTACGCGACTTTTTGTCTACGGCTTTGCTCCTCGGAACCACCATGGAACTGCATATCTTCGGCCGCCTAGGGGCGTTTAGTGCTACCGAGATTGACATTCTGAAGGAGCTCGAACGATTCCTTCGAGTGCTTGCAGGGTATGTACTGATAAGCGACAAGAAATTAGGAATGGACACTTTTGTGAAATGATAGGGCAAGAGGAAATTCATGACTTTCACGGACGATGATTCCCAGGAATAGCGGCAATTGAGATTTGAAATGCACCTGATCACCATATAATTTGCCATTGCCTGTCGAACTACCTATTGCTATCGCACTGTTAATGGCAAATGCATGGTCAAATTTTCTTGGCAACCTGACAAGAGGATATCTGAAGTGGAACATTTGAGAGCAGCACACAATATCAAGGGTGTTGCACGGCTGGTCGGACACAGGCGGATAACGGGTGTCGAAGAGATGCGAAGAGGCTTGATATACTTGAGGTATCTTGCTGTCAGTAATACTCAATCACAAATCTATATTCTGTTGGCCGCTATCTCATACATATCTGGCTGGTTCAAGTACGTTCATTCTACACAACCTCATCACTACCTTGTGATGCCTCGAATGGGTACAGCAGCGCACATGAAGGGTGCAGGCCAGAGATCCGGAGTCAAAGTCCTTTGGACTCATAGCACGAGATTCTCACCAAAACTGAGCACAGACCAATCTCACAGTTTTGGCCTCGGGCCCCGGCCCAGAGCGGCCTTCTGTCCAAACGAATCTGTGACAGATGGATTGACTAATTAGTCCTCCTTCGAAGGCAAGTAGCTGACTGATATACACGGTAGGTAGCTACGTCCGTCCTAGCTATTCCAGTGGATGGGCACCAATTCGATACAATCAACTGGTACCTCTCTGTCAAGCCGTATGAGTGCTTATTGGCCTGTTTTCTACGTTTAATCCCTGCTATTCTCCTGCGTTTGACAAGTCACTTTCTGGTGCAATTTCGGGGCAGATTTCGCTGTACGGTACAGCCTATTTTGTACGTGTGTGTACGTGCTAAGCTCCTTAATAGTTATTGCAACTTGATCTCTACACACTCCAGGAGGCAGGTTAACACCAACCAACTGCACTGTTCAGGTCATTCAGATTTGGCTAAAGGTGCAAAGTTGCCCCCGGGTGATCTTGAACTTCTTAGCTAGAGCCATGGCCCTGCGGGCCTTCGGCCCTTGTGTTTGTGCAGCTTCAAGATTCCGACATGCTTTTCTCTTATGATAGGATGGATGTTTCTGAAAGCGTAGGTAGCCAGAAGTTGCTACAAGTTTTGGCTTATGTGAGAGTCCGTTCCGAGCTGTCCTCCTCTTCACGGTTTAACTAGCCTTGCCTGATCGGGCAAGGCGTCACCTGACCCCTTTGGGCGGAATCAAACGCTCACTGCCGCTCAATCCTTATCTAGCCTCCTTCCATCATCTCCTCCTTTTCGTTTCTTCTTTCCTTCGTGTCTCTTCTACCTTAGATGGTTCGAGGTTTCTACCTGCTGCGCTGCCGGCGTGCTCCACCCAATTTCATCCCTACCCGCTAACCGTCCCTCAACCGGACGGTCCAATTGTCGGCCTGGCCATTGACACTGAAGCCCGAGTAGCGTCTCTGCTATGCCAGACCAGCCACTGGCTGTTCATGTAACGGAGGCATAGTCGAAGCCATCACCTCCCTTTCTCAATTCCCTCATTCGCGCGACCATAGGATCCAGTGTTAATGCCACCCTCGAAGCAGTCGATCTGAGCGATTTCTACTTCTCACCCATTTATTATCTCCTCGTACTTCTCTTAATACATAGCCTCCTCATTCTCAGCTCCGATGACGCGATTGAGTTCTCCATGTTCAGGAGTTTCATCCGGCCGAGGGGCGATGTCGCCGTCATTGCTGTTATCTTCCCATTCTGTGATATTCTCATGAGCGTCGCTCGCAGCGGACATGCTGCCAGCGCTGCCACCGCTATCATCTTCCCATTCTGTGATATCCTCATGAGCTTCGCTCGCAGCGGACACGCTGTCGTCCACGTCAGAGGCCTCGTAAATGCGAGAGAAATACCCCCATCGGATTCTACTACGCTCTGCTTTCCAATCATCCAAAGTCGAGTTTGACACTGGAAGCTTCAGGCCATCATGGTAGTCAGTAGAGACTACCACCCATGTAAAGCCGGATGTGGCCGGCTCAACTTCCGCCGTCTCCAGCAGCGTATATCCGACATAACTGAGTGCTTTGGTCCATGCATCCCATCTAACACGAGTCGCGCTGCAGAAGTCTGTCGGAGAGAGCGCTATATCGGTGGAAAGCTTGTTTGGATCGCATCCATTAACGAGCGCAGTGATTAGTGCATCACGAAGTTGTTCCTCTTCATAGTCTTCGTGATTTTTCGTATAGGCCAGCAACAGATGAAGAGCACCCGCACCATGATTATCAAGAGCGGTCACGTCAGCGCCTTTGCTATCAAGGATCTTGAGAACTCCGTACTGCTTTTTAAAGCAAGCTAAAAGCAGAGGAGTTCTACCGTAAGGATCACGGCCTTCCAGCTCACAGCCCATTGCTATCAAATCACTAAACAGCCCGGAAAGTTGTACATGGCAGACTAGATTACCAGCATTTTTACCGGCATTTGAGACCCACCGCCATAACTCTCTAATGGCACAATGCATGATATTTTCGGGTTCGTGCATTGTGGGCATATTAGGATCGCAGTTTCGTTCAACAGCAGCAGCAGTCATACGTCGAGCATTTTCAATGATCATTTTCAGCCTACAAGGGGAGTATGTCCGCTCGTTGTATGTACTGGTAGAGGCTTCTAATTTGTGCCGAAGGTTCATCCAAATGGTATACAGGAGCCCTCCACCATACCTAAAAATTGATCAGAGTAAATTCTCAGGCCCTGCAGACAATGTGGCGAGTGCAAACTCACGAGTCACCAACAGGGACCATCAGAGCATTCGTGCCTTCGCGTAGGAGGAACATATACGCTTCAAGCGAACCGAAATAAGCTGCCTCCTATCACATGTCAGCAAAGCTAGATGCCAAACTTTCTAACTTAAACTAGATACAATGTGAGGGTGCAAATATGTACTCACCGATAGAAGGGACCAACCGTACTCATCGCAGTCATAAGGTGAGGCTTCGCCAGCTGCGAAAAGCTTCTGCAAACCCATGACATCATTCTCTTTTGCGCAAATGAAAGCCTCCGACGTGGTGGGCACCGTGTTGTAAGTTTGGACGAGTCTCATAATCTTTGGCTCCATGCCTGTCCCGAACTGCTTGAAAAATGCTGCTGTAACTCCCACTGAGGAGAGATTCAGTTTGGGAAAGAAGGATAGCCGTAATGCTAGTAATGATGACGAAGATTGGCCAACCCTACGGGCTCCTTCATCATGCACACTAGTTTCTAAGACAAGGATTCCGGCAGCGGTATGGATTTGGTGCCTTCGCTGGAAACGATGCGCTCTTTGAAGCTTAGACGATAATATATGATGCTGATTTTGGTTTCGGCTCTTGCTTCTTGACGAAGATGCCTTGGAAGAGGTGGTCCGAGTGGCTGGTGCCGACCCGAGGTGGTGAGCGGCCCTTTTACAAACTTTGCAGCGTCTGCTTCGCGCCGCCAGAGCAGCGGCCTCATGACCATAGACCAGTAATTTTTCAAACTCTTCCTCAACCCAGCGTGCTTCAGCACGAGAAATCTTGATAGAACCTTCCGTCATTAAATTTCGGATGGCCTTGGATAGGTCCGTCTGCATTAGCAGGAGCGGTAACACAATTGCGCCGAGGTTTTCGCCCTCGAAGAAGATCTCGTTGTCTTCAGTCTCCGTAAGACTAATGGTGGTAATTTGTTGTGTAAGGGATGAACAGACATCATCAAGTCGAGTCATGAGTTTGGAGGTCGAGATTTTATGCTGCCGAACGAGTGCACCTTGCTCCCTCCGGCCGTGGGTCAAGCTCTTTTTGACAGAGCTCAGGCTTTGATTGATAATCTTTGCACGGTCATCAATGGCAACATTTATGCCACTGAGCTCCGCATGGCCAGAAGCGAGAGACTTCTCCACTGTAAGGAACGAAGCGGAATTGGCCTGCTTAGATGACTGGATAGCGGCAGAAACTTGCTGGACACCTTGTTCTATGGTATGCGAAGATACTGTGACGTTTTGCCGTAGGTCTGAATAGTTTGCTTTTGTTGAGGCGTGAGCATCTGCAATATCTTCCCTAATAGCTTTGAGTTCTCGACGAAGGACGATGTCATTTTGCCTGTACAGTTGTCAGTGTGCGATTCAGGATACAACGAGTAGCAAGTTCATAGTGCATATCGTAGAGAGGCAAGGAAGTATGTTATCTGATATGCCTATGGTCATACTCGCAGGTATCACTTGAATGCGGCAATGGTATCATCTAAGGAAACTGCACATCGTAGGGCCGTTTCCGGCATATTTGATTGCATGTTCACATCATTTCGGATCAAAAGCGGGGCTACGTTGCTTACCTTCCGGTCAGCGATAGGGCCGTGTTTAGAGTGACCATGTATCTTTCAATTTGCTGACAAGACTTCAGGACCTTTTGATCGTCTAGCGCCCAGCCCAAGCCCTTTCCCCATTGTCTAAACCATGCATCGTTTGCGTTGCTCTTATCGTTTTTCGCAATCCGCTCGAGCTCCTCAAGCTCTCGCTTACAACACCGCAGCGTAGTCTCAAGCTGAGGCAGAAGGACCTGCGAATCCTCCAGCGCATACGGCGACCGACTGTATTCGCTGGCAAAGGCTCGGACTTGTGCAACAATCTCTGAGAGTGTTTTAAGGTCGCTCAGTAGGCGAGGGACGTCCTTGGACGCGTTACGGCACCGCAAGTATAGATCTGACGATGCTATACCTAAGCGGAAAACGACGTCTGCGAGACCAACAACGGCGAAAGCGTTAGCGGCTGTTGAGTAGGTTGACATGGCCGACGGCCCTTGTGCCAAAAGACGTATGCGAAAGAGAAGCTTGCCCAAAATAAGAGACTGTATTGATTGCAAAGCAGTTTCCGAAAACTTTGAGCCTGCTGGATTTCCTCGAAATCAGACCTCACCAAGCTGTTCATGCATGGAAGAAGAGTAGAAAGCAGTTGCCCAGTGCCAAGATATGCATTGTGATCTCAGAAGGCAAAAGAGGCGATAATTCCTTCCCCATCGTTCATGAGTCTTGATAGTTACTACTTACATGATCTCGTCTTTCAGAAAGATCATCAGTAAGAAGTAAATACGGTGTACATATATAAGAGAGTTCTGGTTTCTTTCTCCATCTACAATCGTTAAAACGGCGTTCAAGAACAATCAGAATCGGCTGCCAGCGTGCTGGAAACTAGTCCCTAAGAGATTTATCAGAAGTGAAGCTCCGCTCATAGCCACAATCGAGCACCGCATATCCTCGAAAGCATTCCTCCCATCGATAGAGGTTTTCCGGAGGAAGCACTGCACAGTGGTAGAGCCAATTTGCGCATCGCCTATCGGGTCATCGAGCCATATCTCTATCGTTGGATAAAACCCATAGAACGCATCATTGTCTGACCTACCTGAATTGAACTTCTGGCCTGCAACGCGAAGGCCAACTAATGCCATGGTTAGGTTTCTTGCTTTTGCAGCGGAGTTCTGCCTCCAAAACCGATCCCTTCAAAGGTGAGGTATCCGGACTTAACCGCTCCAGTGCTGTGAGTAGCTACGGGGAGGCATTTGACGTCAACGACAGTCGCGGAATGAGTCTCCGAGTCGCCAATAAAATCGAAGTAAACTGTGGACTTGGTGGACGCCCAGGACCAGGAAGGGGCAATCCACACTGTTGGCCTTGGTTGGCACCGCCGTGTACTGGCAGAGGTCCTCAATTAAGGTATCCTCCCACAATCCGGCCAAGTACTGGGAAGCCCTGGTCTGCCTGCATTCCCACGCAAGTTCGTTAAAAGTGACGTGAAGGAAACGAGCAGATAGCAGAAGATATGGATCATATGTCGAAGGCATGTTCTGCTCTGGTAAGTCTTTGCTGGCTTTACCCGTTCTATCTCTGTTGTCTATGCGATGTCTGAAAAGTTGTCTCGAATCGTCAGACTCGCTGCAGGAGAACGACTCGCTAGGTCGACGTCCAACGAATTCATCTGGGCCATACTTGTCCGCGAGATGCTAATGCTGCCAAGGTCGCCGAACATAAATGGGATGTAGCATGCGTTCATCATGACCAGAGAGCTCCAGCTTACGAGCCTCGTATCGGTCCGAAGACGGGGCATGGAAGCCTTGATCATCGCTGGGCGCGCTTGTAGCACCAATTGTCAGGTAAGCATCTGCATAAATGGTTGCCATTCTTTGAGACTCCTTTTGCCAGTCTTCGTCATCGTCTTGAATGATACACATGGAGTCGATCCACAAGTATCTAATACCAAGTCCCCGCGTGAGAACAACGGCATCTCTAAATGTGCCGGGAAGTTCCTCAAAGGCGATGTTTCTTTGATTGGACATTAAAGTGTTCCTCATGGTCCTTATTGGAGGCCTCGAATCTCCCCAACAGTGGCTTAAACACACGTATTGGGCCTTTTCATTGTTCGTTTCGTATAATTTCAGGTCTTGCCCTGTGGTCTCATGGCCCAGATCGAGGACCCTTTTTGGAAGAGGGGCTTCCAGTCTCCGTCTGCAATCGGTGTGGGTTTAGATGCATTTGCGGATCCATTCCTTTGCCCTGGAGAGGCTTTGTTGTGAAGCTGTATTTTCTATGAGATTGCTTTTCGCCACAAAGGGCAACGGGGGTCGCTGGCCAGTTTCTCGAGAATAATTACCATCAACATGTTATCGCCAGAAACAGTTGCGACGTTGTACGATAGAAGCATAAGAGTGTTGCAGCGCTTACCTGGAAGATGAAAGAAGGAGAATGTATAGATCATCTTTCCTCGATCACACACGCTGAATCTATCCCAAGCAGTACTTCCATACATAAGGCGAAGACGACGTTCATGAAGCCGGCTCCATTGCTCAGGGTTCAGGAAGCATTGAGCGCCACGAAGGATCAAATCACATACACGGCAGCCACGCTCACTTGATGATTGTAGCTTGACGAGGGTGACGGTATGGTCGAGACAGGCAGAGTCGACACAATCAGACCGTGAGCAATTGGTATCAGAATCCAATGAACGTTCATTGGAGGAGTCGGGGTCAGTGATCATTGACCTAGAGAGATGAGAGCTAGAAGCATGAGAACCGAACCTCCCAGAGTGTGGCAGGGAGGGCTCGGAGAGGGGTTTATCCGATGCTTGACTGACACGGCCATGGCTGTTCACTTTGCACTGGTCGGAGCCCTGCTGGCTCATATTTATCATGGCCTTCGAAGTGGTTCGGGCTAGCGAAACCATTGTGCGTGTGGTGGGTTCCTCCCCATCCCAATAAACCGGTGCAGAGCGGGCACGTAAGGTCTGGGGCTATTGACCAACTAGATTCCCAGTCACTGTGATCGCGCTCGTTCAAACCTTCCTGCTCACCAGTACCATGCGAATCGAGACGACTGTTGCCATGGGGCCGGGAGGATGAAGAGGCTGAATATTCACTTTCATCATCCGTGATCCAGCACATGATAGACGTGGAGGTGGATTGGCGACTTAGGTGCAAGAGTAAGTACTAAGCAGAGGCTTCTGCCATGCAGTCCCAATATTCTCCGCTAGCCTTCGAGCTTGAGAATTGAAGAAGTGAGGAAGGGAATGCGAACGACGGGAGTATGGAACTAGTGACGAGTTCTGGGGATGCTGTTCTCTCTTCATCGAGATTGCGTGAACGGATCACAACCTCTGGATCTGTCAAAATATCTGTGCGGTAATTGGGATGCATGCAGTAAGTCTTCCACACACCATCTTAGATTTCGGACGAAAATCATCTACGAGATCAGCCATCAGCTGTCCGACCACTCATAACCGGGGAGTCGCTCACTACTTTCCTCCGCTCGAATCATTGTATCACTGACAATTGCAGACGAAGTCAGTCTAATAGACTAAGTGCATTATATCTAATCGATCGGTATGCAGTGCCAGTTGTATGAAACGGCGTCAACTGGTACTCTCCCTGGTATCGAACGATGGCAGAGTGTAGGTCGACAATGGTGAGTTGGTCTGGACTCTATTTCCCGTTTGGGGAAAGGTGAGAACTTCTCAACCCTAAAACCTCGTGCACTTAGGTGCAGAAACATGTGGCTACCTGGAACGAGTAAAGTGGTGGCATCGATACATGATGTAGACGAGGAAGAGGCGCAAAAGGAGTATAGTCAATAGAGCACTTCCTATCCACCTTTCTGACGTAAATTTTGACATTTTTCTAATTGGTTGTTACAAACGCGATGACGGATAAGAGCTTATAATTGGCAGATAAGCGCGCGGCCCACCAGATTATGCCCAATCAATGTCGCAGTAGAAAAACAAATCTGAATCATTAAGCCAAAGATGACCTAGCAAATATCTTTAATGGGTTTAAGGTTGCAATAGATGTCTGTCATTCGTTGAGACTAATTTAGACACTTGCGCTACTGAGTTTCAGCCACCAATGAGAAAAATGTCAAAATTTACGTAAAGGTGGATATGCTTCAAAGGTCTTGGGTGTTCAAACTTATGATGAAAGCGGTGGGCTCAACTTGACCAGGGCAGCTTTTGTGCCAAATATGTTTAAAGTAATTACCTGGTCAGGTTGGCTTCTGGGTTCAGTTGGTCGGCTAGTTAAGGATTAATAGTAACTACGTAGTAAGTTACGTAATACAGCAGCGCCTAACATAGCTAAACCCCTGTTCTTCGGCCTCAGCCGCGCCGAGTCATTGTGAGGAACACAATAGCAACATCTACTACGTGGTAAGAATCTACAAAATTGACTGGTAGATCGGACTATAGGTTTTATTGAACCACGACTCTCTATTACTCCATGCCCATCTATCTTCAGAATGGATCTTCCGGCCAATGCTGGAGCCTCTTCACCACTAGATCCCACTGCCACAACCTTCAAGATGCCTGCACAACCAAGGATATTAACGTCGAGTGAACCTGTCGTCGAACTACTCACGAACGGACAAATCAAGCAATCAAGACCGCCCCCAGCGAAGAAGGAGAATCAAGCAAGTAATGCTGCTCAAAACATATCGAAGCCCGCTTCGGAAGCCGCGCCAAAAGAAGAAGGGGCCGAGAAACAGCTCTCCAACAAAGAACTTAAACTAAAACAGAAGGCTGAGAAGCAGGCAAAAAGGGCGGCACAGAAAGCTGCCCAAGACGCTGAAGCACTGGATAAGGCTCAGCAGCAGCAGCCAGAGCAATCCTCCGCAGACCAGAGGAGGCCATCAAACACAGGCAAAGCACAGCCGAGCCAAGGGGTCAAGATCACTGACATGACCACGCATCACAAACGGGCGGCAGATACTTCAGTCAAGAGTTTGCCCATCAGGCCTCCAACAGGACTCACATCTCAGACTAAGGAGGCAGAAGCTGAGAAGAAGTCACCCCCAGAGAAAAAGGTCACAGTATTTAGCCATCTCTACAGCAAAGACCGCCGCACCGGCATTGCTGGCGTGAGCAGGGAAATTCACCCCGCTGTTCTCACCCTAGGTATCCAGCTTCGGGATTACGTTATCTGCGGCGGCAACGCTCGCTGCGTCGCCACCTTACTAGCATTCAAAAAGGTCATCCAATCCTACACCACCCCTCCATCTGTCGCCCTGCCCCGCCACCTAACAACGCATCTCTCCCACCAAATCTCCTACCTATCCTCCTCTCGCCCCCTCTGCACCAGCCAAGGCAATAGTATCCGCTGGCTGAAAAAGCTAGTCGTAGAGCTCGACCCTAAAGTCTCAGATCCGGATGCGCGTGATTTCCTCTGCAAGAGCATCGACCTCTTCATTCGCGAGAAAGTCACACTAGCTGACGAAGTGATTGCGCGCGAAGCAAGCAAGAAGATCGTCAACGGCGACACCGTCCTCGTCTATGCCAAGAGTAGCGTTGTTGAGAAAAGTCTTCTGACCGCTCATCGGGAGGGTAAGGCATTCAGCGTCGTGGTTGCGGACTCAAGGCCATTGTTCGAGGGGAAGAACCTAGCGAGGAGTCTCGCGAGGGCGGGGTTGCAGGTGCAGTACTGTCTGCTTACTGGGCTAGGGAGTCTGAATAAGAAAGTGACCAAGTGCTTTTTGGGCGCTTCGGCTATGATGGGCAATGGGAGATTGTATTCTCGAGCCGGGGCGGCGATGGTGGCTATGATGGCCAAAGACTCTGGCGGTATGGTTCCGGAGTTTGGGGCCGTGGGCAATGTGCCGGTGATTGTGTTGTGTGAAAGCGTGAAGTTTTCGAGCCGGGTGGTGCTGGACAGTATTGTCAGTAATGAATTAGGGGAGCCGGATGCACTGGTGGAGCATGAAGACGATGGAATCATTACTCCTTCGGTGGCCCAGCTTCCAGCTCCTGCTGCTGGTGCAAAAAAGGGTAAAGGTGGCAAGGCAGATGCAGAAGAGGAAGATGATTCAGCTAGGAGGAAAAACTTTGGATTGGAAGGATGGACGGAACAGCCAAATCTGCAGCTTCTAAACCTCATGTACGATGTTACGCCAGCGGAGTATCTGGATATGGTTATTACGGAGTTGGGGAGCATACCGCCGAGTGCGGTGAGTGCGGTCAATGGAGTTTGGGGTGGGGAAGCATAATGGAAATGGTTGCATTTATGGAAAAGTGCATGTAACAGCGAGCATTGCTGATTAGTGTTCCAACCCATAAAGGAACTTTGCATCCAAACCAGGGAATGGGAGCATGTTCTATTCGGGGCAGAGACAGGATTGTCCGCTGGATTGATCAGAGAGCAATCTAGCAAAGCACAGTCCGACAGAAGTATGATGTCAAAACAGTCGAGTCTCATTTCAACAACGAGAAGTGAAAGAGCTTGATGAACACGTTGCTCAAATACAAGCTTTGTCGAATATTAGCCTTTTTATGGCTTATTGCTCCTCACGGCAAATCAGTTGGTTGCCGGCCAGAAGAACGATTCATTCTCGACTCCCATCTCCCGTTACAGCACTCGCCAACCTCAAATCCCATCAACCTTCCATTGCCATATCCCGCAAATTACCGGTGCTAGAACTACATTAGCATGCCGTATGCCTTATGATGTACCAGTCCAATTCTACCTTGATAAATCCAATATCCTGACTCTTCTCCCTGAAGCACTGTCTGCAGATATTGAGACCGTATTTTCGAATCAGACCGGCTTTGTGGGTGCAGACTCGGCTGTAAGATTGGAAAATCACGTCAGCAGCTGGTTGTGTATAAAGTGGTGTCGCACTTGAAGTTCAAGTAATGTGATGTACGGGTTTGAAGACTTTTCTTTAGACTTGGATACAGGAGATGTGTTTTGAAAGGGTCTAAAGACGTGGCCAAGGCATACCATTCGCGAGATCCTTTGCCGTATGTTCGTGGGCGCGAGTACCAGACTGATTCGTGAGCCATTTTGAGGTTGTGTTTGGAAGCTTAACGAGAGGGTTTGGAGGAATGCAGAAGGCTGGGTTCATATCAGTGGTCTATCTCTGACAGTACTAAGGGTGTAGTACGTACGGTGAAGTCGTAAGCTGTCTCGCTATCGATGGTGATGTGGGAATCCGTGGTCAAAGCAATTGCGATGTCGAATTTGGAGTTTCAAGTTCAACGGAAATGTGTGCCAAGAAAGTGCGGAGCGCTAAGCCTATCACAGGCAGCTAAGCCTGATCCGGTAGTTTGCGACTCTGCGATACTGCTAAGTTAGTTGTACACCTCACGCTGACTTTATCACTCCCAATTCTCATGCCTGAGAAGTACTGATCAACATGGTATGTAGTCTTATCTTCACACTTACAAACAACAGCAACTGACACTCCGTGCCCTTCAGTCCAGAGACTCCTCCGCAACCTACATCCACATGCACTCGCCCCGCCTCGCCGACCTCTTCGAAGAATTCTGCCGCCCACCCTCCGCCACCACCCCTTCCAACCAAATCCCCCACTCCAACAATCCCTCTTCCACCAACACCGTCACCAACCCTCAAAACTCAACCGGCAATCACAACAACAATGACAATATGGCCCAGCTCCCGGGCCACTTTCTCCCCTTTGAGGAGATCTTTCTCCCTCCGCACCTCGTGCCCGTGAACCCGGAGGACGAAGATGATGTGGTGCCGGATATGCACGCCGCGTTTGGGATTAATAGGGCGTTAGGGCAGGGGCAGGAAGGTGGGGGTGGTGGTACCGCTGGTGGGGCCGGGCATATGAGGGAGCCCGCCTGGAGGGACTTTGGGTTGGAGGAGCTGGTGAGGAGGGGTCCGAGCGGGACTGGGAGCGGGGAGAGAGTGGGCGGTGCTGTTGCTGCGGCGGTCGGGAGGAATAGAAGGGATGGGAAGAGGAGTGGGTTGATGATGATGCGGTGAAGGGTAATTCCCTGAGTGGGGTATAGTAGTATGGTTTTGAGCTTATCATACCCGAAAGTGGCTCTCACCCGCATTACTATCCTTACGACAATGACACCATCCACAGGGAATCTAGTAATACGCAAATTCTCGGGTTGGCTGAACGTCACACATCATATCCTCACTACATCCACCCTGGCTCGATCATACACTTTGTGCAGGACGCTCTTCTCGCCCTTCTCGTCTTCACTCAAAAGCCGTGGTTGGAGCGACATCTGCGAGTATGTTCCAGCGCCTCTACGTTTTGAAAGCGTGCTAGGGTTGATGACCGTGACACCTTCCACAACCTGAGCAGGAAGGGTTAGCAAAAAGCTTCAAGCTTCGGATTGGGTCGTTGGATCACTCACCCTTGCGAAAGCAGGAAGTACGCTTGGTGTTACCAACACGTCAGGCCTTACATTCAACATCTCTCCCAACTTCAGATAACCTACGTCCAGACACGCTCCGGTTGCTAGCCCGGATTCGGTACCTGTCTTTGGCAGATCTTCCCTGGCGACCGGCGGAAACAAGGGAAAGTAATGCCGTTGCTCGATCAAATGTCGTGGCAGTCGTGACAGCATGTCCTCCTGGTTGCTACCGCCAATGACTTCTTCTTTCCGAAGCTCTCCAAGAACATCTTGGGATGACACTCCTACTACCACTTCGTTTAACCAGAAGGTGCATGGATTTGTCATCATTCTCGCTTGTTTCGGAAGTCCTAGATCCTTCCGTGGCAGCTGTTCTTGTGGCCAAGATACGTGCTTGCTGACGGCGTCACGGACGCTGGGAATGAGAACGACTATGATGTTAGGGTTGGCGTTGCAAAGCCGTTGTAATGGAGCGGCGATCATATGGTGAAAGAGGGTGGACATGGTTGCATCTAGGTCAAGACCTTTGATGTCAGGTAGATCGAAGGTCCCAGATGCGAGGAGAGGATGCTCCACGTCTAGAAACGGACCACTCAGAACTAGGGCATCAACACTATCATCTGCTGCTTTCGAGCACAAGGCATTCAGAGGCTCAAATGCCAGATTATCGTCCGCGCAGTACGGACCTGCGCCAAAGATGACGTTGAGAGGAGATGATTCAGCCGTATCGCCAAGTCTTTCATTGCTTGCTTCTATCGCAGTTGGTGCAGATCTTGGGTCTGGAAGGAACGGAATGGCCAGGATCTCCGAAACGACGAAGTCTTCGCCCGAGGCATTTTGACCGCGAAGAGCGACGATCTGGCCTGGGAAGAACCGGAAAGAGATTGAAGAGTTAAGCTTCAGTGGTACACGTCGTCCAGCCCCCATCCGTCTTGATGTCTCAAGGACGAGCGATGCGGCCACAAGTTTTGACTCTGGGGTGTCAGACGCAATCCGGCCAACTGCCACAATCTCACTTGTGCTCTGGCAAGCTGCATTGCCAAATGCGGCATCTTCGAGATTATGGGCCTTCTGAACTATACTAGTAAACTCATCAATTCGTTCGTCGAGGATTTCAGAGGATTCCGAGAGGCGCATCGCCATGGGCCTGTATGCAAACTTCTTCACGTCTGTGTTTGAAGTGAACTTGATCCGTGATTCGGCAAAGGGAGCAATTGGTGCTCCGGCCCTAGGCAAGTGCTCATTTAATGTCTCCACCACCAGTCCAGGATTTTGTCTTTCCACGAAAGCAACAGGCCTGGGAGGAAATTAGCGACTACGCCATATAAATCGATATCGTGGTCCATACTTGAATCCCTCCTGAACATCGCCTCTACTCGAAGCGTTGAAAGCTCCGGGGCCACCATTGGTTTCTGGTCTGCTGACTTTTCTTGGGGCTGGTATGTCAAAATTTCCTTTTCGTTTTCCACCATTCGCATTGATGGCGGTCCTGCGCGGCAGCTTATTCGGCGTGATCTCGTCGAGCCTATTCAAAACATCAGCGGATGGACCATAATCTGCCTGCTCATCCGTACATCCCAAACACATCACCCGAGGCAGCAGCTCGAGGAGTTGCTGCTGCGCCATTCCGTCGATCGGTGCGTGGAGCATGCTTTCCTCGGTTCTCTCGCTCCAGACCATCCTGCACATCCTTCTTGAACATGCGTACAGTGTCGAGATCGAGTTTCGTCTCCTCAGATCCCATCTTAAGGCTGTAGGATTCCCATTTATAGAACAATTCCTGCGGGGAGATGGAGTGCAGCCGCAATGTAGACTCGAGCTCACCCAGAACATCGGGTGGTAGGCCATCGTCAGAAGACGGACAGAAATAGCTATTGAGATCTTCCTTCATGGCTGATATCTGGGTGTGATGAGAGATGTCTGGTTGCAATCTGAAAGTGCGCAGCCTCCAGCTAAAGTGGTTTTGGAGGAGACGCGACCTAACGCGTGTAGATAATTAGCGTGGAAAGTAACTTACGAACGCCAAGCTGGTGTCTCCTTTGGTTGGATGTTGAATCACTACCGCCGCCATTTGATCCTTTGGGTTCTAGGAAGGTCGAATTTGGCGAGGAAAGTGTGAGGCTCTCTATTCACGCATCTTGAATTACTCTTCGCCGAAAGGCCATGGCATCTACCACAATTCTGAATACTTCCCCCGTGCAAGAAGCTATGAATGACTTGCACATATCAGAAAAGGACACGATAGCAAAGTCTACTATAGCAGATACATACTCCGCGATGATAGACGATATGTCCTTGCCGCTCTCCTCTGCCGATGGCCTGGTTAAAAAGCCTTTTGCAAGGCCGCTGGATTCCGCATTGCCGGCTCCGAGGCCCGTGCTGACGTCTGAACAACGGAAAACGTATGATGATCTCTTGAAAGTGGTCTCGTCCTGGACAGAGGTTCCGGAGACTTCCGCAAAAGGAGCCACCAAGTCCGCTATCACCGACACTGAGCGCATGTTCTTGACCCGCGAATGTTTACGCCGCTATCTACGAGCCACGAAATGGGACAAAGGCGACGCCGAAGCAAGGCTGATGGCAACGCTTGTGTGGAGGCGAGAATATGGAGTGGAGAAGCTGACGGCTGACTACATCTCTAACGAGAACGAAACAGGCAAGCAGGTCATCACTGGGTATGATATCAATTCCAGGCCGTGTCATTATCTCGTGCCATCAAGGCAGAACACCAAGGGAAGCGAAAAACAGATACAACACTTAGTCTTCATGCTGGAGAGAGTGATCGACCTAATGGTGCCAGGCCAAGACACTTTGGCACTTTTGGTCAATTTCGCAGAAACAAAGTCTGGTCAAGGGGCCACAGTGGGACAGGCACACCAATCCTTATATATCTTACAGAATCACTACCCGGAGAGATTAGGGAGAGCGCTCGTCACCAACGGTAAGTTTTCCTGGGGCTGGTGCAACGTAGAAGCGAAGTGCTGAACGATGCAGTACCTTTCATGATATGGGGTTTCTTCAAGCTGATCACCCCCTTCATCGACCCATTGACCCGAGAAAAGCTGAAGTTCAATGAGGATTTGACACAACATGTCCCTCCGTCTCAACTTCTCAAACAGAATGGTGGTGAGGTCGAATTCGAGTACGACCACACAATCTACTGGCCAGCGCTGAGCAAGCTAGCGGAGATAAAGAGGCTAGCATCTCAAGCTCGATGGGAAAGGGCCGGCAAGCACGTTGGAGAAAGCGAAGATTATCTTCGGGGGGGCAGCGAGGAGAGTTTATTCCAAGCGAGGTCCGAGATTGACCAGGTCAATGGATTGGCGTCATAATGCAGGGAGCGTTGTTTGCCCGCTTTCATTGCGTCTGTCTTCCAAAAGCATGCTTGATTTTTACTCTTATTTAGTTGGCAGCTTGTGCTGGTTTCATCTCGAACCAGGTTAGAGCACATAGATGGATAGAGTTGTATAGACAGCCACATTCAGATTGATAGCCATAGCTGAGGACATGGGTATGTCCAATGAGCACACGTGGGCGTAGGTCTAGCCATTGTTAGGGTATTGACGCATTCATGTCGGTTGAGAGATAGGATGAAATAGACCTGCAGGGCATCGAAGAAGCAGTCTATTCGACTCTTTCAAAGGCTCTTCTGCCGGACGATTCCGCTGCCCCGTGGCTGAACCTGCAACTGTCCGGATTGGGCAACGGATGAGGTGTCGCGTACCCGTTCATCCCATTCTCAGTGCGATTGACCGAAGAGTAACAAGTTTCGGGTAGCCACACATGGCGGTGGGCTTGATTGTCCAGTGCTGGATCCAACTGCTCGAACCCTGACCAGAGATGCGCGCCGTGACGATCCTCACCGGAGCTATGGCCGGGATCCGGCTCCTTTGTATCCACTTTGAGGAGTATTCAAGTATGGAAAGCCTCCCCAAGTCCCCACAAGGTGGAGCGTAAGCGGGCGCCTAGCAGCTGTCAGTTGAGCTGTGTCCCGTCCAAGATCCCCACTGATCAAGAAAATTCACCCCGTTATCAATGTCGGCAAATTTTCACGTGTCAACCAGAAAAGATGGGCACCTTGATTCTCAACCTCTATCTCTGCCTACTACGTAGACCTCATTCAGGCTATTGGTCATTTGCTGTGTTCTGGTCCAGACCATATATGCTTTGGTGCAGCACTTCTTTTGGCAGGACGCCTCCAAGCCTCCCTTCGCCAAACGGCTACCAAATTTGCTTCTCTATTCCGGCGCCCCGTCCACAAATTCCCCAAGAATGGCCGATTCGTCGGTTGCCCCTCCAGGAACAAGCTTGCCCGCAGCGGTCCCTCTCCAATCTGGTCACAAGACTGGCTTTGTTCAACCTTCGAGTTATCTTCGACCACAACATCAGACACGATCCATGACCTCCAGACTGGAGAAGCAGATCGACAAAGATGAGAGAAATGCTCTGGTAAGCTGCTCATCTACCTCACTGCTATCTACCGCAGCTAGGATTGGCGCAGTAAAATGCGCCCGTTACTATGCAGTCTTCAATTGAAGCCCCTACAGACTGACCAGTTCCTTCATCTATTAGAATGCAATTCGCAAATTCCTGAAAGTCCGCACGAGTTACGATGTCCTACCTCTCAGCTTCCGCCTAATCATCTTTGATACTGCCTTGACTGTTAAAGAGAGCTTAAACATTCTGGTTCAAAATGGTATCCTGCATTCCTCATGCTCGGTCGATCTCGAAGCTTACCAGGCCCTCTTCAGGCATTGTCTCTGCTCCGCTATGGGACTCCAGCTCCTCCACATTTGCTGGCCTTCTCACCACCTCCGACTACATGAACGTCATTCAATACTATTGGCAGAACCCCGCCGCATTGGTGCAAATAGACAGATTCATATTGAGCAAGCTAAGAGGTGCGCAATGTACCTAGGGACACAAAAGAAATCATGCTAAACCGGTGCAGATGTCGAGCGCGCCCTTGGTGTTGTACCACCGGAGACGGTCTCGATTGACCCCGAGAAACCCCTTTACGAAGCATGTCGCAAAATGCTGAAGTCTCGAGCCCGTCGTATACCTCTGATATCGCTAGACAGCCAGACCGGACGGACGATGGTAACAAGTGTCATCACTCAATATCGCATCCTGAAGTTCGTGGCTGTCAATGTTGGTGACACGACGAAGCTACGGAAACCTCTGCGTTCTTTGCATCTCGGCTCTTTCGAAAATCTTTGCACAGTATCCATGGATACGTCGGTTATAGAAGTCATTTTTCTGATGGTCAAGAGGAGTATTTCCAGTGTGCCGATTGTGACTTCGCAAAGTAACGCCATCAAGTGTCGAAGCTGAAGGAGTCGTTGCTAACCCTATCTAGATATCCTGCTCAACGTGTTTGAGGCTGTTGACGTGATCACTTTAATCAAAGGAGGGGATTACGAAGCTCTTCAGCTCTCGGTCGGTGAGGCGCTGAAGAAGAGACCTCAAGTAAGAAACTTCACTCACAGTCAAGGGCTCTAACCAACCCGCCACAGGACTATGCAGGCATATACACCTGCTCCATGGACGACGGGCTCGACACCATCTTCGAGACCATTCGCAAATCTCGAGTTCACAGATTAATGATAATCGACGAAGGTCAACACCTCGAAGGTCTGCTGTCACTCAGCGACATCCTCGACTACATACTACTAAAAGGCGAGGCCGATGAGATCGCAGATTTATGAGACCTCGCTACACTCGAGTTTTTGCTACGATACCTTGATTGAATGGAGATAAATGCATAGCAATGGCGTTGGAGGTAAGGCTGGATCAACCATGCAGCTGATTCTGGTGGGTTTGATGGATCGTCGAATACGAGATGGGAGCTTGGAGTAATAAAGTTAGATAAGCGTGGAATGGGTGGCAAACTGAACTTTGAACCCAACTGAACCAGACAGAAATAGTGGTCTAGACCGGAACCCCGGGTGTTGGCAATAATTCGGACATGATAGATCAACCGAGCGACTTTTCCTGCTCGAAAGCATTTCTAGCCCTACCGAGAGTAACGCCTTACTTCAATCGCTCAAACCTCCTTCTCCATATGCGCGCCATGAAGCTCGGTAGAAAAGGAACGCGATAGCCTCTTCTGCTGATTTAGCACTTATCTTCTGACCCATGTTTGGAGTGGTATCCCATCGCCCAGGTTGTCATTTACAAAGGATCTATACCCTGTGAGATAGAGGCCACTTGGCAGCGTGGATCCTGTTCACAAATCGTGTATGCTTCATAAATTGCTACAGGCATGTACAGCGTTATCTTCCCTTGAAGGATCGGGAAAATGGGCAGCCGGGGGAAGGCCCCGATCCTTGGACTGTTGCAACACCTGGATCTCCGTGCTCTCTTGGGAGGTCCGGGCTGAAGAGCGCCCAATTGCAGCACGATGGGCTCAGGGAAGAGGAAGGGCATACAAAGCAAGATACGGCCTTCGAAGAGGAGCCGGTGCAAAGATTTCCCTGGCATTGCGTAGGTTGAATTGGCTCTTTGCAGAGATTTCGTCTAGGAGTAATCCCTTGTAGTTACCTTGCAGCAGCAGCAGCAGCTCTGCGACTCTTTCCTAACCTCTTCTTGCCATCACCACCAAGACCACCCGCCTTCATCTTTTTGACGGAGAAATCCCGCATATCGGCGGTACTTGCAGCATCGCCACTTTTGGCGAAGCGTTTCTTCCCGCCGAATCCGAACTTCTGGTCTCGTTTTTGCCGCTTGAATTTGCTGCCTTCTCCTCTTCCTCTGCCGGGTCCGCTGCGGCGATCGGGCTTCCCACCTGAGTCGTCAATGTTGATGTTCTCGAACAGGTCGTCCGCCTCGTTGACGGTGCCTGTGTCCTGACCTTTTCGTTCTGTGGATTGTTTTGTCAGCTATCTAGGAACTACAGTCTTTCTGCATGTAGTGGGGGGACCATACTCCTCTTCAGGCTGCTTATCTTTTCCAAGGTCTGCCTCTTCTCCTTCGCCCTCTCCTGCTCTTTTGCTATCTGCACCGCCTTGCCGAACTTCTTTGCATCTCTCACCCTCCTCGCCTCCGCGGCGGCCTTCTTGTTCGCCGCTTCATCATACATCTTCTTCTTGACTATGCCCATGTGCTCGTCGCTCTTCACCATCTCGGCAAAATAATCGCTCGGTCTGGTGAATGGAACCTTTTCTTTCTTTAGTAGGCTCCGTGCGTCCGTCGCTGCGGTGCGACAGATGCGGTAGAATTCTAGTTCTCGGGTAAGGTCGTCGTTGGGGTCTGGTATTGAGGCAGAAGCTGGGGGTAGGGAAGTCAGAATTAAGGAGTTGTGCGCAGAGAATTTCATTTTAGGATGCGTAATGGCGACTTGTCTAGTAGAGGCAATAAGGGCAGCGGTGTTGTTAATCGTGAGGCGTTGATGTGGTATCGTATCTGCGCGATCTTCTTCTGATAGCTCCGAGAGGGGAACATCGGAGTCGAGGTCGGCTTCTGAATCTGACGGACCGCCATCGGCAAGTCCCTTGTCTTGCTCTTCTGTGTTATGTCCGTTGTCGTTGTCATCGTCGTCATCATCGTCGCCATGATCGTCTGAGAAATCCTCGAATTCGTCGTCAACTCGCTGCGTGCCTAGTTCTGTTTTCGAAGATGACCGTTCGTCTTGTGTAACCGATGTGCTCTCTTTACCGTGAAAGCCAGCTTCGTCTTCATCTCCTAGAGATTTGGCCTTCTCCCGCTTTCGTTTCTCTGCTGCTTTTGCCTTCTTAGCCCTCTTCTCTGCCTCATAATCCCTGCCTTTATAGGCATCAAGCGCCGCCAGCAATTTGCTTTTTTTGGCCATGTCTCATGTCCTGACCCCCATTCGGCTCGTTATAATATAAGATTCAGGCTTCGATGAAAGCTAGTGGTGTGACTGAATTCTGCGAAATGTCTATGTTATGTTATCAATCCGTTCTCCAAAGCTGGTATATTACAATTGAACGGAGAAATTTTGAGACCTCCGGACCCTGGAAGTTAGGAATTTACGCGCTCCCGTAGCGGGCCGCGGCTGTCATCGCCTAAAATTACAGGCTTCAAGCCTTACCTGTCCGCCCGAAGTGTGCATTGGCAACTGCTACGAATCTCGTCAAAGCCACAACCTTGTCCATGTGGGTATGCTCGTAGCGGAGAGGTGAAGCCACTGTCCTACTCAATTACATATCTGAAGATGATCCCCCGAACCTTTCTTGCATAGCTTCTCTCTATCGATAGCACCAGGAACACACTCAAGGCGTGGTGAAAGGGAAACAGCAGCATTACATAGTATGTCTGCTGCGAATGCAAATGTGAGCTTCATCCTTTTCTTCTCACAAAGCCAGGCCAATATCGAATAATCCTCTTCTTCGTCCTTACCGCCGTATTGATGCCAATGGTGACTTTCTTTCAGACCGTGCATGCTTCTGGCCCCGGATCAGTAGCCACAACACCGCGTCCGTCTACAAGCGGCAGCAACAATGCCGCGACCCGGCTTTCTGAAGCTATTGACGAATTCTTGGGCGATGTGGAGCAGAAATTCAAGGTCATGAACGACGAGATTCTGACAAAGTGTTAGTCGTGCCTGGAACAGACATAGTTCACTCGCTCGTCTACTGACGCGAACAGTGGATGATATGGCCGAACGATGCGATAGACTGGAAGCGGAGTTGCTACTGAGGGAAGCTGAAGGGGCAAAGATTACATCAGGATCGACAGACGGTTCATCGTGAGTGAGCTTAGGTTGAGAATGTTCGCACGAGGAGCCGCACATGCAATCGTCGCAAGATGTTTCAACGCATTGGCTGCTTACACTTGGTTATAAATCATGCAGATATGGTTGCTCTTTATCTAACCACTTCCAATGGAGTATCGGGGAATATCAAGTTGTTGACCCAGCCTTGTCTTCTCACCACTCTCGAAAGTGTTTCGTTACGGGATTCCTGTCACGATTGCCCTCTCGTCCCGCATCTGCTCATAATGCTGAGCATTCCTGCTTCCTCGAATTGCCACCTGCACACGCACATTGTGTGCGCCGAAACCCTCGAGCGACACATCTTTCTCACTGTGGCCTATAATAAGCCAAGCATGTCTCGATTCAGTTTTTTTTGCTGCACGATCTTTTGCATCATCCAGCTCGCATGAATACTTCAGAACTTCGAATCTTCGTTCATCCTGTCCGCCTCTTCCCCCATCCGTTCCATCCATCGATCCACCAATTCCTGGTTCTCCTTTCTTAACTTGTTGACCTCATCCTCGGCCACATTCAATTGCAGATTCAGCGACACTACCTCGTCCTGCGCATCGTTCAACAACTTCGCCTTCCCCCTAGATTCGTCGTCACGGTCCCGAACACGAACCGAAAGCTGGCTGAGCTCAGATGTCAACTGGTTGATCCGCCTGCTGTCGACCTTTGACCTGGATTTGATTTTCTCCAGTTCCTTCGTGGTGCGGTCCAGTTTAGTCTGCAGCTCAGCTCGCTCCTGCTGCGCTCTACCAAGATCAGCTCGCACTTGTGCATGCAGCTCTGATTGGGCGGCAGGGGAGCTTGCTGGCACGCTTGTTCCTCTGCGGCCAACGATGGGAGGAGGCGGCGGAGACGTTGTGGCTTCGGCAGGTGTAGGAGCGGTCAATGTTGCGGCGGCAAGCTGTGCAGTGCGATCTGCCATTCGAGTGTCTGTTTACGAATTGTTAGTCTAGGGCCTTCAGTTTCGACATGGTATGGTTACAAGCTTCGTAGAACTCTAGATGGGCCTTTTCAACCTCATCACGCGCCTCCAACGCAGCCAGATATTCGTCCTTCCAGCTTGCCATCTTGACACCGACGCACGAGGCTGTCAGTCTGCACGAGACAGCTCGTCGTATCTTTTCTTCACAGGCAGGCGCATCGTTGTTCCCGTACACTGGCCCAGCGAAAAGGATCAATCGCTTTCAGATTCACCATATCGACCAGATCGTTGGTGGGTTTGCTGTCAAACTGACTCAGATAGTCCGGTGCCTGCGGTCTGAGCTCCGGGTAGGCCCATCCGCGGTTGGTCGGAACCTCCGAACCTTGCTTAGCGGTGTATGTCCCTGCAGCAGTTTATTACTTGGCGGGGAAAAGAGAAGTACTAACCACTAGGAGTAGTATAGTGATGCCGCTTTAACGGAGTAGGTAAGAATCAGTGTGACCAAAACAGATTGGGTGCCGGCAACACTTTTCGTTGTCGAAGATGAATTTATCAATATAAATTGCTCCATATCCACTATTCGGTTATGCGCTTCGTTGTGTTGACAGCGAACGGTATACATAAAGACCAAAAGAAGTGGGCTGTATCAGCAATCTATCTCGTTACCCTTGAACTCACCACCCGTAAGACACGTCCAGCATGCTTTCACTCCATCCTCCGTCGTTGTCTGCGTGGCTCAATAGACCGAGTAGCCTCCGTCGACCTTGTAATCACCTCCGGTGACAAATCTCGCCCCTTCGCCCGCCAACCAAACCATCACGTTATTCAACTCCTCCTCCTTGCCCAACCTTCCCAACGGCGTCCTCTGCTTCCACGTCACCTTCTGTTGCGTCAGCTCCGGCGTCCGGTTCAGCACGGTATCCATATATCCTGGACTGATAGTGTTGACGCGGATGCCGTACTCAGCCCACTCTGCCGCTAGGCATTTGGAGAGCATGATGACGGCGGCTTTGGAGGTGTTGTAGGCGGACTGCCTCTGTGGATAGTTGACTATGGAGCCGGACATGGACGCGATGAAGATGATGCTTCGATCGGGGAGCTGCGGGTGCGAATGCGAGGTCGCCTTGGGAGTGGTCTTTATCATGTATCGACCAACGACTTGCGCCATGATGTATGAGCCGGTCAGATTGATGTCGATGGTCTTGCGGAAGATGTCGAGACTCTGCTTTTCGGCGGGGAGGTTCGAGAATGCTACGCCGGCAGAGTTGATGAGGATGTCGATGCCGCCGAATTGTTGAATGACTTGTTTGACGGCAGCTTCCACGTTGCTCTCGTTGGTGATATCGACGTTGTGGTATTTCACGGGAATGCCAGTGGCAGTATGGAGAGATTGTGCTACCGATTGACCCAACTTAGGCTGGATATCGAAAATGGCCACGGCCTTGATGCCAGCCTCGCACAGAGCCTGAGACATAGCCAGTCCCAGTCCTCGAGCTCCGCTACAATAATCACTGTCAGCATGGAAAGCATCAGAAGTTCAGAAGGCGAGGATGTACCCAGTGACTATTGCTGTCTTGCCCTTGAGGACAAAATTGCGCAGCGTCGGCGGGAGATTATCCATCGTTTCCGTGGAGAGGGCCTTAGTATTCCCTATCGAGGGCTCTGGAGGTACATCACCGTTTGCAATTGCTGGGGTCGCCTGGTGAGGCTTTACAGAAGCATTCAGCTTCAGCAATTCACTCTGCTGTTTGAGAGCGGGCTCAGATGGCGATGCGCCACCATTATGAGACTGACATTTTAGCTCAGCCTTCTGTCGCAACGATACTTGGTGCGCCGCAGCCCCCAAGGGTGTGGAGGGCGGTGTAACAGTATGACGTCGCGGTGCGCAAGATGATGTTGCGGCTCCTGACCTTGGTGTCGGCCTTGACGAACCACCTGCAACACGTGATGGATGTAGAGATGCTGATGACATAGTGTGCCTGCGACGCCTTTCGGGCTGTTTTGCTTGTCCTTCCTAACGAACTAGGCGTGGTTGTGCAAGACCTCTCTTAAGTCTGCTCTGTTCCTTTGGGTGTGCTTCTCAATATTATTTTATGCTGTGGAAAGAATGTGAGAAAGAAGGGAAGAACAATGACAAGAGAAGAGGAGAAGAGTGGAATCTTTGTGAGAACTAGAGCTACTTAACACTATCACGGCACGAAATTCTCCATGAAAATAAAGATACCTGTTAGAGAATGCAGGGGCTCCTGATACGTGTGCAATCCCACGGTTTCTTCGTTCTTGGGTCGATCAGACACGATTTGACGCATTCTGTAAGGCATCCGTAGAGCCTCGCCTCTGAGCCAGGTTTCAGGACCTCTGTCGGCATTGTGAAACTCATACTTGGAAGCTTGTCTCTGCTGAGTGAAGCTCTCTATGCCGTTGTGGAGACGCCGCAATCGAAAGCTTGAATGAACCATTCGATGACAGTTATAGTCTAGCCACGTAGCGGTAGGGATTGAGACGTAAAGATTGAACTTTCCATATTGACCGCATTGGAGGGCAGATGGTGTGATCCGCAGTGCTGAATAACAATTCTTTGATTGGCAATAACCCTCTTTATGAGCCATGTGAACGATATGTCTTCGCCCAAGGCTTATCAATCACTCGACACACTCATAACGTACGGTGGAACAGGAGAGAAGGTTCAAGAAGGTTGAAGGTTTCGTAGCCCGGGTGAGGCACATCGCCGTATCAGACGATTGCTATTCTTGTCACGAGCGGACCGGCGGATGATTACTAAGACTGCGGTTCCGAGTATTTTGTTCAGCTCAGCCGTGGTTGAGGGCCTACAGGCCACTCTCCATATTGGATTAGTGGTCTGGTGTACCGCATCATGACCAGAATAAGCGGCGCCAAAAGAGTCTCGGAGCACCTTTACCAATGAGTGGCTGGAGAGAGTAAGGTTGAAGAATCTAGAGGCACAGCTTCACTCAGCACCATATGTCTTGATAAATCGATATCCACAGCCTTTTCCATAGTGTAGCTATACCACTCAAACGTAGTAAGACCTACTGCATTCGAGTCCAATATTTTTCATTGGCCAGAGCTCCAATGAACGGGACAGCATCAACAAGGATAGAAGAAAATTGCATCATTGCATCTCATGACTCATTACCTATTCTTACAGGGAGAAGGAAGTCAACTTCAAACGTCGGGAGTACCAGCGACAAAGTGTACCGGCCGGAAAAGGGAATGCAAGATCAGTGAATATGGTATTTGTATATCATACTTCATGAGGATATTGCCTGGTGTACGGAGTACATAGTACAGACTTACTCCGTAGTTCTCCCGGCCATCGCCCGGGGCGGGAAAAGCTCGGGCCAGCAAGATGCATCTCTTGGCGCTTTCCGTCACCAGATGTGCGCTACTGTACTAATACTGTACTACTAGTAATATTGTACTACTAGTAATACTGTACGACTCATGTCATGCTTTTGACATCAACAACAAGCCTGAGTACGTAGTATCCACTTACAGCTAAAGAGGATACCACATCTCGCTCCCTTGCGGCACACTGCGCTACGTCATCGCCTCCAGCCTTACCGAAGCAGCCTGTTCGCACTCTTCTCCAATCAACACTGCCAGCTGCCCAGCCGCTGTCACTGAGCTCGCTCAATCGGCACATCTCAAGGAAGCAGGCACTAGCATTTCCTCTTCTCCATAATGTCATCGCGGAAAAAGGTCCTTTTGAAAGTGCGTCTTCGACTTCGCTCCAATCATCAAAGCGCTCTACTGACAGTGTTCGAACGCAGGTCATTATTCTGGGCGACAGTGGCGTGGGCAAAACAAGTCTGATGAACCAATATGTACACCTGCCAACGCTCCTAGCAAATTCGCCGCTTCCAGCAACACCCTCAAAGCTATTGTAATCGCAGCTTACACGCCCTCCTGCAGGTGAACAAGAAGTTCAGCACAAGCTACAAAGCAACAATCGGCGCCGACTTTCTCACAAAAGAGGTCACGGTAGACGATCGAATAGTGACCATGCAGGTACGCTACCTTCTCTCTTAGACCCTCCTCGCCACGCGACCTCCACCAGTCCTCACCGCACAAGCTCACCTCTCTTTCGCGTCTTTGAAACAGCTCTGGGACACCGCCGGCCAAGAGCGCTTCCAGTCCCTCGGCGTAGCCTTCTACCGCGGCGCCGACTGCTGCGTCCTCGTCTACGACGTTAACACGCCCAAATCCTTCGAGACCCTTGATTCCTGGCGCGACGAATTCCTCATCCAGGCCTCCCCGCGCGACCCGGAATCCTTCCCCTTCGTGGTCCTCGGCAACAAAGTCGACGTCGGCGATGACAGGCGAGCCATCAGCACAAAGAGGGCCATGACCTACTGTCAGAGCAGGAGCGGGATCCCGTATTTTGAGGTTTCGGCCAAGGATAATACCAACGTGGAGCAGGCCTTTGAGGTGGTGGCGAGGAATGCGCTGGCTATGGAGGAGCAGGAGGAATATGGCGGTGGCTTTGAGGATCCGATCGATATCAGTCTGGATAATGAGAGGGATGGGTGTGCTTGTTGAGCGGGATGAAGAGAGGGTGGTTATCTTGAACTGCGAATGAAGGTGTACACCAAGCCGGTTTTGGGGACCAGTCCAGATGATGCTTGTTCTTGGGCGTTTCTTGCACGCATGCATACCCGCATCTGTATATTTCCACCCTTTATAGACATGCAAGCTATAATATCCACGGTCCATTTCCAATTGCAGCATCATATGAGAGCCTGGAAATAGAATTGATTTGTAAAACAGCCCATTTCTATATCGTCTCTCTCGCTGAATCCACAGAACTCCTCTCATGCTGCTCCACACTAGCATAACCATTCCTCGAGTCCCCCAACTCCCGCCCCGCAGAAACCCCCACACCACCATCGCCACCACCAGTACTCTCATGATGATGTCCCTCTTTGACCTCCTCCCGATCCACAAACACAAACGAGCACACCACGATAATCGCGCCAATCCAATAGACCACGCTCTCGGACTTGCCCTGCACGATCAACTCCCCCACCAGCGAAAGCGGAATCGTCAAGCTCAAGCCCACCGTCACCACCAGCGGACTCGTCAGCACCATCGCATACGCCCAGCATATATCGCTCAGGAGACTTGACGCGCTGTTGACCAGCATGATGGTCCAGATGCGGCGTGTGGGGGGGAGTTCGAAGGTTTCGACTTTTAAAACCGAGAGGATGGGGAATAAGGGGAGGAGGAGGATGGTGTTGATGAGGCCGACGAGGCCGAAGAAGAGCGGCATGTTCAGTGACTTGCCGTCTCGCGCTGCGGCGTTGGTGGTGCGCTTTAGCGTTATGGTGTAGATGCCGTAAATGAGGGCGGAGAAGGCGGCCATGGCGTCGCCGAAGGCCAGTTCGGCGGGGGTCTTGCTGGGGAACGATTCGCCGAGGCCGCCGTCACGTTTGGGAGTCGGGTTTTGTGGGGAGGAAGAAGGTGAGGACGGAGGCGACGACGATAGATCGACTTGAGATATTAGGATGACGCCCACGAGACTCGCGACAACGCCGATAAGTTTGCGCCAGGTGAATTTCTCGGTTCGGGTGATGGCGCCTATGAGGAGCGTCCAAACGCTAGAGGTGGAGGTGAGGATGGTGGTGGAGGCGACTGTGGTGTATTGGAGACAGGACATGGCGAAGTAGTTGGCGAGAAACCACAGAATACAGAAGTAGAATGACAGGCGCGCTGTTGACCAGGTATCAAGGTGTTTGAGATTTTCCGGAGATATCTCTCGGGAGCCTGCCGCATCGTCATCTTTCAGAAAGGCCTCCGCTTCCGCTTCCGCTTCCGCTTCTCCAGCCCGCAAGGACGGTTTGGAGAAAGGTGTGTGGGTGGTGAATCTGTGGAGAGACGACCGTAGGGTTCCTTTTCGCCAGTTCCGGTACCCGGATCGAAACAGGACAGGGATCAGTGTCAGAATGAAAACAGCGGTGTTGAGATAGGTCAAGAAAAACGGCTTCGCATAGGTCTTGTCGGCGAAGACGGTCTGAGAAGAGTCAGTATCTGTTGTGAGAGTCTGTATTTACTCGGGGTTGGCATACGCTCCCAAGAAAGTTTGAGGCTGTCCATAAGAAGACAACAACCAGCAGCAGAATCAGACCCAGCGTGTGTCGTGCAACTCCCCCAACAGACGACGTCGGCCGACTTGCTCTATCTTCACTGGAATCGGAGAGCCTTGCATGGGCATGGGGAGAGGAAGATCGTGAATCCCGCAGCTCCAAATAGTCGGAGGATTCTCGACTTAAAGGGCTCGGGCGGAATCCGGTATCGAGAGGCCTTGAGGTGGTACTCATTTTGCTTAGTGAGAATGATAGCAAGGCGTGTAAATTGACCTAGATATTGGGTCGAGTAGGAAGTATCCCCTGCTGACAGCTCGAGGTTGTGCAACACCGTGAAAACGCGTGCTCTCTACGCAGCTTGCTCGACTTTAGTATCATATCGGCAATTGAGCATGGACACATCGAGTGGAAATGGATATGAAAACTGGCCCAGGTGATGCCAATCAGTCCATTTCTGACGTGAAGCACTACGTTTCCCGTCGTCGCACCGCCTCAGAATAATGATAGACGAAGCGCATTGACACATTTAGTGGGTCATATCTCCACATGACCCGTGCGTAGAATTGTACCATGAAATTTGCTAGTTACATTCCACCGGACGGGATTGCCAAGGCGCACTGTTGAATTGGTGTCTGCTCTTGGCACAATACGGAGTATCTCCAGTATCTCCTACAAAATAATGATAAATCAGGATCCGTCGGTATTGGCGGACAAGTCCAACCGTTACCATGGGCCTCAAGCCAGCTTGAAGGCTAGACAGACTCGCGTTATATCACTGAAGAATGATCAGGACAATACTCATCATGCGATCCTTAATGATTTTGTTTCAAAACCCAGTACGAGACGCATTACTTCGCATTTCTCTAATATCCATGTATGTGATATGGTAGTGGGCGTCATTGTGGAAGCGGAATTTGCTGTTCAAGCAATTCAGCAGACTACGTTTCCCTCATGGCATCCGTCCCAACTTTTAGTCCAATAGCATTGTTTGCACATTCAATCTCCATTAATTGCCGGAAACGACTGTCGCTCATCGGGCGCATTACCAAGCACCACCACCCCAAGTATACCCATTAAACTCGCAGTGCAGCAGTGGCCTCTGCGACTTGTTTTGCGGCATCTTGCCTTCGAGCAAGAATGCTTTTAAGGGAGCCTAGCCATTTGGCCAGCGAGTCCTCACTGGGAGCACAAAACCGGTAGATCTTATCCTCCATGATGACCTGCAAACAGTAACTCTTGCTCCTGGAGATTGGGTCTATTTCGGCAGCGTTGATGATTGATGACATAGATAGAATTTTTACAGCTGAGTACTCTTGTTCGTTTTTGTAGAAGGACATGTTCTTGGGTCGGAGTACAGCCCACAGCTTCTTCCATTGCTTAACTCTGCCTTTCGTCTTCAAACAATAGAGCCAGCCCTGGCGGATGACTCTTTCCGGATCAGTGTTGACATCGAAACCACTCAACTGGCTAGCATTGCGTGCAGCATTCGGCCGCTGGGCTGAGACGGCTGTTGCGGTGTTAGCTTTGTTAAGAGGCGCAACGTGGGACCGAGGGAGTGATGCACCAGGTGCGTCAGAGAAATCTGAATAAGAAGTCATCATCTCGTTTCCGGAGTATTCATGGATAGCTGAAGTTTGTCGCTGAGTCGTAGAAGCTCTTGACCTTTGACCTTTCTGTCCTCGGACGATCCAATGAGACATCTCCGGTGAGCTAGGCATACCTCCTTCGTCGTCTCCTGACAAATCTGTTGTCTCACAAGGGTTGCGATTTTCTAGCCCATCACTCCTGGCCACTGGACTTGAGAGGACGATCTCGTCATGGACGTCGACCCGTGCTTCTTTCCTAATTCGTTCAATCCAGTCGGCCGTGTCCTTGGGCGAGGCGCCTTGGAAGTGGTAGTTCTTGGACGGTGTGAACACACCGAAAACGTTCAAGGTGTTTGCCTTCTTTACGGGAGCTACTGCAGTGACATCAGACAGCGTGATCGACGCCCTTATACCAGTCTCGTCTTCATTTTGATACATTGAAAGGAGGTTGGGTCGTAGAACGAGGTAGGTAGATTTCCATGTTGGTTTCCAGGCTCCCTTGCTTTTAACTCTGCGATTTACCCTTCCACTCTTTAATACGCGGTCAAACTCAAAGCTCCCGTTTTGATTGACAGGCGAAAAAGTGTCCAAATTGAGATGCCCGCTCTTGAAGGATTGTAGCGGAGTGCCAGTCTCCAGGATCGGTCGAGGAGCAGTGACAGGAATCGAGAGCGGATTGCGGACAGGAGTGGCTACAGAGGACTTGATTGCGAAAGACTCGGACTGGATCTGTGCCATCATGAATGGGTATAGTGGCTTCGATAAGAAAGGGCTCGCAGCCTGGTCTGCTGTTGTTGGGGTTCTCTTAGGACTCGTGTGTTTCAAGGGCGGACGTAGGTATGGCTACGATTCAGAGGACGTTTCCTGCGAGGGTTTCTAACTATGCCATTTTCAGGATCATGAGCCATAACAGAGCAGAGAGTTGAAGGTTGATTCTGGAAAATGGAGCGAGAACGAGACCGTGTGCTTGTTGTGAAACCAAAGTAACTCCATTATTGAGTCTGTTTCGTGTCAGGTCCAAGGGTCCTTCGGTGGGCTTTTAGCTTCCAACGGTATCCCTTGGCAGGTTTGCAGGAAACTTCAGTTAGGTTAGGAGTAGTGTGAAGAGCCAACACCGCGGTAACGACCTTTATGTTGTCCAAGGGGTTGTGCTTTAGCTCAAGGGCAGGTTCAGTCTCTTTCAAAGGATCAGGGAACAAAAACATGGCCTAAACTAGGCGAGATTGATCGTTTTCGGTTAATCAATCTAATTATACACAAAGAGTCTGTAGCTTTCAGACAAGATAGTAGAGTGTGATACAGGGTAAATTTCTGATTTTATTAGTAGTTATTGAGGGTGCAGCCAATCCAATCCCCAGCCTCTGGGCTGCCGGTGAGAAGGGCAATTCGTTGAAGTCCGTACTAGTTAGTAGTACTTAGTTAATTTAGTTAAACCTCTTGGCAACTTCGTCGAATTGGAACCAGGAACCTTGAACCACAAACGACCGGCTGCTATCTCTCAAATCTTACCAATGTGGCCTCCATCTTCGACCATGACGACTCGCACTCTGAGATGAACCTTTTCGCCATCTCGATGGGTCGGACATCTTGTTTTTAATACAACGGTGGTCTCTGATCATTTCTCCAGCCGAGTGCTTGGTTGTTCGAGTAGACCAGAAAAGGAGGGTCCTTCCCACACGCTCGTTATCCACCTTGCAGATTTCATCGTTCTGGACATCGTCCTCACGCTGTAACACCTACGTCCTGTTTGCATTGGTCGCTTCATCACGAGACTTAACCGATACTACGGCGTTGCTTCGCAGATCAAACTCCACGAGCGTTGCATGAACATAGCTAGGAGGTCTTAGCCATGGGCTTCGTGCAAGGACTTGTCAAGCGAATACCCTCAACACCAAACATACCATCTCTCGATGACTTCAAGAGCGAAAAGGGGCGTGGTCTGCCGCAGCTATCATTTTTTCGACGAAGAATTCGAATAAAAGGCAATTCATCGATATCGATACCCTTGGGTTTTGTTCTATTATTCCCTTGTATAGTCGTCATCTTCATTCTCTTCCTCTTTGTGAGGCATCCGTCTTCTCCAGGGCGCATTTTGATGCCCTCCGGTGCTCCGCCCTCAATCCGGTTGGCCGCCGCGCTCCCAATACTGGTTACTATTTGCTGACCTCTCCACAGGAGAATCAGCGAAAAACACGATCGAGTATTCGCAACTGGATGTTTAGACCCCGAAGACGCGGCAAAACAACCGCGCGCAAATGCTGCCTTCGTCGTGCTTGCAAGAAATAAGGAGCTGGATGGCGTTATTCAGTCTGTCAAAAGTATCGAGAGACACTTCAACAGGTGGTTCCATTACCCTTATGTCTTCCTCAACGATGGAGACTTCGAGCAGTCATTCAAAGACACAATAACCAATTACACCAGCGCACCGGCCGAATTTGGCAAGATAGATCCTAGCATGTGGGGCTACCCTGACTGGGTAGATCACGAAGTAGCAAGAGAGGGGATCCGGAAGCAGGGAGATGCAGCGATCATGTATGGTGGCATGGAGAGTTATCATCACATGTGTCGTTTCTACTCCGGGTTCTTCTATAAACACGAATTACTTCACAAGTATGAGTGGTATTGGAGGCTGGAGCCAGAGATCAAGTACTTCTGTGACATTACTTATGATCCCTTCGTTCAAATGGCGGCCTCAAATAAGACTTACGGGTTCACGATCGCGGTTAAGGAGCTCAAGGAGACCGTGCCGAATATCTTCCGTTATGCATCGGCCTACAAGCGCAAAAACAAGTTTCAGTCGAAGGGTTTATGGGAGATGTTTCTCGAACCAACACCAGACAAGCCAGAAGATGCTCCAGCAGAACCCAAGAAGACACTTCCCGATGAAATACTCCAAACTCAACCTGGTCACCCGAATATGGAAGATGTGGACCCTGAATCAATGGAGGGTGAAAAATATAACATGTGCCATTTCTGGAGTAACTTTGAGATTGCACGGCTAGATTGGTTCAGAAGCAAGGAGTACGAGGATTTCTTCCAGATGATGGACCGAAGCGGCGGCTTCTGGATGGAAAGAGTAAGCGCTGTCAGGCACATTGCTTACGATGAGGCTAACGTTTGGCAGTGGGGCGATGCACCTATTCATTCCCTAGCTGCTGGGGCACTTCTAGCTCCACGAGACATCCACTACTTCCGAGACTTCGGTTATCGACATACCACCATCCAGCATTGTCCCGCAAATGCACCTGCTCGACAACTACCGCACTTACCCTTCCTCGAGAAAACAACCGATGACGAGAAGAAGCGTCAGGAAGAAGACGACTACTGGTCAATACCGGATCCAGTCAAGGAGAATGGAGTTGGCTGTCGATGCAAATGCGATACCGATATTGTCGATGTCGAGGGCAAGCAGGGCAGCTGTCTTGCTGAATGGGTAGAAGTGGCTGGTGGATGGTCTTCGCCGTGACTGGTGTACTCTTCTGTCATCTCTCCCTTCAATTTCGTCAGCATAGGGCCCTGCAGCGCATCAGCGTCTTTGATTAAAGTTGGAGTCAGATTAGATGCATAATGGATTTCACGGATATGGGGCAAGGCGTTCTCAAAGATCTTGATCGCACATGTGAGGATGTTTGATTTGGGGACTCCGGTTGTCGATCGATGTTTTGATGAGCTGGAAATTCTTGGATGTTTTGTTATCCACTCTATTGGTGCATACGCAGCACGTGTTGGGGCTCTGGGCAAAGGCTTCGACGCTGGACGAAAGCTGGTTCTTACTCCCACTGCCTCTATCTTCGTCTGGCTATTTTGACATGCAAGCCGACAGTTGTCTGGAGGCAAAGGATACCCCTCAGAAGATCTCGAATCGCACGGAGACTGGTTGAAGTGAAGAGCAGCTAGTGGGCAGAAGCCGTTCAGGTATACATATAATCAATTGTGTCTTTAAGACATGTCATTTCAGTGTGTTCTGTAATGCTGCTGATACGATAGGGCACCAACCCCTCGAGTGCACCTATGGACGTTTGCTTTCATATGAGCACTTTCAAGGCCGACCCGTGAAGGTGGATCATGCCTGAGTGATGCCTTGGTCTGCCCATACGGTCCAATAGTCCTCTGCCACATAAAGTGGAATGAGAAGGTTTCGATAAGGGGGGCCCTGTGGGGATTCTTGTTACCAAGACCTTGTAGCATAATATCTGAGATACATGTACACAGATGTTATATTATCTATATCCTCATCTTTTTGTTGTCTTTTTAACCCAGCACCCGAACCCACTTATGCGGGGCAAGATGACTAGCGCGTGGTTATATCTTTTGACTAACTAGTCAAAACCGATGGATGACAGGCAGCCTTGAGCCCCGCGTCAACCGCCATCGCTGCCTGGTAGCACTACATGCACTTCCATGAGTATACATCATCAACTTCTGCAGCCACCAGACACGATCTCAATACTTTTCGTATCTTCATGAGTTGTTTCATCCCCAGTAGATTACAAGGCCATACTTTCTGTCTATTGTCTGGCCACTATTTGTGTTCACGGTCTTATTCAGCTTGCCCCTCTATTTACCAGGCTGTCATGAGCCTAATCTGACCGTTGCGCTTGAAATTGAATCAGGCTCCTGCTTCTAGGCAGTGATCGAGCCAGAGGTGAGCTTGCGCACCTTCCTACACACGGGCACAGACATTCCATCAAACCTTTCTTTTCACCCACTTCTCCGTGCATGCAATCCCCGTTATTCCACAATTGCCTCGTCACCACGAAGACGTCTAGTACCTCCTGACGATGACTAACGGACGTCCGCCTCAGCTCGACTCCTCTGAATTGGTAAAGCACTTGCCTGTTGAACTCACCTATCCTCAAATTCCTGTCGCTGCCTCCTACCTCGACCTCCTCTCCCACTCTTCTTCGATGAATATGGCCAATGGATCACAGCCTGACCAACAGGATACGGCTTTGAGCGAGAGCTGGGCCACTCTGAGTGATGCAGACTACTCCTACGACGACGACCTCCATTCGGAGACTACTGATGCTGCCTCACTTGTGTCCAATATTGGGCCGGACGATGTTAACAGCATTGATGATCACCCAAGCGATGCTGGCTCCCAAGACGCACACAGCGACAAGGGTCTGTCTGAAGGGCTTCCTCCACAGATGTCTCTAGCCGAAAGCACAAAGACTGTTGGCGCTGAGGATGTAGCAGCTTTGAAAGGCTCGCATCTTGAGTCCTCTATCGTTCTGGAACAGCCTGAAAGCCAGCTGGAAGAAGATTTTGCCGAAGGAACACAGACCATACATTCGTTGACTGAAGAAGAGGCTGCAGACAGTAGAGAACATGGCTGGGATGCAGATGAGCATGGCGAAGTCATGGGCAGCGTTTGCATGATGATGTCGAAGAACGATCTGCGCCTTGATAGGCCGTTCCGATTGTTATATTGTGGCGATACAACGGCTAGAGCTGAGATCTTGGCCAAGATAGGAGATGCCTTGCTGGCAGGGCCAGGACCACAGCAAGATCTGCATCCACTTGAGTCGTCTCGATACAATGTCATTCTGTCCTCCGGTGCATCAGAAACGTCATCGAACCACTCAGATCTGGTCCGGATAAGAACGCAGATCATCGTCGACGACTGCACCACTGCTGCCTCGATCAAACACGAGGATGCCTCTGATCAAATATTCCTGAGCTTCAAGAATGGATCACTGTATTCGTCTCGGTGGGATGGCATTAAATACGAGGTCTCTTCGGCTTCCGAATGGTCGAAGCCGGATCTTGCAGTCTTCTTCATCACTCATAAGGATGATCCGATATCGAAGCAGAGATATCAGCTAGCACATGCATTTGTGACCCGACACGGGGTTCCGTCCATCATTATATCCGGAAGTACGCATTGGGCATGGCGCTTTGATGACTTGCCAATAGACTCTTGCACACCTCATCTGCGTATCGAAGCACACAAGAGGCACACTTCAGGAGCTTCTTTGACGTTGCGCCGGCTACCTATCGATTTGGAGATATTTAAGTGCTTAGAATCGGACCAGTTAAACAAGAACTTCGCCTACCTCTGCAGAAACCCGGGCAACAAACTCAGTGTCAACACATCTAGCGATGTGTCAGCATCGAGCCACAGCAGTCGTGGGAAGAGTCCTATATACAGGAGAGAGGCTCAATGTCAAAGTTTGTCAAAGCAATCCACTTTGTACTCCTGGTATGCCAAAACTCCGGTTTTTCGAATCACCCTACTGGCTGCGGGCGGGCTGATGTGGCTTGTCATGTCAGCCATGGCATGCAAACTTGCATTGGCACTATTTATGTATCTCATCTCCCGTGCTAAAATTACCTCCGAACTGTCCCCTGCCACAACTTGGTCTCTTGAACCTTCACTAGCACCTACCATTCCAGAAAGAGTACCTCCTGTCCTTCCGACTGCCGGAGCAGCGGTAGTAACAAGCAAGAAAGCAATCTCAAAGAGTATTGCAACGGTGGAGACACCATCAGTTCTGGAGGAGTTGTTCACTAGCAAATCCCTTCAGGCTACAAACATATCCGATAATTTCCAGATCCACAGCATTGGCGACTGCCATATAGTCGTCAAGACACCTCGTGGTTTCAAGGTCAGGAACAAGTCCGTGCCTTTTGATCTCGTGGTTGCAAGAGGGTCTGAACTCCTTAATACGTCCATCTCGAAACTCTTCGATGGTGTGTACACAATACGCGTCGACAGAGAGGACGCTTATGGCCTGGTAAATGTCACTATCAGACAACACAAATCGTCTACCTTTGAGGAACATCAAGTTGATTTTGGTGCCCAGTGGTTGAAGGTGGCAGGGTGGAAGAAGGCTGCGCAGATAGCCTCTGAACAGATCCGATCTGATCTTGACGCTGCTCGAATTGCATTGTTGATGGCATATGACCATCTATCGGAGGACATGCACTTCAAGTCGAAGAATATTACGAAGAAAGCAAGTAAGCAGGCGAAGAAATTCTCTCAGCAAAGTCAGATTTTCTTCAACACGACGGCAAAACTTCTCGGAGCGAAATCAAATAAGCTTCGGTATGCTACCAACCATGAGCGGCAAGAAGCTTATAGGGCCTTGAGCGAACGAGTAGATCTGGCCTTTCAAGCGCTTCTGGTTCATGCCCACACTACAAATGAGCAAAGTCGTGCAATAATTGAGAGAATCCTGGTCTCCGCAGGTCAAGCCGTAGAGCGGATTCATCAATCTACTCCTCAGATTGAGCTAGAGGACGTGCAAATGCGAATGCAGGAGTATATGAGGTCTGAAAAGCTGGCCAAGGCGCAAGAGCGTGCCAAGCAGATGGTGAAGGATTCGGCTACCAGTTGGAGGCAACGAAGAGCATATAGGAAAGCCAGCAGGGGGCCCTGCGGCAAGAGAGGCAGAGGCTGGAACAGGTGAGAGGGCCGGCATAGTCTGTTAAGGCGTTTGGCAGTGCCAGTCTGGGATGAATACGGATCTGGGCATCAACAACGGGCGAGGACAGTCCCGACCTAGGAATTCTATGAGACTGGAATAAATGAACAGCGAACAGTCTAGTTTGCTGACATGTGTGCACGAATTCATGGGCAAATTATCGATAAATAACGCGACCAGATAACATCACAACTATTCTAGGTAGATGACGTAACCCGTATTGTCGTACTCTGTAATATTCACTCTGTAATGACCATGTATCGTGTGTAACGCTATTAAAATTATTGTCACGAGCCAAAATATTCTAGGCTTCTGGTGCTGCCCCACAATCTGATAGAGTTGTCACGAACATTTCCCTACAATCACGGCTAGAACATCTGCTTAGTACCCATCTACGCTATCAGCTACTAACATACCGTAAGACGTACTTTTCAACGATCATGACCGACTCTACCACGACAAAGCCTCCTACGGAGCCCTCCGAGCCCAAGCCTACAGAGAGCGAGACAGAGCCGACGAGGAATTCTGATGGCCCGGAAGCAGACTCTGAGAATAAGGAACCTTCCACAACAGACACCAAGTCGACCGTCGTCGGCATGGCAAGTAGCGCGGCAAGCACTGCCTCCGCCGCAGCTTCAGGAGTGAAAGACTCGATGTTCTCGATGTTTGGTGGTGGTGTAAAAAAGGAGAAGAAGGTCGAAGAAGAGGACGAAGAAGCTAAAAATGAGCCTAGTGGAAGCTCCAAGGCGCAAAAGAAAGACGCTGATGCTGAAGAGGTATGAAGCTGGATTCCAGCCTCCATCGGGCTTCGGTCGCTTAGGTGTCCATGCCCAGCACCTGCTTACTGCTTACGTATAGGAAGTCGAGCAAGCCGAAGATGTCCACTTCGAACCTGTTGTGCACCTCACTGAGAAAGTCGAGACTAAAACCCACGAAGAGGCAGAAGACCAAACTTTCAAGATGCGAGCGAAACTGTTCAAATTCGACCGAGATACAAGAGAATGGAAAGAACGAGGCACAGGGGATGTGCGACTACTGAAACATAAGGAGAACCAGAAGACTAGGCTGGTCATGCGAAGAGACAAGACGCTCAAGGTCTGCGCCAATCATTACGGTATGGAAAACGACGTTGCTTCTAGGCATATTTGACTTTTAATGCTGATTGGTGGATAGTGACTCCGGATATGAAGTTGTCGCCAAACGTTGGGAGTGATCGAAGCTGGGTCTGGAATGTCAGTGCGGATGTCAGCGAAGGCGAACCTGAGGCCCAGACGCTCGCTATTCGGTTTGCCAACAGTGAGAGTAAGTGTTCATGTCTAAAGCTCGCCCTAGGCCACCAAACTGATGCTCGTATTAGATGCAAATTTGTTCAAGGAGGGATTCATTAAGGCACAGCAGGACAACGAGAAGCTATTCACCAAGGAGTAGCCACTCTATCACCAATCTTAATCGAGGTCTTAGCACTAGTTGACGAGCTAGATGGATTGTATGGGTTGCACATCACGGTGGGGGTAGATTCGGGAGCATACAGCATCTTGTGAGCATTGGGCAGAGGTCAGAATGGTAGAGAAGGAGGTGATGATACTGAGCGGCACGGTCAACAAGCACGTGCTCTGTTCTTTTCGCAGATGGTTTCAGTCTCGACGTGCGGCCAATATGATCAAAGAAGCACTTCGAGAGATTGGCTCAAGGTTACCAGAAGTATACTCCGTAGATGATAGCAGAATCCTTTGTGTTCAGATCCCTGTGGGCAAAAAGATCCGTTCCTGAGGCTTTTCCTTTTTGGCAAGATGCTCGTCTCCACATCTCCGCCCCGCAGTCACTCTCCAGTACTAACTTTCAATTTCGATTGTGATTCTGGCAATTGGACGCCTGTTCATCTGACTAGCTTTATTCCTAACCGCACCTCGTCACTGCTCCTCCAGCTATCGCGCCAGTCTGCCACAACTCGGTGCCAAATAGCAAAGCCTTTCAGCTGTGCGACCGACGTCCCGAACCATTCACGTCTTCCCCAGTCGAGCCCCCATCATGCCGGATGTCTGTCTTGCGTACCTATATAGCATTTTGAAGAAGTGCTGACAGGTTTGGCAGGCCAAACGTACTTTCAAGATCATCACAGAGCAAAGAATCCTGTTCGTACCTGTACCTGTTTCTTACTAGATCATCGGCTCGTGGCCATCGCGTTTCCCCCGTCCCGACCACCCACTGCCTCTTGCTAGTTGCTCCCAGTCAGTACTAATGATAGCCTCTACAGCGAGCATGCAGAGTCACCTCAACCCGGGTTCCCTTTGCGTCATTGGAGCATACAAATAGTCGTCATTCATCAAGAGACGAAGCAAGATGTGTCTGCAGAATGTCTACAGAAAGTGACATACAAGCTGCATCCCAGCTTTGGCCAAAGAGAAAGACAGAGTGCGTTGTCGCTTCCCGTCTTAACTCTCCGCTAGTCTACATGTGTACTTTTTTGAGGATAGCTACTAATTGGCTCATTTTCATTAGTGAAAAAGTCGCCACCATTCAGGATCGAAGAAGATGGGTGGGGAGAATTCGAGATTGAGATGTATCTGACCGATCTCGCTGGCAAAGAACACCAATTCAAACACGATCTCAACTTTGCAAGCGAGCGATACGAAACCAAGCAGGTCATCACCTTCAAGAACCCCAAAGGTGACCTTGCCATTGCTCTTCGAGCTTCTGGGCCTGTTCCCGGCGACGCTGGTGGAGATCTGGTTAATGGGAAGAAAGGTGGGCGGATCAGCGGCGTTGGAGGGGGAGATGGCGAGGCGGGTAAGAAAAGGAGAAAGACTGACATGCGGGGGATCGATATGGACTCGCTGGCGGAGAAACTGCAGAAGTTGGGAGAAGACGATCTGCTGCAGGTCGTGCAAATGGTGCATGATAACAAATCGGAGGACAGCTGGATGAGGAATGATGTTGAACGTAGGTCTATCCCAGATCAATCTGCTGTCACTCGCTAACTACGGTGTGATTTATCCAGAGGGTGAATTCCACGTTGATCTCTATACTTTACCAGAAAGTCTGATCAAGATGCTGTGGGAATTTACCAATGAAAAGGTGGGAGTTTCATAGGCTCTGGACAACGAAAGACTGTGCCGACATCTGCAAGACTGCATGGCAAACAATCGGACATCTCAGAAGGTTATGGTCACTCGCACAATGAAGCATTGCATAGCGACGGGTCTGGCGTTCCGTTCTGCAAAAACGCTTGGTTGAGGATGCTTGTCTACCGTGATACAGGCTCAGACCTGCATTTGTGAGGCAGGGGCCATTGGCACTCTGTTATCGGCCTGTTTGGGGAGGAGAGGCACACAATATGGCCCGCTGGCAAGGAAGATGCAGCCTGCACTCGCAACAAGTAGTATTGACCCTTGAGCATACGGAGGATTGGAAAGTTGGTGGCATTGGGCGAAATACTAATAGGCCATCCAATCACATGTTGCTCTGAAAAAACCTCGGTCTCACTATGCTCACCGTCTCAGCGGTTGACGCAGTCCCGGGACCTTTCGGTTCCATGGAATTTTCCATTCACTCTGCATGCCTGCGCTGATCGTGGTGTGCTAGCCGGTACGGAGTAATGACATCGGATGCCGCACATACTAAGGTACGTAGTGATATCAATGATGCACCATTGATAAGGGAGACCGGTTCTCAGCACGATCTCATGGTCAACAGGAGTTTGCTCTCCGGTGATCGAGGCTTCTGCACCAGGTACGCATCTTTGCCGAGTTCCATGATTTGGATTGATGAAACCTTGGAAAGATCAATTTCTGTAGGACTGGAAGAGGACAATGCTAGTCCGTTACTAGATATTCGAAGTGATCTACAGAGTACATGTGAGAGTGTACATGTGAAAGTACAAGCCAACCTCCTGTATATCAGAACTCGGGAGAATAATTTCCCCGTTCCTTGTTGTGTGATCTTTTGAGAACCATGGAATTTGAATTGGAACCCAGTTTGGAGCCTCAAGCATCAAGCATCAAGCCTCAAGCCTCAAACACTAGTTCTCAGTGACCTTTTCAATCCAGATCAGCGGTTTAGTGGACGATCGTTGACTACGGAACATTGCCGACAAGGGCTGTTGGAGCCGTCGATTGATCTGCCTCGGGGATCGTGGCCTTCCAAAAATTCTCCTTCGTGCATTGATATTGCTATCGGTGGTGTAACGCTTCGAGGGCCGGCGACTGTGGTCTTTTTAGGGGCCAGAGTAACAGTAAGAGTGGAAATATTGTTGAGCATTCGCTGAGCCTGTTTCTTCTTCGTCGTACACATGCGCATACACATACACATACACCTACGTACCGACGGCACATGAGACGGAATAGGATCAGTCAAACAACGGCCCCTTGAAGTATCCTGGTTGATAGCCTTCCCAATAACGGCTGAATTGCTAGTGGCAGATCCGCAACGAGCAGAACTTTCTTCCTCGTGTCTTCTAAGAAAAGTAGTGCGTTTGAGAATATTTAGCAACACTCCGATCTTCCTATCATCATCAGCCTATTTCCAAGGCCAACAATAAACACGGCACAATCTTATGGCCTGACCAACCCCTTCTCATCTTTCGAGTCCTCTGTCGAGTCACATCATTGGACACCACCGTACTTTGGTCAGCTGCATCGCTCTTGTCGCTCACACCGCCTCTTAACACACGCCATTGTTTCAATAGCTGTTCGCATAAAGGGGATCCTCCGGAGTTGTTCAACAGGCCGCTCACGTGCACTGCCATTTTGCCATTTTTGGTGGTGAGTTTAGAGCAAGCTTGCCAATAGTTAGCTGCGTTCAAGTTGTCCACCTTGCTCCGGAACTATCTTGGCCCTACAGGACCATTGCCGCAGGGGCTATTACTACGGAGTATCACAAGCTTCTGTCACTTATATTGTGCTACCCTCTTCTTTCATCATGACCGACTCCCTAGCACAGGAAGAAGCAGACAGATTCTTTTCCAACAAAGATAGAATTACCACTCATCCAGAGGACGCGTCTGATTCGGATAATCATTCAGAAATCAACGAGAAGGACATTACAACTGACCCATACCACTCGGACCCTGGTGACGACGAGGATACATTACACAGCATGGCAGCTACCGCTACCGCGACCGCCACCTATCATGTCCCTCACACCTTCTTCGACGCCAACACTGGTCCCAAAGGCGTCATAGCTGACGCACGTTCATTCAATCGAGCAAAGAAGACTTCTCTACGTAATACGTTTCTAAACATCACAAGTGGTCACTATTTCCAACAGAGCTCCAAATCTCGACAGACGACTCCACCGACGGGGAGTGCCTCGACAGAGAAGTCGGGAAGTGGGCATGAGGATGAGGATGACGAATTCATGGAGCAATGGAGACAGAGCAGGCTGAGAGAGCTCGCTGCAGGTGGCTCGCAGAAGCACCAAAGACGCCAAAGTCCAAGCAAGCGAAAATGGGGTTTCTTCAAAGAAGTCGATGCCAGTGGGTATCTAGATGCTGTAGAAAAGACAGCTTCAGATACTGTGGTTGTGGTCTGCATATACGACCCTGAAGTATGTCTTGGATTGCTTCGTCAACTTGGACTACGGTGCTGACAACAGAGGCAGTCAGACGAGAGTGCTGCCGTGGAGGAATCGTTACATATCCTCGCACAAAAACATGCAACGACCAGATTCGTCAAGCTGCACCACGAGATTGCCGAGATGGAGCATGTTGGCGCCCCAGCCATTATTGCCTACCAGAATGGGGATGTCATCGCTATGCTGGCAGACTGTTCGGCTGTTGGCTTGGAAACGAATCTGCGACGGTCAGTTGTGCTCTGCGGGTCTGTGATACCATACTAATATGATCTAGGAATGGCATGCTGGTCGATACTACTTATTAATTTCGATCCAAGCAACTTAATGTCACCTCGCCCATGCTGTATCACTCCTCCTGTTTAACGTTGGACTTCTCGAATTAGCCACCAGCCTGCATCATTTTGTCAACACAAAATATCATTGTACCAATATCACCCATGTACCGCAGCGCGCATTATCGTCGCCGAAATTGATACCCCCTTGTCAAGAATACGAATGTACGAACAGAATTTGAGATGGTGGATGCAACTCTGCTAGACTGTACGATAACCCTGTTGTTGAGTTTTGCTTTTCTGCATTTTGGAGCGTCATTGGAAACTCGTGTACAATATAAGCAAGCACCTTACCTCATGACTTGCATGATCATTCCCTTGGTGAATGTGTAATAGATAGACGCACTTTGGGCTTCCCGCCTTCTCTCCGTCTTCACCTATTGATCGCATTGACTGTCTTCTGCGTCGTCCTATTTCCGTCACTCGAAGTCCAGCTTTCGCGTCCCTACTTCCCATTGTTGTTGGCCTTGCCTTTTGTACAAAACTCACTTCGATCCAATTCCTCTCCACACCAGCTTCCACTCCCTTCCTCTCCCATCCCCTTCTCCCACAGTCTCGTTACCCCATTGCCGGCCCACTCGTCACTGTCTCCACCCCATCACGTGAGAATCAATCGGCGTCGCCTCGCTCACCTCGACGCACAGACCCCTTCTTCTACTCTTCAGCACCTCCCCAATGCACAGGGGTTACCCGGCGGCGGCCCATCCCACATTGCCTAAATATATACCAATGGTTGAGAGGTGGTTAGGTCCCGGCAAAGGACGTCTCCCCACGAATGCTTAAACTCCCTTTCCGGCTCTCCTTCCTTCCTCCTCCTCACTAGCTAGGCCGGCTCCTCATCTCCTGCATCTTCACGAGCTAATGCATTTCACATACCAAACGCTTCTACCCATGAGCAATGGGATAACAGGGAGAGAGGGAGAGAAAGAGAAAGGGAGAGAGACGGGGGTCAAGACCATACAAACATTCAAATCGCAACAAGCCTCGAGGAGAATGAGATCAGGAGGCGCGCGCTGCACGCACGCACGCATGCGCACACACCAAAAACTCTCTCCTCTCTTTACCACGAAATCATCCTCACGTCCAGCAGAACTTGACTTTAGAAAGAAAGAAAAAATCATTGAATAATTGTTTCGGGGGAGGGAAGGGCTCTCCTCTCCTCTCCTCTTCTCTTTTCTCTTCTCTTCTACAACCATGCAGATACCGTAGAGAGACGTTCCTTCCGACATTGAGAAATGTACTTGACACGTTAATCGCCAACGCCATTGCCCCGTACGTGAAGTGCAGGAGACAAGGTAGGCGGGTGATAAGTAGGAGGATGCGGTAAACTGTCTGCGTGCTGAAAAAGAATACTCCCTCATTGATTCCTTTTGGGGGGGGGGGGAAGAAAATGAATTTGGGCATTCAATCCCAGATGAAATACATATACATAGATGTGTGTCTGATTTCTGTTATCTCATCCTCTAACGGCACTACGCTCGATCAGTTGTGCTTTGGTTCATCCAGTACTCACCCCAGTCACCACGCTGACTGTCCTAATGCCTCTGCTCCATGCCATTGGTTACAGCACCCTCTCGGGCTCACCACCGACCAATTAGCTTTCTCTCTCTCTCTCTCTCTCTCTCTCTCTCTCTCTCTCTCTCTCTCTCTCTCTCTCTCTCTCTCTCTCTCTCTCTCTCTCTCTCTCTCTCTCTCTCTCTCTCTCTCTCTCTCTCGCGCACGCGCGCTCACCCACCATTCCCCCTATCCCACCTTCACGCCAGCCCAGAGCCGCCCATCCCAGAAACCCACATACCGCGTCCAACGTCACCGATTCTCACTTACTTATGTTCAAACCCATACGTCGCCTGCAGCCGCCTGATCAGATGTTCTTTCGCGGTCAGAACCTTCGCACCACCTGCACCACCTCCATACCCGACCTCGAAGCCTCCATCCCCGGCCGCTGTGGTGGAAGGATGATGCGTGATGTCCGGAACAAGTCTCGATGGCACAGCCTCCAACAGCGTGCTATCGGTCGGATGGCAGAAATACGCTATACTGTACCTATCCTCGCCCAGTACACCTACACCCGAAGCTGTATTTCGGTGTTGGTCGTGGGGAAAGATGACTCGATGGACCGTGCTTTTCAGGAGGTTGTTTGTCCAGTACGAGAGGAGGTCACCGATGTTGAGGAGGATGGGTGGGAGGGGTGTTTGGTCGTCTGAGGTTTCGGGAGTGTAGTTTGAAGGGATGACGGGGACGGGCGACCATTTCTGTTGCTTGTTTTGTTGGGTTCGGGGGTTTTCTGAGGCTGAGGTCGAGTTTAAGGTTTCTGACGTTGTCGTGCTAGAGGTGAGGATTTCTAGACCGGGCTGGGAAGGCCGCTGAAAGAGGAGGGTTATAGACCCTATAGGTATTGTCCGTTCGAGTCAGTGGAATGCAAGGAATAGGAAAATGCGCGACGGTAGAGATCGCCATGAGTGTAGGAAATATGGTTGAATACTGCTCACCATAATCGCTGTGTGCGCCTGCCCTAATATCGACTTCAGGCTGATAATCAGTATCCAGTGGCAGTGCCGGGTAATGAAGGAGGCGTAACGTGCAGCCTGATGGCGTCTTGTGTCGGGACGAGAACCAGTCTGGATCTGGTATCTATAGGATGTTGAAATACATCAGTCAATGCTCAAATGAGGGAACGATGGAAGTTATACAGCACTAAACAGTGATAGTTATTCCGTTCGCTTGTTGCTTAGTGTGGGAAGAAGTGAAGAAAAGCAGAAAGGTAGAAGGAAGACAGGGAACCGACTTCAAGACCTAGAGCCAGCAATTTCAAGATTCGATGACAAGTCTTCCGGCAGCGGGTTTCGAAGTCCAAGAGCTCATCCTCATGGCCCTGGAGCGACTTGGGAATCGGTTGTTGCGGTTGGTTGTCAATGAATTCACCAATGTTGAAGGCTCTGGTTTTGGGTTGAGTGAGCAAGAATGATCGAGGCTGTGATACAATGAGGTCGCTTGACGGGTGGATAGCTCGCTTACTCCTTGAAGTCGCCACGCTAGCATGGAAGAAATGATGAAGTGAGCATGACATTGAGTATAGGATAGCGGACTCGGCTGATGTACCTTTTGGTTTGCTGGATCAAGTGTCTCCGAGTGCATGCCCGTCCAGCCTCTGTTCTGATATGCGATGCGATGCTCAGCATTCCAGCATCGAATCCCGCGCAATCCAATAGGGGAGAGGAAGTCGTACATCTGAACCGATCTGACATGCAGCTTTCTCCTCTTCAGGGGACGAGAAGAACTGTTTCGACTAGGTATTGCTCAGTTGCAAATTCGCCTCGCTCAAAGCAGCTTGGAAAGAATTCACCAATTCAAATTGGCGCTCCACATTCTCAGGCGCGAAGTCCGTTCCTCTGGTATCAATGTACAAGAAGCCGTGCGTGGCAGCAGCATCGATCATTGTTCGTCCTATCTCTGGCGTAGGATACGAGATGTTGATGACGGGGAGAGTGACTATATCATTGGTTTGCACAGAACCATTCGTAGTCGCCATCATCCTGTGCAGATTGCAGACAACGAGAAGAGCTCCCTAACATCTAAAATCAAGGTGACAACAAGACAGAACAGAACGAGTAATACAAATTCTTGGAAGGGTAAGCGTGCCTGTCAAATATTTTGGAGGTGTGTAGAGATAGAAGGGATAGAATTGTGGTTTATTACTTCAAGTAGCACGAATGGGTCGAGTACTTTGTGCAAGCGGGGAGCAAGTCCAGTGGGGTGACAGTCGGTTGGTAGGTACAGCGAATATGTGGTTCACCATTCAATTGTGACAATCAATCAGAGATCAAAGTGTCCGGCCAGGGAAAATCCTTAATTCACAGAAATGAGAAATGCAGTGTCTCTCCAGTGCCAGTGGTGGAAGGGGAAGACTAAGAAATACCATTTTCTGTCCTCTGCTATGTGAACCGCATAAATACACGTAGGTTTGGGGTCGTAAAGTATGTGACACGCTCCAGTTGCAACCTTTGCCAGACTCCCATGTAACTCCCTAAGGTGAGAGGTAGCAGAACTTGACCATGGCCCTTCACCTTCACCTTCACCTTCACACAGCATCTTCCCCCTTCGTCAACGACGCAATCCACCATGATATTCTCCTGTGTCGACAAGAAAGCGCCAAACGTCTTGCACTGCACATACTGCCCATCATGGGCCTCTTGCATCAAAATCAAATGGATCGCTCAAGGATGCGGCAGTAAAAGGTCATGATGAAATCATAGAAAAAGCCCCGCGGCTATGCAAAAGCGAAAACGAAAACGAAAACGCAAACACCACCACCACCACCACCGTGCAGCAGAATTTTCCCTTCAGGAACACCAATGGCGATGATAGACCCATGCATTTTTCTGGCAATCTTTGCTGCAGTATTTTGTCCGCCGGCATCGACGGCATTTAGCAAACTGTCGCGTGAATTCCTCCCATTTCCCACAAGCGAAGTAGGCACATTGACGGATACCGCCTCGCGAATCGTCTTTGCGGCAAAGATTTCTCATCACCACACAAGCCCAATACTGCATATCTTTGGAATGATGGCGAACGGTGAATTTCTCCACCAATGGGAAGGTGTTGAAATCGTCTGGCTGCAAGTATTCCTCATCTGGATCATCCTCGTTCTTGAGGGACGGGTTAGCGCCGCTGTCGTCCTCCCGGGATTGAGCCTCCGGATTGAGCCTCAATCTCGGAACGAGATGAGTGGCCTGGAAATATGGTCGAAGGTTGCAGTATTTGGATACATACGCAAGGAGCTGGAGTGACATGAGGACATCTTCATCACGAGGTTGCGTAGCCTGTATGCTGGGTGACGTTGAGGGATTGCGTAAGAGGTTGGGATATGCATTCATGTTCAGAGCGGGTGAAGCCATATTGACCGGAGGAGCTGGAGGTACCGGTGAGTATGTGATTGGTCCGTTGACCGGTGTAACATTGGTGTTGATAATGCTGCCATCCATAGCGGTTCGATGCGTGATATTGAATGTTTCCGTTTCCTGTGGTTCTGACTCGTCAGGGATAGTCAAAGTCAAGGGCGCGTTCTCTCCATCGAGCGATGTATCATCATCCTCGACATTGGCCAGTGACACCCCAGCCTGCATCTGCACGGCAGGTTGCACATTTTCAGGACCATTTCCATCGTCTCCGCTGATGGCAGACTCATCGCCAATCGCGTCATCCGAGTCAGCATAAGTCGATCTTTGCTGACGGATAGAGGGTCGTCGAGGTCGGCGGTGTGTGGAGATTGGCAAGCCCCGCTGCTGAGAAGGTGCTGATGGAGTCGTTGGAGACTCGGGTTGAGAATGGTTGCCTGCCTGGAGTGGAGGGAGCATAGAAGGTAGCCTATCCACATCCCTTACAGGGCGGATCTCAAACCCATCAGTAGCATCCATCGAGGGCACAGCGGTTGCTAATGGTTGCAAGGTATGATTTCGTTGGTGTATATTGCGACCATCGTGGCTTCGATGGTGGTGATGAAGTTGTGGCCGTGGAAACGTGGTGCGCTCGGGCGGCGATGTTAGGATGGTGTGTCTGGTAGGCGTAATCTCCATAGCGCTATCGTCTGCAGGATACTGAGTCTGAGTGAAAGGTTGAGGAATTTCGAGAGAAGGGGGAGGAGGTTGCCTTCGAGACTGCCGATTTTCAGAAATACTATTAGGTTGGTCCAATGCATAGGGTTGAGAGCGAGAATTCGGAGTGGTCTTCGAACTCGGACCATATCTTGCCGCATTGCGGTGAGCTTGTTCTACATCAGCTTTGGCTCTCTGCTTCTCGATTACCTGTATGTAGTTGTCGAGGATTGTGGCGATGACCGGCACCATATCAGCTTCGACAACCCTAGTCCGGACTTGTTCCGATCCACGGACTCCAATGTTGACAACACATTGAAACGCCAGGTTCCATTTCCACATATCCATCACATCCTTGCTCCTGCCCTCCTTGAGGATACAGATCAGGCGTTCCACGCCTCCATCGAGCACCAGAATATCTCGAATGCGTGCGGAGGATGTGGTGAGGTATGCCAGATGGTTAAGAGAATTTATAAGAGGTAGTGTCGAAGTACAATCAAGTGCCCTGCGATCATACAGCGTGGTCGTGATATGAACTGACGCCTTGTTGACGTTCGGAATGCTGAAATTGACCTCCCGCATTGTGATAAGCACGTACACGCTTCAAATGTAGAACAATGATACCAGGTCCGGATGACCTGAAGGCTCAATCTCAAGGATATTTGTCACTAATAAGGAGGAGATGCAGTTGTGTATATCACAACTTTGCAGCAGATATCCCTGGCCCGAGCAACACCTGACAATATCAAAGGGAAGGGAAAGGCTAACGAAACAATGCTTGATTTGTTGTAAGCAAACCCTTTGACTGTAAAGTTTCTTCAGGTATCCATCTTCGTGCAACTGGTTATTGATGGCGTAAGAAGCTCTGAGGTATTAGTTGTGTATTATGCAAATTATCTGCCAGCAGCTCCGACCGCAAGTAGCAACATCAATGGCTACAGTGACGGAAGTGGGTGTTCGACAATGGTCCAAAGACTCAATGCATCGAACGCTAGTCGGATGGACTCGGTGGCAGCCGAGGATCGCGGAGGCAATCAACTGTGGAGGATCGGCAGAGCTCGAAGGAGGCGCCAGGCGACGGAGGTGTGAAAATGGCTGGGTAAGACAGATACTCTCTCCGTTCCTCGTTCTGGCCGAGGCACGGTCTTCAAGGTCGTGAGTAGAAGAGTTGTGAGATGGGAGAAGTATGCGGAGGGGATGATGTGTTGGCAGGAGGTGGTCGAGGGTTGAGGGTCGAGGGTCGTGGGTCGTGGATCAGGGTTTGTGGTGGGTGGAGAGTTTGAAGGAGGAGGCCGATGGAAATTGTGGAAGGGTCTGGGCGATGGTCAAGGTAGTTAAATTGATGGGGCAGAAATTGCGTTGATGAAGAAGAGAGGACGAGCGGTGGCCGCAGGACTGACGGACGAGTGATTTGCCTGCCAAAATTACTAAATTACTAAATTACGACGAAACGTAACTATCTTCCCCAGCCCTTTCCTCTTCAGATATAGCTCTGGGTTGCTGCAGGAAACTTCGAGCTTCCAGATGCTAGTTGGAGCGTTTTCTTTCTTGGTTCTTGGTTCTTCTGTCTGGAGACAACCTCTTTCTTATGACCGTGATAATTCATTAACTCATTCTTTCATTCATTCTTTGGTTCATTCTTTGGTTCATTCTTTGGTTCATTCTGCTCGATGTCACCCTGTCTGTGCCCGCAGACTTTGGTGTGTGTTGGAAGCTAGGTGTTGGTCTTCATCAATTGCCATGCTCACCATGCCGTGAAAATGACTTGTCTCATCTCTCGCTAACTCGGACCCAGCCATCGGCCACGGCATAATAACAATAGATTGTGGTAATTTGTTTCTTGTTTCATGGTGAATCTATGGTATCAAACTCCACCATCTCGTTCATGCTCTCATCTCAACACTTTTGCCATGAACTTCAACCAGATCATGACCTTGCACCATTCTCTTGTCTGCTGCGTAATCACCATGCCTTAAACAAGATTGTCCTCTACAGCACGGCCTTGCTTCATTCTATAGTAGGGATCATCTATATCCCAAGCCGAGAAAAACTTCACTTGGCCAATGCCTTGTTGCCAACTTGTCAAGTGCATCAATAATGCACGCTCCACTTGTTGTATGCGTACACAGTTCAATCCTGTGAGTGCAGTATGTGCTACTTACTACCTGGTGGGAATTTTGGGGACTTAGCTCTGACTAGCCCTTGAAGGACATCACACTGTGGCTTTTGATGCTGCTCTATCGCTGCCCATACCGAGTAGAGGTTGAGGCTGTCATTGGTCCGTCCTTTGATGAGGTCTTCCAAACATATATCAGGATGTAGTAAGGCACACCAGAGTCAGGGTCTTCAGTCAGGTTCACGAGCACCTCATGACCAAATACATGAGTTGCGGGTGCGTGCCATTGACGTATCTCACTTACACTGTTGTCAGCTGCCAGCTGTGAGAGACACAAATCAAGAATGCCATTTTGATTTGGCCTTATGTACAATGACTAGACCTGCCTCTGCACGTCATGGTGAGAGGTGCTTCCATTATCATTCATCACCATGATTCTGATGATACCTATGGGGTCGCAAAACACAAACACAAATACATGAGGCATTAAACCGATCTGGACATTTTAGCACAATTGTGGCGCATCGATATGTATGAATCTGAATGAACCAATACAGATGCTGCTAAAACAACTTGGTCCCTTCCTGAGCCACCCGGCTGTCTGACCGTTAAAACTCAGGCAAATTGGTGTAGAAAGTGCTTCGGACAGCGGCAGGTCCAGCCTAACCTCCCAAACAACGACTTTACGGACGGTCCAGGGAGGGGTGTTAAGAAGCTGGTCCTTGAACTGGCCTGTCAGCTGCTCCTGATCCACCCATGGCCCCGAGGCTATGATCCACCGCCCTGGGCAGAATGTAGCTCTCATCTGCCAGGCGTCTAAAAGGGGCCAAATCTCCGGCCAAACCTGCCTTTACCGGCTTACCCCAAAGCACCACACAATGTACATACAGGCAGCCCGGGGGGGGCGCTTCCAGGGACAGAGTAGGCTATTCATGGACACGGGTATGCGTATTCACGCAGTGAGCAACCAGAGGCACGAGCGAGGTCAGTGAACGCGAGATGTCAAGCCTTTTGCTTAACCAATTGTTGATCACTTCTGCTCTGATTTCTGTGACATCTGCATGGATCCTGAATTAGAGAGGGCTTTGCGTTTTAAGTAGTACAAATAATGTGGCTAAGCTTTGAAATTTGAATCTGCGCCAGTGCATTTAGTGCAGTGCAATAATCTGCCCCCCCAATCTTGCCCGAATCTGCCTCAGTGACTTTGCCTTCGAGAATGATCAGCAGTATCGCAACTTTGTTCTGATGATTTAGGGAAGGACTCAAATATTGCTTGCAGTGTTAGGACAATCGCTAAGGGTCCCAATCAGCTCCCAAGATAATATAGCCAAGTTAGCTCTGCCTCTGGGCCGCCCGCCAATCGAAGCCTGTGCCAAACCAAAAACCTACCTGGGCTATTTGGCGCACAACTTGAACTTCTGAACACTGCAGCACCCATCCCTCCTCAGAACCTCACTTGCGATCATCTCTGCTATTGACCAACAACCTACGCCTACTTCGGTCATTTCATCTGGTGATATTCGGTATTAGATCCTTGAGGAACATTGTCACCATTCTCCTGCTTATGGTCGCTCGAAATTCGCGTAGTCACTCAGCTGGGTTTATCCTCGCTTATTTCTCCAAAAGCTTCCGAGCTCAAAACGAACGCTCTACTGGCCTCAACTCAATCCACCCCTAACGTGAACGCAACTTCGATAAACTTGGGCACAGTGATTCAATACTACCAGAATCAGTCCTGAGGGACTGGCTTTTCGTCATGTCGGACACGCTGAGCGGAGAGCAGATGCAGGCGAGAATACAAGCGGCCAGGCGGGAGGCTGAAGGCCTGAAGGATAGGATCAAGCGGAAGAAGGACGAACTTGCAGATACCAGCCGTATGCTTCTCCCTGTCCCGATTTTGATTCTGATCAAATGAACATGCTATCACTACGGAACGATCGCATTTCATTCTTCAAGTGTCTACATAATGGCCTTTGGCTAACCCATCTGATCGCAGTCTCGCAAGTCGCTCATAGTAGCACAGAAGCACTACCAAGAATTGGCATGAAGCCGCGCCGCAACCTGAAAGGACATCTTGCCAAAATTTATGCTATGCATTGGTCAACGGATAGGAGACATCTCGTTTCGGCATCACAGGACGGCAAGCTGATCATATGGGATGCCTACACCACCAACAAAGTACATGCCATTCCCCTTCGATCTTCTTGGGTTATGACTTGTGCATACGCACCAAGTGGAAATTACGTGGCCTGTGGTGGGCTTGACAACATCTGCTCAATCTACAATCTTTCCTCTCGAGACGGTCCAACGCGCGTCGCTCGTGAGTTGTCGGGTCACGCAGGTTACCTCTCATGCTGCCGGTTCATTAACGACCGAAAAATCCTTACATCTTCAGGAGACATGACATGTATGATGTGGGATATTGAAACGGGCTCAAAGGTGACAGAGTTCGCAGATCACTTAGGAGATGTCATGAGCTTGAGCATCAACCCTACGAACGCTAACATATTTGTCTCTGGGGCATGTGATGCATTCGCCAAACTTTGGGACATTCGTTCTGGCAAAGCTATCCAAACTTTCGCTGGACATGAGTCAGACATTAACGCCATACAATTCTTCCCAGACGGCAATGCTTTTGGTACTGGCTCGGACGATGCTTCTTGCCGCCTTTTCGATATTCGTGCTGATCGCGAGCTGAATGTCTACCAGGTAATTCTGGCAGTAAAACTATGCTTCATTGTAGAGATGCTGATCTTCATGTATAGAATGAACAAGTACTGTGTGGTATCACCTCGGTAGCCTTCTCTGTGTCTGGCAGATTACTGTTTGCTGGGTATGACGACTTTGAATGCAAGGTAAGCTGCAACGCCCCTGATCACCGTTTACTCATGCTTTTGTCGTGTCGAAAAGCTCTTCTGCCCACGTCGAAACGCTATGAAAGCTGTGACTGATGATTCTTATTAGGTCTGGGATACGTTACGTGGTGAGAAAGTTGGGGCACTAAGTGGCCATGAAAACCGTGTAAGCTGTCTGGGGGTCAGCAATGATGGTATTAGCTTATGCACTGGGTCCTGGGATTCTCTTGTAAGTCATGCCAGTCGGTGTTCTCTCCTCCCTCCCTTGTTATTGGCGCCTGTCAGATCTTGAACAGCTTCTGACCACATTTTTAGCTCAAAATCTGGGCCTGGTAGAGGGCGACGAAGATTCAAGAGAAGATTTAAACGGACAACATGGCTGTCCAGAGGCCATCCACAGCTTCATATATTCCCTTTCTCCAACGGAAATGCTTGCCATCATCACTTTCACATATGGCCCAAGCCAATACTGTACTATGTCAATAATACATCTCTGGACCGCACCATAACCCTGATCAGTAAAGTCGACCAACACAAGTCAGAAGGCTGGGGCAGAATGATGGTTATGTCAATGCTTCGGGACTTGGGAGCATCTACTTCAAGCTGTATCCCTCTATAGTCCTTCTCGCTCCACGGCTTCTTCGATTTGCCCTACCTGTGTCTCTTTGCTACTTTTTCACGCATTGGTGGCGTGCAGGTTGAGCTTTGAGCTTGCGTACGCTAGCCTTTTCTGTTCTTCCTCTAATGTCTTCAGCTGAGCAAAGGATACTGTGTTCCTCAATTCATTCGGCGTGGAGTTTTGTCATGCCAACCGAACATCTCCGTCCCATCCGGCAGGCAAGGAGATCTGCACAGGGATGAAGATGCACCTGTAGATGAGTCAGAGTTCCGCAATCAAAAAGAAAATTTCATCTTCCTCTTTGCTTGACAAGAGAATTCACTGCCCGCGCGTGTCCTCAAGAATCTTGACTGGGTCCAGCTTCAAGGTGCAGATGTCCTTTTGAGGAATCGACATGGCTTTTGAATTGGTTAAGGAGCAGGTTTGCCCTTCTAGCTATCTCATTATGATCTCATATCTGAAGTCCTCTAGCTTCCAATACTGGTGTTGTCTGCCAGCACCATCTGCCAGCAAGCTATTGGTGCTTTCTGGGCTATGTTACATGCATTTCGCATCATCCAAGACAGGACGATCTGCTACTTCAAGGCTTGAGTTTTGGTGGGGTGATAGCATGATTGTTTCTGCTAGACATGTCTCAACTTCAAGACTGTTATCACATCCGTTAATGCCGGTGATGCCGGTTCGCCCGACAAGTCCAACGTTGTCCTTGATCTAGAAATTACTGTCCTTCTTGTATCTTCTTCACTGACTTATAGCTTACCTTTGACATTTGGCTTGCTGGCAAAGTCTCTACTTTTGTGTGCCCATGCTTCGTAAGCTATCGATATCAACCCATGACCCAAGCATCAGCGTCATCTTATACTTTGTTGCCGCTTTCCTGGGTTCAAGCTGTAGATTTTCTCTATTTCTCGAGCCGAGTCTGGTCTCGCTTCTTAGTTATCCCTATTCCGACAATACAATGCCTCGGATTGGATCTAGCAGGCATTATTATCTATGTGCATCAAGAGTGGGGGAACATTACTGAAACCAGGTGTCCGTAGCAGTCTACCTTAGCTGGCATGTTTCAAGGTATGTGCTGCATAAAAACCACGTGGACAGTCTCACCTGCTTCACAGGCGGTATATGAGGAGATATAGAAAATGGTACGACGCTGTCAAAGTTTCGATACAGTGAATGTTGGTTGGGTCAACTGTGCCACAGGAGCCTATGCATTGAGCAGAAATTTGGCTGTCTTACTTCAAGTCACCGACTCTAATCTTAGGCAAGCACGTTTTGAAGAAGTGGCACGTTCTAGAGCAGGATGGGAGCAAGAACCTGCGTTCGGAATATCGATCGAGAAGCCTCTCGAGAAATGCGACAAGCAGTCCGTAACGTGACCAGACCACATTTGCAACAGATCCCCATTCGCAACGTTTTAACTATCTCTGCCCCTAATTTTAGCTCGCTATCATTCTACAAATATTCATTGAAACTAGCATAGAGAATGATCAAATAGCCAGAATTAAGCAAAGTTCGTTTACAAAATGTCTATCTAGGTTATTTTAACTAAATTTATTTGTAGAATAACGTCAACAGCGTTTGAATAACCGGAATACCATGTCAGAACGCCAAGTAATTTCTGTTGCGAATGAGGATCCGTTGCACCTGTGGTCCGGTTACGTTAGGCACTGTTCAATGTCCAAGGTACTAGTAGTAAAAGCTTCATTATTTTCCTTGGTAAAAGTGCTCCTTTCCTGACTGCCGGCCATAAGCTTATGCATCGAGAAGCCGCTCCGAGACACAAGTTCCTATGTATCACAATAGTCTCAAGGCATCATTAATGTAGCGAATGGCTCGAGCCCTGCTTGCTCGTGGCTTAGTGATAACTTCAGGAACTCCAAAATGTAATTTGAAACTATCTGGCTAGTGAGAATCGGGACAGCCCGAGGCGGAGATTTAGCTGCAGTATAAGATGCCAAATAAGGTTGCAAGCGCATACTCCAGTTGGCTAGATTTTTAGGTGCTTAAGTTAGGGAATCTCCCCGGATTCTAGGTTGCTTCTGCTGGAGAAAAACAAGCACTCAGCTAACTCCCTAGGAAGGACTTCCAAACGCTCAAGACTCCCTGTGTAGGCGGATCGGGGGTGGTTTCAAGCTTGCTGGGAATTTCTGTTTCTTGGCAGATTGTAGAGATGCCAGGTACCTACAGATCACCCTCTCGAATGTCCTCAGGCTTGACTGACCGAGATGGCTACAGTTCAATCCATCGAAGAGTGGGGAGCACCTCGCCTTCAAACATTCCCATTCACAGCCTTACGGCACGCTGTGATAGGGGTCGATGCCTCACATTACCTCAATCTTCGTTTGAACAGCCCAACAAGTAATGAGCCACTATTGAATGCAATTGGAGGCATTCCATTTACCCTAAAGTCAGCGCTACGCGATGACCTAGAATCATTCAAAGCTGTTGATGCGACCCTGATATTCGTCTTTGAGGGGCTTGACTACAAGAACAAGGAGCTGTATACCTCACCAAGGACGAACACGACTCTGAAGGCTCACAAAGACGGCTGGAAAGAATATTACAACGAGGAGAATGGAAAGGACGTCGCTGCAGAAAGGACGCTAAAGGCCTTCGCCAAAGCTAGTATGCCGGCCGAGTCCATTACAAGAAGCTTTGCTGACGCCCGTCACAGGCTATCCTGTTGAGAACGTGACCAGATACTTCCAATCACTGCTGAGCCAGCATTCTGTGCCATTTATGGTGGCTCCATACAGTGCAGCTGCACAGGTATGTCACGCTTTATTGTTTAAGCGGCCTGCTGATTGTGCATAGCTGGCGTACCTAGAACGACCGACATCCAACAACAAACCAGAGAACACGCAATATATTGATGCTATTATCGGATCTGCCGACCTCTTCTTGTTCAATGTCGAAAGAATCATCACAAACTTCAACACCCGGCAAGGACTGGCGACCTTTGACGCCCTCAGCAAGTCAGCATGTCAGGATAGACTTGATAAGGTTCCTGATGATGTTTTCAGAGATGTTCAGCTTCTTCTTGGTGGCCCATTTCTTCCCACGTTTCCTTTGTTAGATAAAACAGGTGGTCCCAAGGTAAGCGCACGAGACGCTCTTACGATGCTGGGTGGAAGGTCGGTGATCCAGTTATGCCACCAATGGCGAGATGATCCTCAAGTCCAGGCCCTTGACTACGAGGACAAATACAAAAGAGCCGTACTGTCCCTGAAACATCATGTTATCCTTGATAAGGAAGGCAAAGCGATCCTTATGGGCTCGGAATACGATGCCGGCGATGCTTACGAGTTCATCGGCTTGCGCCTTCCTGAGGAGTTATACTTCTATATTTCTCGAGCCATGTTAGGTCCACGCGTGCCAAACTGGCTTACCTCGGGCGAAATCGATCTAACACTGCCAGTTGGCTGCGAGGACACTGAAGCGTATAGACATCTGCTGGGAAATCAGCTCACCAGCCTTCAGATACAGACCATTTGCCTATTGTCAAATTCAATGAACCGATTCTATCAGACTCGCAACATCAAGATCAAGACATGGTATGCGAGGGAGACGCAAAAAACAATCAATATGAAGGAGGAGCCATCTGTGAAGGAGAGGCTCCTGGGTTGGAAGGTTTCTGAGGCAACCTTGAGTGAGCATCCAGAAGTAGCTGCGGTAAGAAGGTACAGAAAATGGTGAGTATCAATGCTGATTAGAGTTTCAGACCAACCAGGCGAGCTTCGCACGCTTTATGGAGGCTTTGAAGGAACCAAAATGTCGTCAGATCACTACTACCAGAGGCAACTCCCCACCTTTGAAGTCGAAGCCGGAGATACTTTTCAATGTAATGGGCCGCTTTTTGCAACTTCGAGAATTCGTGAACGAGAAACATGAACTGACAGGCTGGGGCAGGGCCTTGAGAAAGGCTCTCTCCTCCCTTGACGCCCCGGATAAGCTCGAGGACTCGGTCTATCTCGCAATTGAGGCGCTACGATTGGGCCTATTGGATGAGCGTCATGTTGCGTTGGGATCCACCAAAGCCAAAGCTGGCAAGTAACACAGCCTCCGTCCGGGATTGGACCTACAAGCTAACATCGTCGATGACGCAGCAGACGACGCAGGCCCCGTGAAGACATTGATAACCAAGGTGGCTTGTTTTGGTCGCTTGAAACATGGATGCATTGGTTATACAGGCCCTCTTGATCGCGAAATGCTAGCATTCCAATTCATGATCAATGCTGTCAGGACTAGTCTCCGATATTTACTTGAGACCATCCTTGTCAGTATGTGCCTCAGTGGAGAAGTCGATCGTAATCGGAGCGACTGGTCGGATATTGCCTTCAGGTAAACTTGCTTGCAGACCTAAATCTGCAAGACAGTCTGCTAATTTCTGGCAGCCTTCCACTTATGAATGACAACGGTGCAGGACTTGCCATTGCAGCGAGCACATACTTTGACGACGTCAGCCGACATGGAAAGAAAAAGGATGAGAGTGTTCCATCTGATGTTACGAAAGAAGAGGTCAAGTCCAATTTTAGTTATCTACCACAAGCGCCAAATATCACGAAGAATCTGAAGACTGCCTTCAACCTATGGGATGCAGTGAGTTTTGGGCACCGGCCAATGCCTTGTGGATGGTGCTGATGAGAATCTAGGTCTGCTTGGGATCCAAAGAGGTCAGCAAGGAAGTGAAGAATGCGAAGGCGCTAGAGGAGGCGAACGCATGGCTCTCGACAATGCGGTGACAGTAAGGGCTGCTAGACACCCATGTGTTGTCTTTGGCATACGGGGGATGGTCGTGAGTGCCGAAGCGTCAAATGCACCATGTTTGCACTCTGATGGAGTTGGAGCCTGCTCCAGTCTAACAATGGTTAGAGGAAAACCGTTCACAGACGTTGCGATTTCACCGTGACAGTATTGCACCGAAGATGATACAATATCAAGCGTCACATTCCCAGTGTTCAATGTACCATCCATAGGCTCAGTAACGCAATCGTGGACTTAGTCGCCCCTTCTGGATAGGTGTCCTGATTTGAATGATGAGAAATCCAATGATTTGCAACGTACTACGTCCGCAAGGGCCTCGGGCCAACTTGAGTATCGCTGTTTACAATCTGCTGTTCAAGTTATCTCTAAAACAATCCATGCCAATATCTCGTGCTTAAAGCAATTCAGACCAAATCAAAGACCAATAAATAATAGATACGCTATCATGCGGCCCATCAATCTCTGCCTCTTTTCCTCCCTCTCCCTTCCCTCCATCACTACGGTTGCCGCCTCTGCAACCGGCTCCTCCGTCCTCGATCTCATCCCCTCCAACTTTGACAAGGTCGTTTTCTCCTCCTCAAAGCCGGCGCTTGTCGAGTTCTTCGCTCCGTGGTGTGGTCACTGCAAGAACCTTGCTCCAGTCTACGAAGAGCTCGCTGCCAATTTCGCGCATGCCGGAGACAAAGTCTCCATAGCCAAAGTTGATGCGGATGAACACAAAAGTCTAGGGAAGCGGTTTGGAGTGCAGGGTTTCCCGACTCTCAAGTGGTTCGATGGCAAGAAGGGGAGTCAGCCAGAGGATTACAATGGAGGGAGGGATCTAGAGAGTCTGACGAAATTCATCAACGAGAAGACGGGCGTCAAGGCTAAGAGCAAGAAGTCGGCGCCAAGTGCGGTGCAGATGCTGACGGATAAAACATTCAAAAATGAAATAGGTGGAGAGAAGGATGTCCTGGTTGCATTTACAGCACCGTGGTGCGGTCGTACGTCTACACCTCATTTACGATCTACTTGAGCACGCTTTTTCATTTCCTTCTCAACTTGTCATGGTACTGACCTGTTGTCTTCTTTGTAGACTGCAAATCTCTGGCACCAACGTGGGAGAAACTTGCCACCGACTTTGCCTCGGAACCTACCGTTGTCATCGCGAAAGTGGACGCTGAAGCGGACAATAGCAAAGCCACTGCGCAGTCACAGGATGTATCCTCCTATCCAACGATCAAGTTCTTTCCACGTGGCTCCTCAACCCCAGAGATGTATGAGGGGGCACGTAGCGAGGATGCACTCGTCGCATTTATGAACGAGAAGGCTGGGACACATCGGGTTGTGGGCGGCGGTCTGGACGCCAAAGCCGGAACGATCGAGGCGGTGGACACAATCCTCGCAAAATACGTTACCAGTGGTGGACTGAGTGATCTTGAGAAAGCGACAAGCGACATCGGCAAAGCGGTAGAAGGCCTCAAGGACAAATACGCTGGCTATTACGTCAAGGCACTTCAGAAGCTGGGCCAAAACCCCGAGTATGCACAGAAAGAGCAGACACGGCTGGCTGGGTTGTTGAAGAAGGGTGGTCTAGCACAGGAGAAGATCGATGATCTGACCAGCAGGAGTAATATATTAGGAAGATTCTTGGTCAAGCAGGACGAGGGTAAGAGTGAGCTTTGAGCATTTGAGAGTGGACCTTGACCGATCAGACTACCTTTGATGGGGACCAGGGAGGGCATCTGGAGTACTAGTAGAGCGGGTATGGGAAAAGCATGTTCTGCGACAATACTGAAATCGCTGACCTGGTATTCTGGGGATACACTTAAACCGGCGGCTTGTTTACGTGATATGATCTCTCTCTGTCTCCCTGCTGCTTTGATAATAAACTCGTGTTTCTGAGCTGTGCTCTCTGGGAATCACGATTTTAATGCTGTAGTTCAGGCGGCTACCGAGCACTTAAGTAATCAAGTACTATCCCATGTGTCACTGAACTGGTGACCATCACTTGTTGAGGAATAGCGTTGCCGTGATCTAGCATCAGAATGTTGCTGCTGCCTTGGCAAGAAGACCAACAAAAGATTTTTAAGTGAAGTTTTATAAATTAGTTTTTGACATTGAAGGTAGAGTTATCTTAAAAGTTCAAGATATAAAATTAATTAAAATCCCTAGAGCTTTTGAATGATGTAGTTTTCATCATGACAAGTCTGAGAATTAGGGTATGCAGACAGAGAAAGACTGCAACGCAAATCAACTCTGAGGTTCTTCTTGCTAAGACTGCAGCAGAATTATCCGCTAAAATCTACTTAACTCATTTAAGGTTGCAGCAACGCTACTCAGTGAGGGTCACTATTTCAGTGACACAGGGATACTCCGTACTTGAAATCCAATAAAATTGTATCATTTTCAACGTCTTTTCCCAGGATTATTGCCATGTGGCGGTCAAATTATGGTCATCTGATCGCTCTCGGACGATCCTTGTATGACCAAAGACCAATAGTACAGCGGCATTTTCCAAGCCCTTATGTATCCTGATCCATGGAAGTAGGGCTGAGGCTGCATGCCAAGCCATGCACGCCAAAAGTCAATCTCGAAAAGGACAAACATGGCAACATGGCCACCTGACCCCGGACCGCAGCCTTCACAATTTTTGATTCCCAGTGTTCGGCGTTTGCTTCACCAAACTTTCCACATTCCTTATTGTTTAGGCGTTTGTGCCATCCATTCGAATCAGCTGCACCAGATTCTCATCCACCAAAGACCATTCTTGTACAACACTGCCTCAACAACTTCCAGCGTCCCCTTGTTAGCATGGGTCCTTTTGATGGCATGGTCGGCAAAGGCTTGAAGCCTCTTACGGCACAGAAGCAGAAAGTGCACTCGCAGACCATCAAGACTGGCCCGACTACCACTTCAAAGCACAGATCTCAGCCCGCTCAGTCCACTTCCAAACCTTCACCTCCTCTCTCCAACGGGCAAGGTAAGACTCTTAATGGCAATGCGCCCAAGCCGCAGAAGCAAGCATCACCTGCGCATTCCCGAAGCAATGAACCAAAAGCACGTATCAAAGAAGAGAAGAGGTCATCTAGTTTGAAGAGGTCGTCACCAACAGTTTCCACGCCACGTTTCGATTCGGACAATAGCGACGAAGATGCGGAAGTCAAATCCAGCAAGCGAAGGAAGGTCGGAGAGGATGCTTGCGTCGATCTCAGCCGCCGTATTCGAAACATTCACTCGTTCTCGGTCCTCCAAGACTCGGGCGCTTTGCCAATGATCCATGCAGCGGACGTTGCAAATCTTGGCACCGATGAGAAGCCGAATCCCAACTATGCAACCTTCTTTACGGCTTTGACAGGCGATGAAGACGAGGCGCCGGTGATTGAACTTCGGTACCCTAGCGTATCGCACAAAGAGCGCTACCAAATGGTGCAGGGCAAAGCAGGTGACGATTTCAAGCCTCTGGACGAGATCATCCATGTTATCAGCACCGTGGCAGAAAATTATTTGCTACCTTCACAAGCAGAGCCAATTACCAATGAATCAAGTGGCTTGTTGCGAGATCTGAAGCGTGCTCGTCTCCGAGGGCACAAAGGTGAAGCTGGGGCTCAGTCGAAATACGTGGCAGGGGTGGAAAAATACAACGCTCTCTTAGATTCGTTGAGCAAGGATGGATCGATACAGAAAAACCTGGACGAATTGCACTCTCTGAAACTTCCTCTGGTCGAAACGATCCTTCAGCAAATATATGCCCGCACCGTTTCTCCCCACATCCACACTCTTCGTGCCTACGAAAATGGTACAGACAATGTGTACGGTGAACTGCTCCCACGATTCTGCAGTACCATCTTCAAGCATACCAGACTCAACTCCTCTCACGTGTTCGTGGATCTGGGCTCTGGGGTTGGCAATGTCGTCTTACAAGCTGCTTTACAAATCGGCTGCGAAAGCTGGGGATGCGAAATGATGCCCAATGCGTGCGAGCTGGCTGCTCTCCAACACGAAGAGTTCATCGCTCGATGTCGCCTCTGGGGCCTTGCACCCGGCGAAGTGCACCTCGAACGAGGCGACTTTCTTCAAAACGAGGCAATCGGCAAGGCACTCAAAAATGCAGATGTGGTGTTGATCAACAATCAAGCCTTCACCCCGGCGCTCAACGACAAGTTGATCATGCACTTTCTCGACTTGAAGGAGGGCTGTCAGATCGTCAGTCTCAAGAGCTTTGTCCCTCATGGTCACAAGATGCAGGCCAGGAATATGGGCAGCCCGATTAATGTTTTAGATGTCAGGGAATTGGAGTACTTTTCCAACAGCGTCAGCTGGACTGATGCTCCGGGGAGGTGGTATGTACAGACGAAGGATTCGAGAAAGGTGGAGGCTTTCCAGCGGAAAATGAATGGTGCTTGATCTGGACATGACTGGGATGGGCATTGCGTTGCAGTGCACATACCTGACCAGATGAAGGGAAGGCGAAGGCCACTTCCAAGGGCTGGCTGGCTGGATCTCAGCCATGTGTCGTGCTAGCATGACGACTCCTCTTCTAGAGGACCTTGGTCTAATTTGGACTATGTAGATTGTTGTACTACTACTGCTACCACCACCACCACCACCACCACCACCACCACTATCACGTTAGCGAGCCGATACCCAAGAACAAATGCAATGCAATGCAGATCCGATCCGATCCGATCAATCATCTTGTCCCACTCCGGTGGAGCGAAAGTCTTTCTTCCTTACAACTCCGTGCTTCTTAGTTTCAGGGAACCGGTGCAGGCTGCTGCCAAAATCCACGTCTGCATAAGAACACAGCTGTAACTAGGAGGGTATTGTTGAGGCGATGCTACGAAACAAGCTGTTTTCTCTCCTCGCTCTCCCCCCCCTCCTCGTCGTCGTCCTTCTTTTTCTGCTGCTGCTCGTCTTCTTGTCTACCGTCTCCGCCTCCTTCGTCGTCCCCACTTTCTCCTTCCGTGCTACCATCTTCCCCATCATCATCCTCGTCATCATCATCTTTCTCCTCAGCGGACTCCGACTCCGAATCCGTCTCCGACTCCGTCTCCGTCTCCCCCTCCTCATCCTCAGACTCTTCTCCCTCCCAGCCGCAGCCGCAACCACCCCTTTCGCGGCACCGCCCAATCCCACCGCGGCGACCTTCTCCCTCCTCAACGCGTCATCCAACAGCGTCCCCGCCGCCACCTTCCCCTTGCCCGCCCCCCAGCCCGTGACGCCCTTGTCGGCCTTGTCGACATCGACATCGACATCCCTGAGCCCCGCATCCGGCTGACCAGGGTCATGCTGCCCAGCATCAGGCCCTTCCGCGTCTCGGAGGGCGAAGGCGCGCTGGGCACGGGTTTCGGGGCGAGCAGTAAGAGCGACGCAAGCTGGGTGGAGTGCGGGTTGGAGAGGAGGGCTTTGAATGTGCGGGCGCGGTCGCGCAGGTCGTACGACGTGTCGTGTAGCGGGTTAGGAGGTGGATGTGGTTGTATAGGAGGGGGATCGGGTGGGTGTCTTTTTCTTTTTGCGATGGCTGGTGTTGTTGTTGTTGTTGTTGTTGTTGTTGGTGGTGGTGGTGGTGGTGGTTTATTAAACTAAAGGATATGTATTAATATAAGAATTTTGAAGGGCTATCTAATGATGCTATTTATAGATCTATAACCCTAATAATTAGCCTGATACAGCTAATTTAAGGTTTACTCTTATAATTCACTTTTGGTGTTCTTAACGCTAAGGCTGCAGGCAGGTCTTAACGAATTTTGATGTTCTTAACATTAAGGCTGCAGCACTCTTCTATAATTTTGATGTTCCTAATGCTAAGACTGCAGAAATAACCTCACCGCTAAACGCGGGTATCTCTTAACGCTAAACTCAGCAAGAAAGGAGACACCTACAGGTGGTGGTGGTACTTGAATGCGGGCTCCTGCCCTTGCTCCTGCTCCTGCTCCTGCTCCTGCTCGAGGTTGGGGGATGGCTGGTTATTACTATTGTTGTTGTTGTTCAGGTAGTGTAGATACACCTTGGCGGCGAGGAGTAGGATCTGCTGTTTCGCTGGCTCGGATTCGTCCGCGAAAGCCGAGGCCAGGATCCTCAGCACATCCGGGGCGATGTTGTTCTCTGGCTCAATGGCGGCGTATTCGCCCACGAGCCAGATGATGCTGGCGCGTGCCTCGGCACTGGTGGTCATGTCCAGGTTCTTGGCCAGTCGGATCACGGTTTCCTTGTGCGAGGTGGGGTCTTGTTGGATGAGGTGGCGGATGACGGTCAGGGCCTCGGAGACGAGGAGGGTGTTGTTTGGATTCTCGGAGATCTGCTTCAACAGCACTTTGAAGCAGCGGGTGGATGTGCGTGGGTCGGCCTGGGCACAGCGCCCGATTGCTCGCACGCTTTCGCGGATGAGGTCGAGGGAGGTGCCCTGGGCGAAGTGCTCGAGCTCGGAGACGATGATGCTCTTGTGATGGAGGCCGCAGTGGGGGAAGATGATGGTGAGGAGTTCGAGCTTGAGGCGCCACACGTTGGGGGGGTCGGTGGAGTGGATGAGGAAGCGGGAGGCGTAGGGGACGAAGAGGCGAGGTGAGATCAGCGCCGTAGACACGATGTTGTAGAGTGCTACCTGCTGGATGTCGGAGGGCGCGCGGAGAAGCGCGATCAATGGGCCAACGGCGTCTTTCAGGTATTCAGAGGTGCCCAGGTAGAGGAAGCAGCTTACGACGCTGATGATGACGGCGGAATTTCTGCTCTGCAAGAGCGGCTTGCAGGCTCTGAGGAGAAGCTCGAGGTCGGGGTCGATCACCACTGCTTGCTCTCCGGTCTCAACCTCCTCGCCCGGCTCGTCTGCGTAGAAACCCTTCCCTTCGACCTTGGTCACCCGCTTCGTGCGGCGAGGGAAGCAACGTCTAGAATAATTCATCAGCAACTGAAGCGTAGCCAGCTGACTCCACTCGTCCATGTCGACCAGCTTGCGGACTAGTTCCCTGTAGTGCTTGTGGATGAGGTCAATCCGGTCCGGACAGAGCTCTAGGAAGGCCGACACGGCAGGCCCCACCACGAAATACTGCTTGTCTCCCAGCAGGATCGAGAGACATTCGAGCAGCTGTGGCAGGGTGTTGGGATCGAGTCGATAGCATTTCGGTATCGCCAGTGCCGAAGCCTTCCGAACGTGGGGACTCATGTCCGCACAACCGCGCTTGATGGCCAAGGACACGATCTGACTGATCACTGGGACTCGCATACCCGACATCGTGCGTAACGCCATGGCTCGTACTTGGGGGTTCTGGTCGGTGAGCGACTTCTGGATGGCATTGACGGATAGCAAAGCCAGATCCGGGTCTGACTCGGCGTAGTGGAGGAGGTAGATGTAGACGAGCTTCTTCACCTCGATGTTCGGATTGGCCACGTTCTTGACCACAGACGAGAAGTATGGAAGACATGGCTTGCCCTGATAGATCATCTTTTGCGGATTAGTCGTCGTCTGGGGGGCCCATGATTAGTTGTTCCTACCGAAACCACCTTCCGCAATCCCTCCAGGATATCGCGGTCATTGCGACTATCAAGAAGCCTCTGGAGTTGAGCGAACGGTATACTACGGCTTGAAGGGCCAGACTTGGAGCTTCGGCCAGCATTGGCTGACTGAGCTGCCTCTATGGTGAGATCTCGTGCTAGGTGGTGAGAGTCAGCGTGGATGGTCCATTCCCAGAGCTTGCATGATGCAGACCATTCTCCAGCATGGACGATATTCTGGAGATCGATTCCATTGCGGGCTACTTCCTTCGACCTGTAGGACCGCATATATCAGATCGAACTTCCATGGCCTGGCATTGCGTGTGGTTGTACTACTGTAAGAATTCACTGGAGACTGACATCCTGGATCAAATATGTTTACGGAGTACATGAGTTCCGCCGTGGAAAGAAAGTCTTCTCTTCCGCTCCACCCTTCTAAGAAAACTCCTCTTCTACCCATTGTTCATTACATAAACCATAAACCTGGCAGCAACGGTTTGATGCGAAAATCAGAACACTCCCAACAGACGGTGTTATTCAGTGCGCAAGCGGAAGCCCAATAACAATAACACCATATGCCATGTCATCAAACTGGAGAATAAGCTCTCTTCACGATGAAGCGTGTGGTGGTGTACTATGACACTGCACCAGAGCTCTTAGAAAGCCGGCTACGTGCTCAGCAGGGAAATACAACTTTGATTATCTGTTCGTCCAAAAAGCAATATCTGCAACAGCTCATCCCGTTTCTTTCCGTTCGCCAGCCAACGCCAGCAGTTGCTTTCAAGGAGGACACTGAAGCTGAGGATACATGTCAGAGTCAACGACCACACTTTCTCCTGGACCCAACGCTTCAGCTCATGTCAATATCAAAAGCAACGAAGCTTGCCTTCTGTCCTACGATCAACACACTTCGCGCCTATCTCTCGAGTCTCGCAATCCTCGATCACACCAAGTCTGCTCCACGAGCATCGCTCATGATAGTAGATCTTATCCTGCTTCATCATGCCACTTCAGAGTTCTCCGTGCAGGGTCTGATGCGCTCGCTTGCGTCTGCTGTCGAGGCTGCTGCTCGGAACCAGGTCGACCTGCAGCTGTGCGAATGCAGGGACGTACATGACCTCGAGAATCCTGATCGCGGAGCAAGGCTCTGGGACGCACAGGTTCCGTTGCTGAGCGGATCAGTGAGGCTGAGAGATGAAGATGCTGGATGGTCAGGAAGGGTAATTTCAATCAGAACGATCGTTGGGAGATGGTTCGAATTCGAGAAGACGGAAGAACCAAAAGATGACCGAGCCACCGAAGATGAAGAAATGCTTGTCTGATATAGGCCTTGATCACTCAATTGTACACTCTGATGCCAGTGAACGCCGTGTGGGTATCCTCGTGGTCAAGATCATCGCTCATAAACTTCCTGGCTCCTAACGCCGGCCAACAAATGTCATATGCATTGCTCCATTTCGGTGATGTAGAGCTTGATATGCGACTCGAGCTTCATGTACTCATCGTGGGCACTGTGCACCTCATGCTCGATATTCTCTTTCAGGTCGGCCATCTGTCCCAGTCAGTAAACGCCAACAACGCATCAGCTAGGTATCAACAATCGGCTAACCTTCTTCTCGGTCTGCTCAATCCTCATCCGTCTTCTTTCCATCTCTCTATCCTTCTCGGCCCTTTCTTCTCGCAGTTGTTGTTGAACGCCCTTCAGCTTCTCCATCCGTGCCTTTGCCTCTAGCTCTTTCTTCTTGGCCTTTGCTCTTGTCTCTTCTGTTCGTTCTTCCCATCGCTTGAGTTGCGTTTGTAGCTGCTTCTCATAGTCCTCAATGTCCTTGGCCTCGTTGGTGCGTTCTGCTAGCTCTTCCCGACTCTTTGATGCTCGAGCTTCTTCCTCTTCTTCCTTTTGCAATTCGATGCTAACCTCTTCCAGAACCTTTACGCATGACTGGACGTCGTTTTGCACCCCAGTGAAGGTATCACCGGAAGTTTGTAGCGCTCGGCTGCGACGCTCGAGGTTGTCAACCTGGGCTTTTTCTTGCGAGAGTTTCCCCGAAAGCTCCACCAGCGAGTCTTGCAACGCGGCCGGACTCTGCAACACGTATGGTCGAAGTTTCTCGCTTTCTTGTCGATTTCTCATCAACCTCTCAGTCTTTTCCTCCAACACGGTCTGGCTCCGAGCTTTGTCGGCTCGCACTTTCTCGAGCTGCTCAGCAATTCTCTTCTGGTCGTCTTTGAGTTCCAGTAACCGTGCTTTCAGTTCATCATTTCTCTTCGCCTTTTCCTTGCCAACGCTCTCCATCGCCTTTCGGTTGCGTCTCATCTCCTCCAACTGTTGCTCCATGTCCTGATTCTCCAGGTAGAGATTCTCAATCCGCGCTTTCGTTGCCTCGGACTTTCCAAAGTTGTCGTCGACGACAGCGCATTGTGACTCCTTGAACCTGATGAAGTTGATGGTGTATGAGAAGATCTTGATCAGGCGGTCATGTGTTGGCCGAAGCAGGTCTGAGAATGAAAAGTCATGAATGCCGCACTGGAGCAGCATGCCACGCAAGCTAACGAAGAAGCCCATCAAGTTTCTTGTGTCCACCGGGACGATCTCGATATAGTCCCCACAGACATCCTCAGCAGCAGCGCGCATAGCTGGATCAATGGTGTCTCGAGTAGCGTTCATCACAAGCTCGGCGATCAGTTCGAAGATCATCTGGATGTGCTGTGGATTGGGCTTCTGGAGGTCGGCAGGCGTACATGGTACTCCGATGTCGCTAATGCATCCTGCAATCTCTTTGTCTGACTGCCATCCGGTCAGCGAGGTTTCTGGGCACGATGCATTGCGAGGCTCATAGGCTTACCAGGCGCATGAACAGATCTGGATCATCTTCTTTCTTCTTGCTGCGCTGTTGCTGCTGTGACTGCGACGATCGAAATTGTTGACTCATTCTCGCGTTATAGTTGTAGTCCATATTCGCGAAAGATATGATGGACCGCAATGATAATGATATTGTAATGATAACGATGCTGCAAGCTGCTCTTTCCTAGTTGTAGGAAAAGATGTCTAGAACCGCATGATTTGTTTACTACGTATGTGTTTATGTGTTTATGTGTTTCCACTTGTGGCTTAGCTTGACGAGATGTGATGCAACTTGCCAAGACATGACTCAGCATTGAAGATTCCGACTTCAACATCTAGAACGGTATCAGAGAACCAAATCACAACCTGGACAATAAAGCGACCATAATGGCAGAGACCACACCACCTGCATCACACGCCACTGCCCCCTTTGACATCGTGTCCAAATACCACTCCCTACTCTCCGCCGATCCGGACCTGACTCCTCCCATTGCCGCAATCGAATCCCTCATCGCCCTCCTAACCGCCTCTCCCGTAACCACCATCTCCGAGACTCTCGACCTCCTCTCCCACTCCTCCGCAACCTTGCGCTCCTCCATCCCCAACTGGATCGCCCTCTCCGCCGGCACCGACCTCTTCCAACGCTACCTGATCCAAACCCTCAACCGACCGGGCGCCCTTGGCAGCGGCGGCGACTTCGGCTATCTACGCCAACACCTCCTCAGCAATGGGCGACTGTTCGTGCAGCGGGCAAAGAAAGCGCGAGCAAAAATAGCAGATGAAGGCCGCCTTTTCATCCACGAGGGCTCTACGATCCTCACCAACGGCGGCAGCCGGGTGGTAAGCGCCCTCCTCCTGCGCGCAGCCGAATCGCAGCCCAGCGGACCTCGATTTCGCGTCATCTACGTCTTGCCTTTCGTCTCCTCTTCGAAGACGCTCGGCAAAGCGGAAGGAGAAGGACACCCGACCATCACACTCCTCCGATCCCACTCCATCCCCGTCGCCTGCATTCCCTACGCCGCGCTCGCAACCGCCCTCCCGCTGATCGACCTGGTCCTCGTCGGCGCCGAAGGCGTCGTGGAGAACGGCGGCATCATCTCCCGCCTCGGCACCCATCAGATCGGTCTCCTGGCCCGCTCAGCGGGCAAACCAATGTACGTCGCCGCCGAGAGCTACAAGTTCGTCCGTCTATACCCGCTGGGGATGGGTGACTTGCCGGTGCGGCAAAACATCATCAATTTTGAGCCTGTGGACGAGGAAGAGGAGGAAGAAGTATGGGCGGTGATCGATGGGAAGGAGGAGAAGAATGACGGAGCGGAGAATGACGAATCAGATGCTGACGCAATGGGAAAGCGCAGGCAGGGTAAAGAGATCACGAGCCTAGAAGACGCAGTGGACTTCACGCCGCCGAATCTCATCTCGGCCCTCATCACCGAGAACGGGGTCTTGACGCCTAGTGCGGTGAGCGAGGAGCTGATCAAGCTTTGGTTCTGATGGCTGTCGAGTATGGGCCCTAATATTTTGGAGGGATTGAGGGGACTGGGATGAAGAGTCAAGCGTTTAAGCTTGGTTTGGCTGCAGAGCCCTCTCACGCATGGGAGTCTGGGCTGGTTGTTGGCGAGAAGCAGGAATTTTCAAGCATGGCATGCCTACTACCAGCGGGGTTCGAATGGAATGTGCAAAATGTTACCATCACCTAGTAGAGGCTATGGTTGCAGATTTCTGTTTGCCATACCATGTCATGCCAGCCAGGCAGCCAGCCAGGATGATCGCTCCGAGCAGATATAGTAGGGGGAGACGGAAGATTCAGGGATGAGAAGCTAAGAGAGAAATACCAGGGCATGGAGGAGACGCACGGTAGGGTACTGTCGCTGGAAGGGAGCGGGAGGAGATGCTGCTTGAAATGATCGAGCACGCAACATACCATACAGGGAGAGCTAATTTCGCTTGAATTGACGCATCCACGATTCGATGTGAAGATCTTGGTATCATTTGAGCGCATGGATTATGAAAAGATTCATGTTTCGTCACAATCTTGACCTTCGAAAATGATGGCTCCTTCCAACGCCTGGCTTCGCTACGCTTCGCTACGCTTCGCTTCGCTGGTTCATACCCAAACCATCAATGCCGATCCACTTCGCTGTCGCCGCGCAATGGCCTCGGCTATAAATCATGCCTACCCAGAAAACCCACTTTGCCTGGACCAATTTACACCAGACCTTCCAATTCCCGCTCCCTCATCCTCAGCGCTTCCCGAATTCCATCAATCTCTTTCTGCAATTGCACCTTCCTCTCTGCTTTGTAGCTTTCGCCATCTGTCGTTGGTGTATGTGTCTGCTCTGTTGTCGTTGCTGGTGATTTTGCCCGTCGCAGAGACGGTTCCAGCTGCATTTCGTCCACCGTGGTTTTGGAGCTTTCGCCGCCGGCATCATTCTTGTGGCCATTCGCGAGATGGTGCTCTGCTGAAGCGTCTGACAGAGATAGGTGTCGCTTTCTGCTGCTACCGAGGCCGTTAGTGCTGACGGTTGAGGCTGAGGTGGGCTTGTAGCCAGTGAAATCGATGGTGGGAGGTGAGCGTGAAACTATTCTTTCAGGAAAATTACCAGCTTCCGGACTGGGCTGCTGGTCTTCCCCATTGATCGTGCTTTTCGGACGCGCTCTTCGGTGCTGAGGTGGTCTTCGCTCGAGGTGGACGGGCAGCGAAGGAGCAAGGTAGGGCGATCCAGGGGATGAGGTTGTATTCCGAGGATCGTTCGACCTCAAGGCCACTTCTTGTGAACCGTCACCTAATGCAGGGACAACCCTCTTCCTCCTCTTGATGGTGGATTTCTTCATTGCTGTGGGTCTATGTGCACCATGGAGCTTGTGGTACAGGCCACAGGCATTGCAGATGGGATGTCCGGCTTCGTCTCGCCTCCACAAAGGGGTCACGGTGGTTCCACAATTCTGGCATGCTACCAACAACGACGTACCGCCTTCCGGTTGGCCTGGTTCTTGTTGTACATCAGTTTCCCATTCAGGTGGAGAGGTCTGCTCAGGGTCTAGGACTGTGCCTTCCGACCGGTCGCCGTCTACTGTCGAGCTCTCTGGTGTATCTCTGGGTGAGGGCTCCGGTGTTACTATCACATTGGTTGTTTTTGCAAGGCGGTTATTGAATGCTGGACAACCGCTGCAGGTCTCAGCGCCTCCGGCGCCGTTGCATTGTCCGCCTCCTGGGCATGAGCCTGAAGAGTGCTCTGGCGCTCTGTACGACCCGGACGGCTGCTTTAAATGATTCGATACAGGAGACTCGGCAGAGGGTGACAAACTCGACGGACGGCCACGCTTGCCTGCTAAGGTGGAAATTGTGGAAGGAGATGGTTTTTTGAAATTGGTGGGTCGGGAGTGGTTGCGAGCTTTGAGATAGAGACCACATGCATTGCAGATGATAGTTCCTGTCGGTGATCTTCGCCAAAGAGGAGTGCTGCTGGTTCCGCAATTGCTGCAATACGTTAACAAGCCACCGACAATGCTAGAAGAAACGTGTATTTCGCACCTGCAGGTTTGTCCTGAGAGCGCTGCCTGGCCATTGGTGACCGATGGAACTGCAAGGAAGTCGGTTGAGCGATCATCTAGAGAAGGGCCATGTGTGTCCACAGTCCTGAGTCTCTCGTCGCTGCTATCACCACCGCTTCGTCCCCCCCGTGCGGATGAGACCAGTTGATGTGCCGCATCTAGATCCTCTGCTGATGGCTGACGAATAAGGTTTGGACCTCGTGTGAACAGAACCGCTGGCCTCCCCATCTGCTCCGTTCTTGGCTTCAATGTAAGCATTCCTGCTGCCTGGGTGTTCTCTTCAGATTAAATGTGCTGAGAATAAGACTTCATGGGTGCTTCATCCGAGTGTTCTAGGGTCCTAATAAAGACTATGAAGACTCCGGTGATGTCTGCCCCTTGGGAACCCACAACTGGATGTGATCAGGAGGATTGCTACCTTAGTAATTTGAGTGCAGGAGCCTTTCTCCCTACTGGTTCACTGAGTCACCCAGGATTCGATAGTACGGAAAGACGGGGTCTTGGGTACATCCAAGCAGTTACTAGCAAGCGCAGAATTGTTCAAGGCCGGCGCTGGTAGGGGACCAAAGGACAAGTGCAGATTCTGACGTTGCAACGTCAGAATCTGCGTCCGACGCAAAGGTTGGAAAGTGAAGGAGAACGCTGCGTAATCGGGTCTAAACCGGCTCCTATTGGCTGTTGGAAAAGCCCCTTTGATCTTGGCGCTGCTGGTACTTGGCTACTAGGGAGTGGCAGTAAAAGCATTCATTTCGTAGGGAATCCAGCAACAACAACCTTGATTATATGGTTACTTCTCACAGGAACTCTACTACACTGATACCATCAATGTATTCGACGGGTTGCTTGGCATCGACGGTTGAGATGCCACCATGCGCCTTCTCAGACAGCGTCCCTTTCCAATTCCTTCATGCTCTCTCGAGGCCCAACTATCGAAGATGGCTATCGTACATGTAGAATAAGGAAAGCCTTATCTCAGCGAGTTTATGTTCTGCTTCCAAAAAGGCATAATACCGCGGGAAACACGGTTCTGCGAATACAACCTATGGCAGCCCGCCTGGCAGACGTCCATCTCCCTTCTTGGCCCCGTTTTATCATACTTGAGAGCAAACAGTTTCTTCAGACTTGTTCTGCGCCCCATCCAGCGTCTGCATCTCTCATGTTCGAGGGTGGTTCGATTTGGGGTGCGAATTCAAGGGCACAATAGGCCACCCCAATAATGGCCACCACCAGTCCGGCAATGAGTCGAAGTTTATTGCCCTCAATGATAATCGACCCGACAAACACGTAGACTGTAGTAGCGTGAGCTTCAGCTGTTGGCCTCTGGATGCCACGACTCACAGAAACCACGACCAAGGAAGGAGAAGAGGAAACTCGCGTATCGAGGGAGATAAGGTGGAACTTGAGGTAGGAGCTCGAGGCCTCCGATAGCTATGGAGACAGTCAGGTATTCAGTTATAGAGTATTTCACAGACTTTAGACGGACCAAGGCCAAAAAGTATCACATATATGCCCGTGATCGTGTTGCCTCTGTTGCGGAATCAGCCTGCTGTTGAGGTTCGAATATCGCGGGTTGGTATACATTGTGAGATGTGGGATGAATTGACTGATCCCTGCGGGCCACAAGCATCAGCTTCCTAATCAGGTACACTGGTTTGTCCTCGAGATCGCGCGTTGTGCGCAAGCTGCGCGACAATGCAGGGCACGCTGCTTACCACCCAGAATCATTACAGCACCGACCAACAGATTCACGAGACGACTGAACAGTTGAGTTAGCAATTTCTTCACAGTATGATCTCCATGCAAGGCGCGACTCCTCAATGGAGCTTTTCGACCAGATCGAGGCGGCATACAAGATGTTTGAAAAGTCCATCGCAACTGGGCTTCGCAGCGTGCTAGGTTCGAGGGAATAGCTTCGCCCCGAGACCTTGTCCCTATTAAGGCGATTGTAGTCGCAAAGGAACCTGGACGCAGATTGTGACACGTGGTAGAACACAGAGAAAGGGAGGAGAAAAATGAAGATTGAAATGTGGTCAGAGATTGTTGCTCCTTTTTGGCACTTGAGGTCCGAGTCGCATCAGGATCTGCGTGGCAGCTTGACGAAATCCCTTGGCCTTCTTCACAGCACAACTTCTTCTTGAATGCACATCAAAGGGAGTATGTGAAAGCTTCTACTCTGATACGGAACACTCTGATTTTAAGATACATATATATACATATACATACACATACATTCAGTCTTCAGCCGGAGATGCGTCTAGAAGGTTTAGAATCTAAACACGAAATATTAGAAAGGATTCCTGAGTTTCTGCTGGCCATCGGCCCCCCATAGAGAGAGGATGGGCCGATCTCTACCCAGGATGAGACTTGCTGATTGGAGTGAAATAGGCATACACCTCTCACGTTTGATCTGATCTTACTAGAAGAGTCATTTTTAAGGTCGATGACCTGCTCTGCTGTTGAGATAGCATCACGATGACTATATGCTAACCGTCAAATATCTACAACCTGGCTTTCTCGTCTAATATGTTGTCCGCCAGCTTAACCACCTCTTGTGAGCAGCCATACGAAGATTGATATCCATAACCACCATGACCATAATTATGGATGACCCAAATCCCGTTGATCTTTTCTTTCTCTACCCTGGCACCCGCAGCTCTGAGGGGCCTAAGACCAACACCATGACGAATAATGTCCAGCCCTTCTACACCAGCCCCCAATGTGAGCTGCGGACAAAGCTTTACGGCCCTCCTCATGATCCTCATCGCGAGATTGGGATCGGGCTGAGACTCCCAATTACCCTTCTGGTACGAACCACCCAGAATTGTGCCTCCACCTGTTGCTCGCATCATAACATAGACGACTTCATCCTCTCCGTCGTCACATCCTGAAATGGTATACATGGCGCCGGGATCGTTCCTGACGAGAACTATCTGGCCCCGTGCTGGGGTGACTGTACCGTCCTCGACGCCTCCTATTTTGGCAGCAGACAAACCCGTGCAGTTAATAACGACATGAGCTTTCTGCCCAGAATGGTGGGCGGTGACAGCATCACAAATGTGGTTGAAAATGGCGCGCTTGAAACTCACGCCTGCTTTGGAGCACTCTGAGACTAAGTATGGAAGATATATAGCCGTATTGATACATACCGATGTGAAGGACGTGGCAGAGTCGATGTCGTCGTCGAGTTCGGCCTTGGGGATCACACGAAACTGCAGCGATGAGCTTTTCATTCGATGCTTCAAAGGGGCAAGCTTTATACATCAGGCACTAGATCTTTCCACCATGGACTGGTCGATAGGAGTTCCGCCAACGATGATGCAGCTACTGACCCAACATCTTTCTTCCTATTCAATACGTGAGAAGCTGTTTTGAAGGTTAGAGGATAGAATTTCTCTGAATGCCAAAACTCTTACGTTGGTAGTGTACACCTGCCTCGGGATGATTGCGCGCAAGGTGCTCGAGGGCGGGCCACGTATTTCTGTCCCAGGCTGCAGCAGGTGAACCTCGCACTGAGACTCTAAGATTGCTTTAGCAGACCCTTCTTGGATTTATAGTAGGTGTTTGGTGTGACCAACGGCATATAATTGGCACCCGCCCATGGCGAAGCGTATTCAATGTGGTAATCTCCTGGCATATATTTGGCTGCAACAGTGATTTTGTATGATGGATTCTTCGAGAGCAGCAGCGCTGTTGTCAATCCTGCTACACCAGCTCTGCCACCATCAGCGGGTTCTCTTAAGCAGCGCGATTGTCGACATACCCAACAACGACAATCCTTTTCTCCGCCATTGTGGCCTTGGCAACTTCACCTTGAATAGAGCCGGTGTTTCCTATTCAGGCAATAACTCTATGATTGTTCATTGTCTATCAATGGTTGGTGAATAGCATGGAGTGAACAGACCATTATGCAATTGAAGGTATTGAACTTCGAATCGTGCAAACGTACGTGTAGATATATTTCTCTTCGCGGGTCTTTGCTGTTTCCAACTCATCACTCAATCTCTCGTCAAGCTTCGATCTGTATGACGACTCTGTCTTCAAGTGTCTGTACCACCTTCTCACGCCTCGCCGTTGTCGGTGATTGACACCATCAACCATTCAGCCTTGACAACGTTCCATACCAATCAAACTTGCTGGCCAAGGCTTGGGAAGACGTGATTTTCCGTTAACTTATTGGGTAACCGCCCCAGTCTTGCCCCACATATTCCCGTTCTTGGTAAGTCTGTGGCGCCCATACTAGCCCTGTCAGTTGGCCCCTTGTTTTTGCATTACTATGTACGTACACGAGGTAGTGGGCACTACGTAACTTCCACCCGTGGGCCGGAAGATTGGCCATGTGTCTGCTTATGCCCCCATTCTTGTCTTACTTTTTTCCCTCCTCAAGGGTCGGCATATGAATGCCAGACTCCTTGAGCAGGAGAACAAGCATTTGCGTGTTCTCAATGGCTCTGTCAAGATGTCTAACAGCGATGGCAGAAGACGTCTGCCCATCATGGTGCGTGCAGGAAGGAAGAGCCAGAAGCCTTACTGGCCGTTCATGGAACTATGGGGACTGCACAGAAGACCCATCGTTTCGGATGGTATGTGTATTGCTCTCTCAGTATGTCCTAGGGTGTGTACTAAGGTACTTGCCCGGTAGGGAATTGCCTGTTTCGAGCCTTGTCGGACCAACTATTCGATACCACTGAAAGACACGATGAGATCCGCCAGACCGTCGTCTGGTATCTCCGTGCCAATCGAGAGCAATTCGAACCATTTGTCCCCCTTGATACTGAAGACTTGGTGCGAAGCCAGCCAAACACAAGATCCAGCCGGTCAAGAAGAGCCAGCGCCGAGGATCCCTACGAGGCCTATCTGGAGAATATGGCAAAGCCAAAGACCTGGGGCGGAGAGGTAGAGATCAGGGCCTTCTCCGAGGCATACGACAGAGATGTGCTGATTCACCGGCCCACCGATGCTGGCCAGCCTTTTGACCAGATGGTCAACAACAAACGTGCTGCTGGACAGCCGAGACAATTTGTCCACGTGTCGTTCGGCGTAAGCACTCTCTGCCTCAAGCCCAAACCCCAAAATCTAACATCAAGTAGGGAGAATCAACCCATCCTCATTACGAGTCGGTCCGCCCAATCAAGTCTGCTTCGCCAGCTGCGAGCCACCCCTCCTCCACACCAGCAACACCACTGTGCGGCCCAGCCGACAAACCTCTCTCCCTGCCCGAGTACAGCACCGAACCATTGAACCAGATCCAGCAAGCCCGTCCAAATCTCTCTGCTGAAGAGCTATACTCCTTCCTGGAAAAATCCAGGAACCAACTAGACACAATCTTCGGCCAGATCATCAACACGGATCGAGAGCGAAGCTCGTCGGCGTCAGCCTCATCACAGCGAAGCTCCAGCTCCAAGAGGTCTCGAGACGACAACGGCGACGGAGAAGAAGAAGACTCAGACAACAGAGCTTCAAAGCGCGCAATGAGGCGTATAAGCCTCAGAAATAAGACGCACGCCTTCGTCACGTATATCACGCCGGCGTCTTCGCAGAGGGGGACGGAGATATCGTTCAAGATCCGTGTTGACACGCCGCCGGGTACCCCTACTGAGAACCCAGAGCCGGAAAAGGGAGCTGCCGAGAAGGGAAAGGGTGGCTCGGACGGTGAGAAGAATGACAATGAATGCGCAAAGGAAGGTGGTGAGGAGCGGGAGGGCCCCACAGTGTCGAAATCAGATGAGGAAAACGTCCCGGATACCACGGACAAATCACCCAAAACGGAAACCGAGGAAAAGGCTGCCGTGTCGGGCAAGCCCAAAGGGGGAAGTAGGGGTAGGGCAAAGACCAGGGCAAGGAATGCCTGAAGTAGAAACCAGCTGGACTGGAAACGTATGGAGGACCTCATCTGGTAGCAGCCAGATGAGATAATACCTGTATTTTATGATGCATAGCGAGAAGGAAGGAAAGCGTAGCATAGCGTAGCATAGCGTAGCATAGCGTAAACACAAGATACCCGCGGGCCTTGAGGCACGCGTTGAAACCCTGTTCACGTTAATCCCATACAGGTGTGCTTCGATGGAGGACAATCTACAACTGAAGGATTTCTGTAGTTGCACCGAAAGGATTTCATAATAATCTAGTAGGTTACGGTCTTCAATGCGCATTGTTGACCGAGTGATATGAGGTTCTTGGTTGGACAAAAAGGCATCACGTCCGGTAAAACCCTATGGTGAGGATCGTGGCGGGCACCCTGATCAAAGACCTGTCCTACGACCATCATCAGATGTTGACAAGAAAGCATATCCAGGAATTCACCGGATCGCAATATGACAACAAGGATGAGATGAGAGATCTTCTCAGGGTGCACACCGTCGTAGCTTCATAGTTACTATAAGAATATAGACAGAAAACATGTAGGGCGATTCTGGCGTCCGCCAGGTATATGCACGATCGTGGTAGGAATGAGTCATCATAGGAGACCAATCTGATGAGGGTGCCCAGCATGACAGCCCCATCGGATTGCCAGCGATTATACGTCGGAAAAGGCTGTTGTCAAATGAACGGGACCAATGGACGGTACAATGCGAATCATACCGATTTCTCAGAGCTCTGTAGTCTGACAGCCACCAGGAAGCATACAAGAAAGCAGGGAACGACTATTTATACCCTGTTCTTCCTTTTTGGCATAGGCTGAAAGAAGAGAGCACGTTAAGGAATAGGGACGACTGGGACATGAGATGAGAAACTATGAAATTAATCCTTTGGTCAGAGTAACGCACTGTATGTTGGTGGCCTATAGCTCTTGACAACGACTCCCTTTTCGGAGAACTCGAGCTTAGTATACAGGTTCACCATTTCATGTCCTGGCGGCTGACAAGGGCATCCAAGATATGGTGGATGAAGGATGAGTATTGTCTTTTGGTTGTTCCTTCTTCAACAGGTAAAATCCTTAGCTCTCCACAGGAGCGCTCGTCCCGGCACCTCATCCGGTGGTAGCTACTTCAGCTGAAGTGGAAAGTCAAGCGGCTTGAACAGAAACATGCCCTAGGGGGATTGACTTCCTGCTTCCGAACTTCCATCTTTGCCGGCCACCACGTGCATGCAGAGAACGATGAATGGTTGTTCTATTTTCATGCTACTGTCTCTTAAAAATTGAAAGGCTTAGATCTTAACACAGAATCATCTCATCATCTGGTTACCAGTCTCATCGGAGGAAACAGGCTGAACGAACAGAAAGGCAAATGGCCCCCCGAAACCCGTGATCTAGATTCCACGTCTCTAAGGCCCCGAGACTACCAAGTAGATGCAAATTTGGCGATTGAAATCTGGGTCATCTCCAAAGTTTTCTTCGGATCCGTTTGTGAAACCCTACTTTGGAATCAGGGTTCCGGGTTCCGGGTTCCGGGTTCCACAATTGCAGAGCTGCTGCTAGATCTTGCAACACATAGTGGGTTCGAAGTCCGTTTGAATATAGTGAAAAGGATCTTGACTAAGAAAGTATAATGCTATGTCACAGTCGATAGCGTAAGAAATCTATAACTGCATGAATCTCGTACTCGTCAGAGCATGGAAGTCACTAGGTGCATACGTAGTACAAAAAGTCTTGAAGTTTGTTCTTTCTTTAGTTTAGGAAATCGTTAAGCTGAGCAGTGTACGGAGTACGTAGTATAAAAGGAAGTGAGACGGAGGTCGGCACATATTTATCTAGCCTCTAGCTTACCCTTCCTGCGCCCGGATGCATGCGAGTGATGGCAGACGTCTGTACTCCATACTCATTTCATTTTCAACTAACTAATCCTTTCAACACACCTCGCTCGAGGTACCAAGGTATAGAATTAGTAGGAAGTAAGTCTGATTGGCGGAAAGTGTTAGCTATAATCAAAACTACCGTCAACCTGGTGAGGATGATCTACTACTGCGGTATCAGGCAGAAGTAACGTTAGCTCTAAGCTAGTAACTTTGAGGCAGGACAGGTAATGAGCGTCGTTACTAATACTACAAAAGCTAAGCGGTATCAATTATAATAATTTGTATGGATGATCACCAAAGAAGCTCCTAGAAGAGAGTGTGGCCATGTATATTAGTACTAGTCGTTCTTAGCACCGTGCTGACATTATTTATGTCCCTTACCGTAGAAAAGGGACACATCAACCACTCCGCCAAAAGGACAGCGCCGGTGGGTTTCGAACCACACTTAATTGATGTACCCCTCACTGACTACCGTAGTAGTACGTACTGGCTGCAAGTTGTAGTTACATAAGTAGGGCTCTCGCTCCGCCGATCCTGGAGTCCCGCCCGATGCCTGGGATCGATAGCGCATCTAGTTAGAAGACAGTCCTGCACAGGCAACACACCATCAACCGTACGCGTAAAAACCGTGAGAATTATTTTGCTGGCGAAATGCTTCTAGCTTGGTGCCTGAACGTTGGTGGACATTCCTCTGCAAGCTGCAGGAACCGCATGTCATCACTCCAGTTGGTGAAACCTCACTCCACAAGAGGAAATTTGAAGTGAAGCTCAATGCCGTTTAGGCTCGAGCCCACCCCTTTGAGTACGTAGCAGAGTGTGGCGCCTGGGTGCATGTCAAGTTCTGCTGATCATCGAATTCTTGTGTAAAAATCAAGCTGGCCAATGGACATCATGCGATGGCCGTCATTTCTCAAGGCGACCAGTATCATGTGTGTGTGTACCAATCTTCGGAGAAATACGATGTGAAGCACAGAGCTTGGCTGTAAAGATTTACAAACCCAACGGCCTCCACTGTCAGACTAAGAATATTATTACTATCGCAAAACGTCACTCCGGGTGGCTGACGTTCGGGGCAGAATATTTATTAACCCTGCAAATAGAGTCCGAAAGAGCCAGGGCATGATTGACGAGTTCGAATTCGAGCCACCAGGGTCCTGCGTAGTAAGTAGGCAATCAGTTAAAGTGAAGCTTTCTTGTAGGTCATCTGTCAATGAGCTCAAGTACTAGGAGTAGTGCATCACCCGATCACTTCCGCTGCGCAGTTGGCGAGCCTCAACTGGCTCTGTCCTAGCGAGGTGCGAGTGGTTTGGGTAAAGGCCCCCTTAGGCAATTTGTGGCTTGATTAGAATGAGCATTGCCTTCCGGTTCCAAGCTACTACGTTAAAGCCCCCAATTGGAAGCCTGAGGAGCGAGAGGAGTGTCTGGGCTGCAAACAACCCCCCAGTTCCCAGTCCCACGATTGTCGCGACCATCACTCCGTCATACTTTCACTCTTGAACCCTTTCTTGAATGAGCTGGGCGAGTGTTTACCGCCACACCAGGGATTATACACCTCTCACGACAGCAACTTTACTCGACATCACAATCAACTCCCTTTTCTGGATGTGTTGCGCCTATCAGCGATCGGCAAAGATCATCCATCGTGGCGATAATCTAAGCGAAATACCTGATCGAAATCCAACACCAATGCATCCCACCTCTATGCCGAAACTACGATCTCAGATGAGGGGGAAATAATTGGCATAAGGAGCTACGTTGGTGTCGGGATCTGGCACGAACGAGCCGCATGCAACACCGGACACTCGACGACCAACAGCAACAGCATGGGATTTTGGTCATTCTTTTGGAGAAGGAAGACATCTAAGAGTGACCAACAACAACACCCCGGCCTGGTTCAAGAGAAGATGGCACAAGCTGCGGAAGGCAGATCTGAGAGAAAAGTCGAAGGTGGGGATGAGAAGGCGTCCCGTACCAACAGCAAGCGACGCCGCATGGGTAAATCGACAACTGTGTCGCAGTCATCCTCTTCTGGCCTAAGAGAATCGATGGCAACCCCGTCTTCTGCTCAGCCAACCATGAGCAGCTCAGGGTACACTCCCGCCGACTCGATCACTCAAGCAGAAATGAAGGAGCTGGACGTTGCCGCTGGCGAACGTCGGGGGTATCAGCACAATCCGAAATCTAGCATCAGCGTCGAGCAGGAGCATTTCACCGCAGCTGGAACACCCACGCTTCATGCTAAACGCGGCGACAGGGACACACCCGTTCCACGCCGCAAATCCAGTAAAAGAAAAGCCGAGGAACAAGCGCGAGAACGAGAACTCCGCGCCATGAGCTCACCCGTTCCAACATCAAAAAGACCAACCTCTTATTCTGCTGACAGCCCACTACGACGAGATACCCAGAAAGCACCTAATCGGCTTCGCAAGCATACTGACCGATATACTTCGGAGATCTCTCTTCCAATCCCAGAGTCGTTATCGGATTTCGGCATTACATCAAACCAGACTTCCTTCAAGATTAGTGGACTAGATGTCCTGAGACCTAGACCCACTGTTCGACATAGCGCAAATCTTCACCACGCGGCGTTGAAGAGCCAGAAGTTCGCTGGAAACAGCGTAGGGCCGGTGATCGCCGAAGAAGACTACTCCTCTAGGAGAAGGATAGAGGATCTTGCAGATGGCCTCGACGCGAGGGCTCTGCGCGAGTTGATGGAAAGAGATCAGCGTCGACGTGAGAGGAAGCGGAAAACTGATCATTCGAAGTTGGAACAAAAGCTCAAAAGAACAGCCGAAAATGAAAAAGGACAGGAAGCTCGGATCACAGATCAGAGCAAAGCTGAAGAACAGAGTAAAGAAGCTGGTCCAGCGCTTGCTACCTCTCCTGCTTCACCGCATACAAGAGACGAGGGCAAAGTTATCCAGAGTGACCCGTTTTCTGATGACAACATGATAGCGCCTGAGCTGCCAGTGCCACCTAGACTCCGGCCTGGAAGCTCCATTTATACTCGCAACTCGCAAGCAAGCTTGTCACCTCCAAATTCTCCAATCCATCGGGCATTTGATGGTGCGAGCATGTCGCAGACATCAGGCCTACATCGAGAAGCTACACCAGACATTGTAGATCCGGCCGAGCCCAGCCAAAGGGCCTCTGAACAAAGCAATGTACAGTTGGGCTCATGGACTTCTTTCTTCAAACGGGGTGGGACACGTGGGAAGAGGAGCTCTGTCGATTATGGAAGGTATATGTCTGGCGAATTCTCCAACACCTCACGCGATTCTGTTTCGCGGACGCAGCCCCAAACTTCTCTGGTCGGAGCGCCGCGGACCTTCCAAAGATCTGGTACCCCACAGAGGACGCAGTCAAAGTTCAGAGAGGATTTGCCAGAATTGCCATTGTCACCTCCGGACTCCAGGGTACACTCGCCAGAGGCTGGAACCGGGCCACTCATAGTATCTGCTCCTTTCGAACAGGTTGACTCTGACCCCAATACCAGCAGGCTTCTTGCAAATAGCTTAACCAGCGCAAACTTTGACCGGAACCCGCGAAGTGGCCAGGCCATGCAACCGCAAGCGAATGAGCCTCAAACACCGCCTCCAGCGGCTGCCGCCCTATCGACATCGCTTGCCTCCGTCGACTCAGAGGCTTCTTGGCTTTCTGGAAAAGCAGCCAAGAGATCATCCTATCAGCGTGACCATCCTCTGCGCCAGAGCCAGTCATCTTTGCACCCGCAGATCTTCGAGCCGGACGTAGGGGAAGAAGTAGATGTTGCTAACGATCCTTACTTTAGCCGACTGAGCCCAGGTGAAGTGGAGAGGCGCAGGTCTTCGCCAAATTCCGCCCTACGAAAAGCAAGCAGTACCGCACTCAATATTGGGAGCGATAGCGACTCAGAAGGCGAGCAGCCGGTACCACCGATGCCAGACACGAGCCAAGAGCGATGGCACTCGGGGGTAGGGCGCCAGCCAACGTTGATCCGGCAAGCAGCTCAAGCTAGGTCTAAGGAAGGACTTCTCAAGGAGTACCAAGCTACAGACGTGGAAAGCGGTGGTGTGGAAGACGAGGCATCGGACCTTGAGTCACCCGATATCGAGGATCCAGATCTGCAGGCTTCAAGTTCACCTATTCTCCGCGCACAGAGCATCAATTTTAGTGCAGGTCACATCCGCCATATCAGCGCGGGAAGTGCAAAACTCCTCGAGATACGTCGTTCATCGATTGACTCCAAGCGTCAAAGTCTACCACGCACTGAACGGTCTTCTACCCCGATTCGAAGCACCACACTGAAAATGGAGGAATAGCTGCCAAGGGGTGACTGGCAACTTCAATTGTCGAGGCTGTGCAGAATTGGCGTTGAAGCTTATTGAATGCCGTGGACTGGATGTGCTGTGCACCATGATCCGCTCTCTCTGCACTCAGGCTGAATTACATCTTGCTTCAAGTTGGTGGTCGAGTGCCATAGCAGTTTCCCCGTGCTTCTGCTCTGTGCTGTGTACACTAAATATCGAGCAATATCTTCTTCACATCGCCCGCTATGTGCCATCAATGTCGATGATAGCTGAGATACTGTCAATGCCGTCAATGCCGTCGATGCCGAGGTTTTGCATTTTCACCTACAGCGTTGAGTTATTCTATACGTTCATTATGGACTTCGAAAGGCCACACGAAAATATATAAGTCTCAATGCGTGAGACTAGATTGTTGAAATCTTTCCGGCATGGTGTTGTACGGCTGTCATGGCCCCACGCTGCAAGAAATGAGTCTATATTTGAAATGGAGTGGTGGTCTATGTGGTAGAGTGCCACGTATTACTGCTCTTCCAATCGCTTAGAGGTGTCGCAACCGCAGAAGGGAGTGTTCGAGATGGAACGATTAGTCATCAGTACTCCGAAGATAGATTTTAATTCCAAATCACCGGTGGCATCATTTACCCCTCTATGCCTTACAGTAGCAACCCCTCTGCATAGTGATTGAACGTCACAGTGAGTAAGCCCTCGGTAGAACGCAAATTATTCAGGACGCTGTCTAATCAACTTCTGCCTGTGTTGCCATCCAACAACTCGTACCTTCTATCATTCTTACCTTATCCTCTTCCACTCGCGCCCACAATTCTCCATCCTATTTAAAGCAGCCGTTCTGGCTACCATTCGCCTTTCCCTTCCATCCAAACGTCTCTGTACACCCATTGCAAGCAGAACTCCGCGCATCTTGCTTTCGATACATCCCCTTCTTCCCAGCCTGCCTGCTCGGAAACCCTCTGTGCTAGAACCACCTCCAAGACACTACCATCCAACCTCAGTTCATCGCTTCAGCAAAACTCATACCATGTCTGACACTGGAGTTCATAACCTTGGAAGGTATGCCCCCTCCAGTTTTATGAGTGTCATTGATTTCTCTTGAAACTAACTCAGCTAACAGCAAACCCGACTTCGACCAAGCGCTCACTGACGCGGGCGATTCACTCGTCGTCCTCGACTGCTTTGCCACT